CATGAGATGCGCCTCTTATCTCCAAACGCCGCAGGTGACTCATGCGAGCCCCGGATTTCGAGCCTGTATGAATCTGAAGCGATAATACAGAAAATTTGAAAAATCAAGAACCAAACCAAAAACCAACCAACCATGTTGTCTTCCTACGCCCGCCGCGCCTTTTCTTCGTCTGCGCCCGCCTTGAAAACATTGAAGATCGGCTTGATTCCCGGCGACGGAATTGGCCGCGAGGTCATTCCAGCAGGCCGCGCCGTGTTGGAGACAACTTGCCCGCCAAGTTCGACTTGCAGTTTGACTTTGTCCACTCGTTGGAGCGCCGGACATTCGAGTTGTTCCAGAAGACCGGAACGGCGTTGCCCCAGGAGACCGTGGACGTGTTGCAGAACGAGTGTGACGGCGCTCTTTTCGGAGCCGTTTCGTCTCCCACAGTGAAGGTGGCCGGTTACTCGTCGCCAATTGTGGCCTTGCGCAAGAAATTGGGCTTGTACGCCAACGTCAGACCCGTCAAGTCCGTCGAAGGCATCGGCAGACCCGTGGACATGGTGATTGTGCGTGAAAACACCGAGGACTTGTACATCAAGGAAGAAAAGAGCTACACACGCGAAGACGGCACTTTGGTGGCCGAGGCCATCAAAAGAATCACCGAGACCGCGTCGGCCAGGATCGCCAAGGTCGCCTATGACATTGCCTTGCTGAGACAGGCGATCCGCGAAGCGTCGGCGGCCAAGTCGCTCCATTCGGAACCTTCGGTCACCGTGACCCACAAGTCCAACGTCTTGTCTGTGTCCGACGGCTTGTTCCGGGAAACGTGCAAGAAAGTGTACGACTCCAACAAGAACTATAGCTCCATCGCCTACAAGGAGCAGATTGTCGACTCCATGGTGTAACCGTATGTTCCGGGAACCGGAGATTTTCGACGTGGTGGTAGGCTCCCAACTTGGTACGGTCGACATTTTGAGTGACGGGCGCTGCCGGCACTTGAGTGGGCTCTTTGGGTGTTTGTATCCTTCTGGCAAACGGTCGGTCGACGTCTTTTGCCATGTGGCGAACCGTGCCACGGCTCTGCTCCTGACATCGAAGGAAAGGGCATTTCCAACCCGATCGCTACCATCAGATCGACTGCGTTGATGTTGGAGTTCATGGGCTACCAGGAGGCTGCGGCCAAGATCTACGAGGCCGTGGATGCCAACTTGCTGGAGGACAAAATCAAGACCCCAGACTTGGGCGGTTCTTCTTCCACCCAGGAGGTGGTGGACGACATTGTCAGACGCTTCTAGGCTAGAACGTCCGTATGAAAGAAGACTGTGAAGTTTTGACTTTCGTTGCGTTGGTGTTCTGTATTTCCTGATTTGCTCCAATAGATAGCTTGTCGATTGATTGTAGTTTTGCTTTATAGTAGTAACATTGACATTTGCCGGTTTATCTCGAAAACCACCCTAGTTGATGCTCTCTCTATTTAAACGAATTTACTAGTCGGACTTCAAGACTGCAAGATCATATGTCCAATGCAAAACCTGAAAACTGAAAGCCAACATCATACATGTCTTGAATATTAAATAGCACCATCAAAAGCCTTACATATCGGTGTTGGATTGTAGTTCTTCCAATATTGTTACTACATGAACTTACGCAACTATCGTCTTGTAACTTCTGAGATATTCTATACAAATATTGTCTTATACAAATAATGTGTTGATCTATTAGTCTACTTGTACATGCAATTATTGATCTTTTACTGGAGCTCTGACAAAGCAAGCAGCAAAAAACCCAATTCCGCCATCTTCTTTGGGCACAGAACGCACACATCCACCGGCCATTTCCAAACATTTCTCCTTGTCTCCGTCACACAAGGACGAAAACTCTTGTTCCCAGCCCCTCCGTTCCCAGGACGGAATCACAAACTGACGCTTTTCAAGTTTCCAGCCCTGTTTCTGAATTTCCGCATCACTGAGAAGATCAACCACAACTCTTTCATTTTCATGCGGATGAATAGAGCATGTCGAATACACAACTTTATGAACTTTTGGGAATGACAACGCATGTTTCATGATCTTAAACTGAAAACCAGCTAGCTTGTTGAGTCTTTCCGTGTCGATTTCTTCTCGTGCCTGCTCTTGGGAATTTGCATCTTCGATAGCTCGGCCGAAAATGCCCGATCCACTGCAACTTGGATCGACAATCATGCCTGTGACAGAAGGAAAATCAGAGGGCGCAATCGTGGTGAAATCGGCATGAGTCGGATGAATAAGACTCTTCTTCGCTTTCCCTGTAGCCTTTTCACACATGGTCTTCAACACTTTCACTCTGCGGTTGTCTCGTTCAAAAGCATAAACGACGCCCTTCGGTCCGACGAAAGAAGCGGCATGTGTGGTTTTATTTCCTGGAGCTGCACATGCATCGATGACTTCCAGATGCACATCATTGGGGTCATTGTTAAGAATCTCCGCAGGAAAACAAGATGCTCTATCTTGGATAATGATCTCTCCCTGAAGGTACGCCGGCGTGCTCGTGATCTTCTCTCGTGGATGAAGCCCATAAAGATTTTGAATGTGCTCATCATGGTAGATTACTCCTGGCTGGGTAATTTCGGCAATGGAACTCACCGGCTCCAATTGGGAAAAGAACAGATGTTTCTTGAAGAATTGTTCACTGTTGATTTTGATAGTGTTGATACGGATCCAACGCACGGGCGTTTCGTCCTCATCAATGCCTTCTTTCAAGGGAAGCTTCTCGACGGATGTCACTTTATGCTTCAATTTCAATTTCGTGAGTTCTGCTTGTAGCCTTGTCTTATTGAGCAAGAACGCCTCTTTCATCGGATGCTTCCCCAGCTGAATTCTGCCTTTGGCGCTGAACAAAAAGTCATGTATCATCAACATCAACAACAGATCCTTCATCTTCAACTTTTTTATTTCGGGCAGCTGTTGGATCTTCGATTTGCGAAGAATCTCTTCAATGTACTCTTTGTATTTGAGCGTGGAAATGACCAATGCGTACACATGTTTCGGAGAGTTAGAAAGTTTGGCATTGAAAATCCGGTTTTTCAACCCTCTATCTCCCTCTTTCACAAACTTTTCGGCTTCAAAGTAGAGTTTCATAGTGGTAGATGGGATGAGCCCGCATGCAGGTTCATCACCTGTAAAACACAGTAGCATAATCATCACCAAACAATATGCAAACCAATCTAAGATAGTCTGACCCAAGAAATTCAGGGTATTATTTTATCCAAAAAAAAACAGGCAATAAATTCTCTTACCTGTTTTCTGCATTCTCCGTTGCAGAACACGGAGTCCTGATTTGATTTTTTCTGGTTTGTACAATCTCAATCTGGTATTGAAATGGTAAATTAACGAAGTTTGCTAAGGCTATAAACCGTTATGGTTTCGGGAATAGCATTCGAAGTACTTGTTTTTTTTTTGTTTAAGACCCTTTTGCCTTGTGTTATTCTCTGTTTCCCCTAGCAGAGGTACTAGAGACCATTAGAAATATTGTAGCGATCTCATGGCACCAATCTGTAAAAACAGTAGAGCTTAGCGGCTATCCAAGTAAACTGTACTCGACCAGACTGTCACGCAAGCTATGTCTATCAAACAATGAATTAACGGAAAAGTCATTATCCAGATCTCCTTCATGAATTGACCACTATTCACGACAAGGATCCACGAATAGGGTCTCAATCTCTTTTTCTATCGATATACCATTGATAATATTAGGATGCAACATGACCCTTCTCAAAAAAACATTTAGCATTGCTAACGTATGCTAAAAGTGTGAACTGTAAGCCCACAGTTGTTAGATGAATCTTTTTCCTGGATCTCCATCTCGTTTTGATATTCATCTGACAGAAACTATCGGATGATGATGTATGAGATTTTACTTGAAGCCTTCGATCCAAGATATAACTCGGTCACATCCCAAGCAAATTACTATAACATATCGGTTTCCCACGTCTTAATTTTACCAAAGTGCTGTCTCCTAGGTTAAAATTGTCGGATAAATCATCTTTGTGATTTTGATGATTTGTATTCAAACGAGATCAACTTCCAAATCATAATAGTACTGAAGCCTGTCGCCAACGAATATAAAATAATTCTATTACCATTGTTTGCTTTGTTTCTCTTTTTCGCATATATACTGGGGTACTCCTTTCTCATTTTCAAACTTTTAATCACTCTTTTCTCCTTCTCAGACTTTCTTTTGAACGTTCATATTGCAGTGACTACAACAAACCTTTTTTTGCTTAATCTTCCTCTTCTTCCTTTCTTCTTCTTCTTCTTCTTCTCTTCTTTTTTTCTTTTTTCTTATTCCTTTTTTCCATCTTTTTTCCTTTCTCTTCCCTTTTCTTTCTTCCTTTCTTCTCTGTCGTCTCTTTTCGCAGCCATTTCCGCACCTGTTTCTATTCCTGATTTTCTCAGCCTCGTCCCGGAGGTACTGGTGCCACACTCTATCCACCTTTCTGTTTCGAACACATCTCCGCTTTACCCCCATGCCCCAGCCTCCGCCAAATGCTTTTGCGCCAGGCACGCGCCTCACTGTCGGCTCGCACAGGGTCACCATAGCGCTGTATCTCTCGCTGGGTGGGTTTGCCCACGTGTACACGTGCCAAATCGAGCCGCTGTTCCACGGCTCCTCCACCGCCTGTTTGAAACGTGTGGTGGTGCCCAACAAGCAACAGCTTGCGCTTCTCCGCCAAGAGGTGGACGCCATGAAACGGCTCCGTGGAAACAGCCACATTGTGTCGTATATTGATTCGCATGCTGCCCGCTTGCCTCTAACGTCCGACCCAGCGCAAGGCTCAAACGCAAGCGCACAGTCTCAAAACCAAACACAACAGTACGAGGTGTTGTTGTTGATGGAGTACTGCGCGGGAAACGGGCTTATTGACTTCATGAACCAGCGCTTGACAAATCGTCTCACGGAACGCGAGGTTTTGTCCATTGCGGCCCAGGTCACTACTGGTGTGGCCATGTGCCACCACTTGACTCCCCCATTGATTCACCGCGACATCAAAATTGAAAATGTCTTGATCGATGCAGATGGCTCCTACAAGCTCTGTGACTTTGGTTCCGCTGTTGGTTACATCCCCATTCCGTCTACCGCAGACGAGCTCCAACTCACACGCCAGGACATTATGCGCCATACGACTCCTCAGTATCGAGCACCTGAAATGATTGAAGTGGGCCGTTTCCCCATTGATGACAAGCTGGATGTGTGGGCATTGGGTGTTCTTATCTACAAATTGTGTTATTACACCACGCCGTTTGAGCTGCCGCATCACCAGACTATGAACGACTTGGAGCGGCTGATTTTGCAATGCCACACCACCCTTCGTTTTCCTGGCCTGCCCCAGTATAGCCAGCGTCTTCAGAATATCATTCGCTGCTGCTTACGCCCGGACCCGCGCCGGCGTCCAAACGCTGTTCAGTTGCTTCAGGAGATCTGCCTGATGCAAGGCTCAAGAATGCCAGAGGTGGTTCCGCATGCTGTTCGCCTGCAACGGCCAGTCGTCAAGGTTTCAGCTGCTCCAAAAGCTCAGACTATGCCTATACCGCAAATGGCTGGCGTTCCTTCTGGCAAGTCGCCAGTTGCGCCTCCCTCTAAGTCTCCAACGGCGCCTGTCATTAAGTCACCGGTCCTGGTTGCTGACAGAAAGGCACGGCCCAAGTCAATGTATCTTATTCCTGACTCATCCGCCTCTTTACAAGATCTTATCCAGCAGCAAGTGCATGACACCAGCCATGATTTGACCAACATGCGCAAGTCTGAGGAATTGGATAGAGGTACTTTGGATTTCTTGCGGTCCAAGGACGGACCCTTACGTAACGATACGGGCAACTCCCTCAAAGCATCACTCAAGAATGGCTTAAGACGCATCAGCACAGGAGGGTCTGTAAAGTCACAGCGGGTCGAACTGGGTGACCATCGTGGGAAACAACGGTCAACAAGCCAACAAGGCCAGGAAAATTACCGTTCTACTAGCAGTGAGCTCAAACGCAGGTCATCAATACAGAAGCGTGTATCACAACTCTTCAGCAATCGTGACAAGAAGGTTCCAAAATCTGCAGTCGGGTATGGTAAATATACTGATCAAGACGACATTACTGCCATCAACAACACTGATCTCTCGACAAGTGACGAATCTCTTGAACGACCACTGTCAAGAGTTTCCTACTATGATTTCGATAAGAAGCTGTCTAAAACCCCGGAACCGGAGAAAAAACATGAGCAGAAGGAAATCAAGGTGGAGAAGACACTCAACAATAAAGTGGAAAACAAGACCGGAAATAACGCTAAAGGTGCTGGTGTTCGCCACAAGTATGGGTCACTTGCAAGAAAGCACGAGCCACCACCCTGTCCACCCAGCTTGAGTCACACAGATGTTTCCGGGGGAGGAAGCACGAAAACACGCAAGCCATTGGCCCCCAAGAAGGCACCGCCACCCAAACCAAAGAAGCCTCTGCGCTTGAAGTTGCTCGACACGGCTGAGACTAGGCGGCTTAGTACTTCAAGCGAGATATCCATGCCGGACTTGGACGATCTCGAGAAACAATTTGCGCGGCGGTTTCCCAGCTACGTATAGTCCGACTCGGTCTCATTGAAGGAACAACATATCCTGGATACGGGTGTGAGAGGTCTCGTTTATCAGATAGATTGGATCCAAGTGTGCATACCCATACAATAAAAGTGCAAATTGGCGCTTTCGCATATCTTGTGATGTTGGAAGAGCATGTAGTCTTCTTACGCTCTTCGCTCAGATCGCATTGAAATACAATATAAATACGCTATATTATTGCTTAGCGTCTTGCGCATAGACTAAGAGTTTTTGACTCCTTCGACCAAGAAGTGATTGTATTTGAAGTAAGCTGGAAGAAGCCGTTTCATGTTCAAGTGAAAGTAAGTCTAGATTGTATTAGCTATTGAACTTTGCTGCTTCCGAGTGTAAAGTGGCAAAGGATACGAGCAGCAAAAGACAAAATATGAGTGGAAAAACGTATAAATTTCCACAATGTCTTTCAAAGTTCCTGCCAATACATCATTCTATGTATATTTGCCTTATTTTCGCCTCACTTGGTGCGGCATGGAATTTCCATAACTGACATGAGAGGGTAAAAAGGAGCATTGTGTGATTTGATATTCAGCCGAAGAATCCATAAAGGTGATCCAAATACCAAAGTCAAGATAGCAGAACCTCGAACATTCGCATTGGATCCACATGTGTTCATGAAGAAAGATTGGAAACAGGACTCATTTCAGCGGTGGTTTTATTCTGAAGCAGGCGTATGCTTAAAGACAAATCGACAAGTTATTTTGGTAAATTATCGAAGGAAGCAAACAGAACAGGACGAAAATAATGAACGTTCAACGCATGGGTCTATCCATCATGGACATCAAGTCTATTCGAGACTATTCCATGATACCGTCCTATATTAAACGATAGAAGGAGAGTGAAATGCAATTAAGCAAGAATTATTCTGAGTCAGAAAAGTCTCCGACCAGATCCAAAAGAAAGTCCACCCCCTCATCAAACCGCTCATGGATAACTTCCCACAAACCATCGCCGGCCGCCTTCAATACACGGCCAAACTTTTTTCGCGGCCTCTTGTCTTCGTCTTTGGCACCGGCCCAGCATGTGTTCGTACGGCTGGCAAAAATGAGTGAGTTTTGGTAGTACCAGTCCACCATGGACTCGTCCATGACTGGTACCAACGGTTTGAGCGGCAGCGCATTTACAAATGCCACAGACGCCCGCACAACTTCACGGAGCTCGTTGGCGGGTCTTTTCGCGAGCAAATGAACAACTGCCTGGTGGGCGTCGCCGTAGCCAACGAAAAGAGCCTTCTTTGCCGAGAAATAGCTCACGTAGTTGTCCCACACCCACAAGAGGAGCTCCTGCGCAAACACGCCATAGCCTTCCGGAATGCAAATGTCAATGTAGCCGATTTTCTCGTCCAGTTCTGCCAGCATCCGCGCCATGATCCGCGCCAACGGATGTTCAAGAATGACAGACAGGCCGCTTTCGATCGTCCCGGACACGGCGTTGACGTCTGCCCACACTTCAGGCGGATCGTGCACGCACACCATCACTGTCGGACAGTCTGCAATGTCCGGGCTTGCAAGAACAAGCTCGTCTGCATGTGGGGGCATTTCGGAAAAGCCGTCGGGCAAAACGGGTAACGGCACAAAGCCGTGGCGGGCGAAAAGCTCGGCCGCCTGATGCGCCCGCACGGGCTCGGCGAGAGTGCGCACGGGCTCAGCCGCCGCGTCGCCCGCGCCCGCAGACTCGGGGCACGTCGGCCAAAACGTGTGCGGCGGCGCCTGCGCGCATGCACTGCCAGAAGGGCGCGTGCGCGCGAACGACGGCGCCAATGGTCTCTATCACGTCGGCGCGCGGGAGCGCGCGCACCGGTTCTTCGGGCGGCTCGCCCACTAGCACTTTGGCCACGCCCACTGCGCTCGCACTGATCGACTCGAGATTGTAACCACCTTCCAAAACCACCGCTAGTTTGCCGCGAGCAACGCCTTTGAGCATATGGGTCATGTGGCCGTAGCCGGCCGGGGTCACGTGGCACTGGCCAATCAAGTCGCCGGCAGCAGCGTCGAAACCAGCACTGACAATGACCAAGTCCGGGTCAAACTCGCAGAGAACAGGGAGAACCACGCGGCGGAACGCATAGACATAGTCGGCGTCGCCGACGCCGGCGCTGGGCCACGGGATGTTGAGCGAAAACCCGGCGCCTTTGCCCGAGCCCGTCTGGTCTGCTCCGCCAAACTTTGTTCCCGGGTAGAAACGGCCGTTCTCGTACCGGTGAAGCAGCACGTAGAGCACACGCGGGTCGTCGTAGAAGGCGCGCTGCGTGCCGTTGCCGTGATGGATGTCCCAGTCCACTATGGCTATGCGCCGCACCGACTCGGGATATGCCCGGAGCATGTTTTTGGCGGCGACAGCGACGTTGCTGAAAAGACAAAAGCCGCCCGGCGCGTCGGGCTCGGCGTGGTGGCCGGGTGGCCGCACAATGGCCATGGCGTTCTTGACGTGGCCCTCGACCACCGCCTTGCATGCTTCGATGGCTCCGCCACACGACAACTTGGCCAGAAGGAAAGAGTCGTTGTTGACGTAGATGGAGTCGCCCTTTTCCGTCTCGTCGAGGAGCTGCGCTCGGGTCATGTCCTCTGTGGCCGCTATGAACTGGAGATGCTTCTCGGTGTGCACCTGCAAAATCTCTTCTGCGGTGGCCTCTCGAATGGGAATCTTGCAGATGAGCGGGCCAAGTTCGTCGGCGCCCGCAAGCGTGCTGTCCTGGATGAGCCCTGCCTCGGCAAGCTTCTTGTAGATTCTGTAGATCCGCCGGGGGTCTTCCGGATGTGGGTCGATGTACTCGAAATACAGAGTGAAGATTTTGGCGTGGTACCGCATGCGAACGTCGTACACGAGCCCCGTTTTGAGCGGGCTGTAGAAAAGAGCAGGTTTCTTGGGCGGAACAACCACAAGAGGCTCCTGCCGCCGCCGCTTGGTGCCGTTGTCGTCGCTGTGTCTTCTCTTTAGGCTGTTCTGGCTCTGGCTCTGTGCGTCTTTCCCGTTTTCGTTTTCGTTGCCGTTTCCGTTGCCGTTTTCGTTCTGGTCGTCGTTGCCGTTTTCGTTCTGGCCGTCGCTGCCGTTTTCGGCCAGGGCATTGGCATGGTTTATCTTCTGTTCGATTGTGTTTTCGCTCTCGGTCTTCACCGCGATTTCTGGTTCCGTGGTTGCGCTGTCTGCGGGCGCAGAGCCGTTTGCGCCTTCGTTTTCGACCCGATCGCTATCTGCTGGCCCCATATTTTCCGTTTGGATATCGCTATTTTCTTTTGGATGGGGCTCCATTGTCGTTGACTTGCGCGCTTTTCCGTTGAGCGCACTTATGCTAGTCTAGGCAAATATAGTGTGCATAACGGCCAGATACACTACAGTATATATTGGCGGATGTTAGTATGGACAGACTGATTTTTGGAAATTAAAATAGAATAAATAATAAAAGATTTCTTTATTAGAACGATATTAAATCATTTATTAATAATTAGAAGGATATTAAATCATTTATTAATAATTAGAAGTATATTAAATCATTTATTAATAATTAGAAGTATATTAAGTCATTTATTAATAATTATAAAGATCTTACAATGGAGGAGGAAACCAACAGATATAAGTATGTCTTAGTAGGATCCTCAGAGACTATACGTAATGCACCATATATATAAGGTTGAAGATAGAGTCCATTTTGTATTGCAAGATATAAAGAGCAAAATGAATTTTTATTACCAATGTCCCATACTTATAGTAACACCTGAAGCATTATAGTATTTGATAAAGGTAATTCGCTAGGATACTTAAGACAGAGTAAAGAAGTTAGTTTCGATCGGGCGTCAACATGGTTAGGACATGCCTCATATGCATCTAATGTTGGTTCAATTCCAGCCTTAGGCAATATATACTCACCATGGGTGGGGATATATTTATATATATAAACTTGAAAGAGGACTATTTATATTTACTATCTAAAGAGATTAGAAAAAATTCACCCAAGTTGGTTATCCATTTTATCTCCTTTGAGATAAGATGAAAGCCCCCCAAGTCAAGTATGGGTGGAAGTCGGTCGCTAAGTCATTTTATCTTCAGCACAATATGAACGCTCTTGTAATCCTTCGATTAAGCTCCACTAAGATGAAAATTTAAAGTTACTCAAAGTACAGATGTTTATCGGAATGCCTCACAGTGTATGTTTATTTGAAGAATTTCTAAAGATAAGCAATGTGACACAATCTCATAATTAAGTGTTGGAGAAGGCAATTTTATCATTCTCTCGATTGGACGTCGTCAAAAACGAGGAGCCGAAGCATGCGTGTTTGCTTGAAAGTCCCGTACTTTCAAGAACCTCCCCGCTTCATTCACAGTTAAAGGACCCAGATCAAACTGGAGTAAAAGCTGAAAAACTGTTTCCAAATAGGCATCTAACTTATTTATGTCATTATTCGCTCCATCCTAACTTATAGAAATGTCCATTGAGAGGAAGCAAAATTGTCTAGTGGGTGAATGTCCGTTTGCGATTGACACATTTTCTGAAAGTGAAGATCTCTTCAAAGATTGAAAATGAAACTAGTGACTTACGGTAACATACTAAAACTCCTGTGAATTTGCTTACTGAAAATAGGAAAGATCGAGGCGTTCTGAGCAAGTTATTCATTCTATTGGTGTAGTAAATCCTTTGTAAACTTAAATTGACACTTACCATTTTATTGCACCTTGGTTGACAATTAATACAAAAACTACACGAGCCAGATGCAAATCCATCCTACTTGAATTGCACTCTCGAAAAAATTGTTGTATTTCTAATACCGTGGATTGCACCATCAATACTCGTCACTTACAGATAGTTGATCTATCAAGTAGGCTTCATAATAAAGGCAATCACTGTATTCAGTAACGCTTGCGGTTGAAAAAATTAGGCTCTATTCTATTTGTATTCCGGATTCTTGATTAAAATTACAGTGCCCAATTTGAACGTCCTGATTAGATAACGGTATAACTGTTTCCTCTCTAACTTTTTCCTCTCTCTATTCCCTCGGTCGATACGTTCTACTAGTATGGCTTGAAGCGGTTGGCTTTACGATCCAGTTTCTCGCGTTTCTCACCGTTCTTGCTTCTGAGTCCTTGTTTCCTGCGGTGCTTCTCCTGTTCCTTTCTCTTTTTATCCCGGTTCTTTGTCTCTTTGTCTTCTGTGTCTTCCGGCATCCTCCAAGCCTTGACTAGGCCATCTTCACCAGCAGAATATACCGTTTCGCCCCAAAGAAGAACGTCACGAACCACCTCCGAGCCATGTGCATCTGGAAAAGCCACGCGCCGTCCAAGATCAAACTTTTCTGTCGCCGCATCAAAAGGCACAATACTAAGCGAATTGCGCAGATTGGCCCCAAACGCTGCGTAGTCTTGGTAAATGTCCACCACATACTCGCAGTCGGGCCAAATAGCGCGTACGTCGCCCAATTCGTGAGCAGGAGGCTCCTCGTGCGTCTCATAGTCTGTGCTGTTGAGTTCGAAGAACGCAAGTGTCTCCATATGCGAAAGTACGGAAATACGGTTGGGCTTCAGAAAAGAGCACGAATGCACCGATGCAAACGGAATCACCTGGTGCAATGCCTCGTCCTCGTCAGGTTCGTCGAGTTTCTGCACAAGAACATTCCCGTCTGTGCATCCAGACACCACATACGGTAAGCTTTGGTGGAAATTGACGCTGGAGATATCGTCGTGGTGGGAGTCGGCAAACAAGCGCAAAGGCGACTCCGTGTTGCGCAAGTCCCAAACATAGAGCTCTGCGTCTTGGCCCGCCAACTCTGTTCCGGCTGCTAGCGTGGTGCCTGAACAGGCAATCGACAAAAAATTGGATTTGCGGGCGCTGCTGAGCGAAAACTGCGGCTTCGAACTGGCCTGTCTCAAGTCCCATACCTTCACGCCATCTGAAGAGGACGACGCAAGCGTCAGCTCGTCCACTTTGGTGATGCCGGAGATGCTGGCTTCATGGGCGGAAATACTTCCAACTGGGCTTAACTCCGCGGAAAGAAGCGTTAAGCCGCCGCTGCTTGTGGATACAGCTATGGCAGCGCCAGAGGCGCCTTCGAAACGCCGCAAAGAAAGCGTCCATGTATCTGCTGGGGCCAGCCACGAACGGAGAAAAGAAGAAGACATGTTGACTTGGATTATGTGCAGGAGATGATGATGATGGATGGATAAGTGTAGATGTTGGTGTGCATATAACACCAGGTGTCTAATAACGTTTCTAATAGTGGATGACTTGAACGCAGGTATCTTCATTAAACAGGTCTGAGAGACGTTTTCTTTAATGTTTTGAGAGAGACATATTAAATTTAGGAATTCAGAGAGTAAGTAAAACCAGGCTTTCAATGGTTGATGCATTGCTTCATTTCTGAGACCATACCGTATACTAAATCCGTCATTTTGTTTGCATTTTGAAACATGTAAGCTCTCAACGAACTCAATTATTGCAGGCTGATCGCTTCTAACAGGCTTGCACTACTGCTTACATTTACTACTGCTGGCATTTACTACTGCTGGCATTTACTACTGCTGGCATTTATTACTGTCCTGCATAATACATGCCTCCACTGGTCAGTACAATCTCTGTCGAAAACGTGTATAATTATCTCCAGGAGTCGGTCTTTCATCTTCGAACTTCATGCCATCTGCATGTCGAATTCTTGTTATTATTGACATGTTGCATTTTGGACACGTCGAGTTTTATGTCTTATACGGTTCAGAACTGTCTTCCTCTACTAATTGAATGCATTTCCGTCATTGCATTTCCGTCATTATTTCCGTCATTATTTCCGCTCTTGCTTCAGTTGTTACAGTGGCCTTTTTTATTTTCTCCTTTATGTCTTCCTTTGTTCTTCTTGCCTTGTGGTTCCCGTCTCTTCTTATCTCCTGCACATGGCCTTTCTTGTTTACTCATCCCTACTACTCTTCTTTTCTTCATGAGTAGCGTTGTCAAAAAGTCGTCGCACTTTGTGCCCAAAGTCAAGAAGAAAGCGCGTCGGGTGCCATCGCTCGCGTCTTCTGCGGCCTTGCAAGCAAGTCCGCCGCCCTCCCAGGCGTCTCAGTCCACCCAAACGAACGAGCTGGCGCCAAATGTTTCTGAGCCGCCGGAACAAAGCCAAAACACAAGCTCTTTTGTTGCTTCCGCAGGGGAAAACACTTATGTGCCTCCTACGCCAGCGACACAGCCCCTGGCGGCAATTGACGGCGGGAAAATTGTGTCTCCGCTTCTGTCCTATTCGATCGAAAAAACTGCCAAACGCGCCAGTCCCGGCCCGGAGATGGACGTTGACCCACGGGACGCCAGCGCGGCAGCAGAGTTGGCCGTGGAAGACGCGGAGTCGTCGGACCTGGGCGACCACGACGAGTACGGAGACAACGACATTTTCAAACAGCCGCAAGAACCGCGCCAGCACCGCCGGTCGTCTGTGGCGGGCCCGCGGCGGCTCCTGACGATTTCGCGGCGCTCCGGTTCTATCTCTGTAGCTCCAGGCGGCTTGGACGAGGATCTGGGCGCGGCGCCGGTTGCCATTTCGATTCCAGTGGGAAAACCCACCAAACGGCGTGCGTCGTCGCTGGCACGCGCCCACAAACGGGCCGCGCGTGCTTCTGTGATTCTGGTTCCGTCGGCGGGCGCTGTTCTCAACGAGCAGGATGAGATCGGGTCAGATTCGGGATCGCAGAGAAACTCTAACCCTTCCACTACAGCCGGACCAGCGCACAACGGTGAGGCGATTGTGGTTGGACTCGATCCCGAGACACAGAAGCTCCGCAAGTTCCGCGCGTCCCCGGACGTTGAGGGTTACGACGACCTACCTGTGGCGCCTCCAGACTTGGTGACAGAAATATCGGAGGTGTCGCAAATCCCCCACAAGATCATGCCCGGCGACGAGCCTTATTATGCAAAGGTCAAGTTCCAGCCGGACCAACTCCGCATGAGCGATTTATGTAAGCCGCTTTTGCCTATTGGGTCTGTGAGTGAAAACTACAAGATGGCAATGGAAGCCAAGGCGAAAATCGCCCAGAAAAGACAACTTCGGCGGGAAGCGCGCGAGATGGCAAAGTCCATGCGTATATCGTACGAGGAGGCGTACCGAAAGGTGTTGCTTGACGGAAACCACGAGTTCGAGCTCGACGAAGAAAAGCACAAAGGCTTTGACTTTGACGCTCCCGAGGAAGCAAACCAAGGCACGGGTGTGCAAGTGGAAATCATTGACAACAAGATTCTGGTGCGGCTGGAGTCGATGATTGTAGGCGGGCAGCGGCCAGCCACGCTCACACAAAACAGAAACGTGACACTAGAAAACCCGTTTGAAAACCCAATCACCTCCAACTCGTACACGAAATCGGCACACACAGATGCGTGGACAGACGAAGAAGTAATCCAACTCTACAAAGCGTTGAGTACGTGGGGGACAGACTTTACGTTCATTGCACAGTTGTTCCCGTATCGCACGCGGAGACAAGTGAAGCGCAAGTTCATTTTAGAAGAGAAGAAAAACCCAGAGCTCGTCGAATTGGCGTTGCGGCGCAAGTTGCCCGCAGACATCCGCGAGTTCCAATCGGCTGCATCCAATATCAAGCTCAAGAACGTGGAGGAGCACGAGCGGGAAATGCAAGAGCTCAAAAAGGACCACGAGAGACACATGGAGGAGATCAACATGGAGCGCGAGAGGGCCATCAAGGAGGATTTGGAGGCCAGCAGAAAGAGAGAAATCGAAATCAGAACAGGCGCCAAGCCTATGACAAGAACGGAAAGACAACGCGAGTTCCGCAAAAACGAAACGGTGGTGGGATCTATCGAAGATGTCAAAAAGACCAGAGAAGAATTGGAGCGTGCTGCAGGTTAGGCTATCGATATGTTGAGAATACTGCAGACAGTGGCCTGCGCGCGCTGATTTTTGACTTCACACAACATGAGTCAGTGTGCGATACTGCTAGACACTTCACTTCTGACTGCGCCAGCACGGCTGTTTCTGTTTGTTTTCCTAACTTCCTTGTCCCTCCTTTATGAGCCTACATGTCTTCTGCTAAGAACTACTCCCTTGAAGTGTCGCCAGACGAACACAACCGTGTGGTGACCTTCACAGTCAAGAAACACCCTTCGCTATTTTTGACATATGTGCGTACTCCCTTGGCCACGGTTCTTTTGGCATTCCTTGTGCCGAAGGCAGTTGCAGGCGTGTCGGGCGCCTTCGAATGGAAACTCTGGAGTTTCTTTCAACAACCCGGCTGGTCCAGTGTCTTGTTGCATCAGTACATACTATGGTTTATCCAAGGCGGATATTCGCAACACGTCGAATGCATTGTGACGCTTTTGATAGGTGTCATTGCTGCAGCCCTTTTGCTGTTGCAGGAACCCTCAGACAGCATGGTTGTCATGGCAAACTTGGGAGTGCAGCTCAGCAGCAAATCCAGGTGGAGGTTTTTGAACCGCCGCAGTAACAAGGAGTTCATTCCTCTCTCGAACATCATCGACCTTGTCATTCACGAGGGGTTCCATGGTTATGGCCAGGTCATCTTTTACATGTGCATTTTGACAAAGGCGAAGAGTAATAGCAGTGACGAAGGCAACGGCGTCAATGTGGTGTTTCCGAATTTTCTCCCACGGAAGGACATTCTAATTCAGGTCTGGAGACATAGCCGAAAAATTCTCTATGGTGATCAGAGACGCCACTTTAGACACATTCCAGGATACGGTTTGAAGGAGGTGCAGCATTTGCACGAATAGGTATCTGCAAGCGGTCTCGGTTCGGATGTTTGAGTCCGAACTAGTGGGTCCAGGTCTTCGGAGATGCACTCCGATGCCCGTTTTGACAAAGTAACGCCATAATACGACATAGACACGATAAGGGACGTAAGAACAACTGGGCTGAGTGGCCAGAAATCACATCTCTACGAGCATCAAAAATGCATCCCTACAACAAAACACCGATATTAACCTGATATTGTATAATAAACCTAACCCTAAATTGTTGATATTGTCAAACCAATCCTCTACTGGCCAAGCTGCTTGAAAACGTGAGCAAACTTTTTCTTTTTCGGCCAAAGAGGCAACCAGCAAACTGGCACCCAAGTATAAGGCGACACTTAAAAGAATCTTGGAGGTGTGTGGAGACAACGTGGACATGGCTAATGGAGAAGCTAATCTTTGAACGAACATTGTGAGGAAAAAGGTGATTGATATAGTTTTGCTATGTTCGGGCCAGCTCCAGAGTATTTATACATATCCCTACAACGTCTGGGTCTTCCGACACGCCTCCCGATTATTTCCGGCACGCGACTATGAGTCTCTGATGCAAACGCACAATCTGCCGCCTGATTGCGCAGTCGAGGTATTTTTTTTCGGAAGCAGTAGCATGGCATGATTCAAGTTATGTGCTTATGGGGAGTCATGGCTTGTGTGCAGGCCGTGACTCCAACGGCCATCTTGCCAGTGGATAATGGTGGGAGAAGGCGGAAAATCGGAAAAGGTGGCGGAGTTGATTTGCGAAAATCTCGAGGAAATAGCAGAACGCTGCGGCTTGCCAGTGGCTGGATGTGGGGTTTTTAGCATTTCGGAGCAACGCAAAAGAAATCAATCACCCTATAATAGTCCGAGTCTCGCTATCCTTCTGTGTCCTGCAGGTAGAACCGGAGGCGCCAACATGAGACGCCGTTTTTCTCGGAGGTAGACCCCCGAGCGGAAAAACACGGAACTAAAAGTTGAAGCATTTGTGGGGCACGGGTTTCTTGCCCGATGCGGCTGATATAGCCAGGCACGTGAATAGGTAGCACAAGAGGAAGCTATGAATGGCTTATTTGTTTGAAATGTCGATTTTCTTTTTTCGGTGGTTTTTTCTACTAATGGGCTGGCGGTTCTCGTTTGGCTACAAAATTCTGAGATGACTCCGTTGGCAGTTTGTGAAAGCACTGATGTTGTAACTGTTGACAGATTATGATGAAATGCAAATCATTATTGGTTTCTGCAATGACGGTGCAACGTCGAAAATATTGTACTGCCAGCTTTTCCGTTTGGTTTATGCTGAAGTCTCATTCAAGTAATGGCGATGACATCGGCTATTAATCCTATTTCCCTCTTTCTAACTCCATACATTGATGATTTCAAATTATCGTATTCTGTTGAGAAATCGTGGTTGTTGAAAAGCAGAAACTTTGGAAGTATTACTATGTTTCCATGTCTGTATTTCTTTTGGAAGAAAATTCATGCATGTATGGTAAATTCGGTGCTGAGAGCCTATATTCCATTCTCGTTTCCAATATGATGGGACTCTTGTGTCTATGTTTGTTATTTGGAACGTACACTCTTTGCCAAATGTAAACTATATTTATTCTGTCTTAGCTCAACCTTCTTGAGCAAACTGTTTATAAAGCAATAGCTGAACATGTGTCGTAATGTTAAGATGTGACATAAGAAGAAATACAATGATGCTTGGAGTTTATAATGCGCCATCTACTACAGATATACCATTGTTGGTATCAATAATATCAATGCTACACATTTGATATCTGATTATCTGTTGTGGATCATGTATTGGTATTCATTCAGGTACGATGTTGATGCGAACCTCAAGTCTGAATATTGGATCCTCATATATATAAGAAATAAGTAATGATACTATTATAAACATTATATAAGTGGTATTCAAGTTTACTGATCTACTACAAAAACTAGCTTTACTAGACTGGGTAGCAAATAATAAGGACTGCTCATACTATTTCCATACGAAGCAAACGTATTATGACTTACTACCAGCACCTATAACAATGCAAAGTCATATCATCCACTTAGTTGTATATCGGTTTCTGATAGATCGGCCATAAAAGTTAAGCACCAACCCATGAATCAGCAAATACTGTGTTGTAGTTTGACACCAATAGCTGAGTGGGGAACGAGTAGATATAATAGGAGCAGTGTTGAGCTGGATATTTACTTTTTTTTTAGATTGATGAAGCGTCATGGCCTGCCAATCCTTCAACACTTCAATGTTTCATTTCTCAATCTCATCCATACTTCGTTACTTTGTTACTTCAATACTTCAATGCTTCAATACTTCAATACTTCCTTACTTCAATTCTTCAATCTTCATCTTCCCTACTTCGTTACTTCAATACTTCAACACGTCAATGCTTCATTTCTTAAGTTCTTCAATCTTCATCTTCCATACTTCGTTACTTTCTTTTAGAATTTCGATGGTTTAGACAAGAATTCGGATCCGCAAACTCAAGCTACTAGAATAGCCACATCGGCATTGCTGCAACCTTAATTTAAACCCAATACCTTCTTTCTTGTACGCTAATTTATTCTCATTTAGTCAGCACAGAAGCGACAAAAATATGATGGTATTACCTGCAGTCTTTCGTGATATAAATGACCGTCTCGAACTCCAAGGATCTTGATGGTGATCTTATTGTAATGGCTCGAGTTTCAGCTTTGCAGTAACAAAAGCTTAATGGAGACCCAAAAGCGGAATTGCCTGCATTCGCAGTAACTGGTGTACGGGTGCATACCTAAATGTTAGCCTGGTGTATGGGTCTAACTCGTGTTTACTATTAGCTATGGTTATGGGCCACAGCTTAGGGCTCCAGACGGGAAAAAAAAAGACACGACAAGTCTTGGACGAAAATAATAGAGACGGGAAACCTTGGGTCCGTAGCGAATAGTGGATGTGTAGATTGCGAACCCAAAGCACCAAAGCAAGCCAAAGATGGAAAGAAAAGAAAAAAAAATTCCATCTCACATTTCGAAGCACAACAAGTCAAACAGTGCAGAACAATTGGTTGAGTTTTTTAACGCCCGTTACTTTACCTTGTCATCTGCCCCCATTGACATATTTAAGCGGTACTGTGTGCAGTGCCCCTGCATCCGCTTTCGTAGCCTTGTAAACATTTTTATCAACACGCGAAAGAAAGTTGAACACCTCATTATTTTGTTATTTCCGCCAAACATCAGAGCGGCCCATCTATCCGTTTGTTAAAGACGTATCCACCTGCTTATTGGTGTACTGGTGTTTTCGTTTCCCACCATTTCTTTCGCCAGCCCGGTGCCGTCTTTATATCCCTCAAGTCGTTTTCCCTTTTCGTTTTTTAACCCCACTCTTTGGGGCGCCTTCCGATATCGAATCCAGTGTGTTGTCTTTCCTGCAAAAGTATCTCCGGTCGAATTAGTGCCACAATCCAGCGAAACTCACAGAAGAAATTAATCTCGTCGCTGTATTTGTTTATCGCATATTGATGATTGTACGCTGATTCCCTTCTTCTGGTTCCCGTTCCACCGTTTTTTCTTTTCGTTTTTGGTTCTATCCAAACGTCCAACTCCAGTCACTCATTTCTTACTCCCATCCTTACTGCACCATGTCCGAAGACCAACGACAGGACGTTTCCAGCCCCAAACGTTTCTTCAAGAATATCACCTCGTCTCCTTTCCGCCTGCTGGATAGTCGGCAGTCCCCGACTCCCGAAGCACACAGCTTCAGGTCGCCGCCGCTGCCCCTCAAGTCTCCAGCGCATACCAGAAGTCATAGTCATGATTTTTTCCACAGGCGAAAACATCTGGATACGAACTGGACATCGTTAATTCCGCCTCTTCCCCTGAACCCAAACTCGCCTCAGCTCAAGGGCAATAATTTGGGTGTGCCGCCCAAAAACAGACATTCTATTGCCGTCTCCCCACCCGGGTCTAGAGATATTCCGGATATGCTCCAGCCTCTGCCGAATCCGCGTGCTGAACCCTCCTTTGGCAACGACAGACCTTCAGATTACACCATGAGTCGCAACGTGTCTAATCCTTTCATCACACCCCTGAAGAATCAGCCGCTGAATCTGGGCCAGGCCGTTGCCCCCAAACCACAAGTGTCTCGGACTCCCTCTCAAAACCCCTCGCTGCAAATGAATGTAGGGCTGGGCCGCACGCAAATGCCTGCGGGACCTCCGCCAAAAACCCCAGACCTGAAAATTGCCGCTCAAAGACTGTTTGTGTCTCCACACACGCCAATGGGAAATGCACTGCATTCATCGCATCCATCTGCGACCCGAAACCGTCAAATCCAAATGCCGGGTGACTCGCCATCACATCGCCGTCTTCCGACCGGCCCAGGTGGTGAGCCACAGCCATATACGCTGCCGCTTCCTCAAAGACAGTTTCAAATGCAAAGCCAGTCCGTTCAGCCGCAAAACCAACCCTATTCGCAGGATCGCTCCTCAGACTCTTTGGTTTCCACTCCAAACAAACCGCCATCTCTCCAGCGTAACCCCACAAGCAAAAGAAGAAAGGATTGCAAAGCATGTGGCCAACCGATTAGCGGTCAGTTCGTTCGGGCCATGAACAATGCTTACCATATTGATTGTTTCACGTGCTACAAATGTGGTGTGCAATGCTCCTCAAAGTTTTTCCCCCATGACATTACCGACAAGAATGGAAATGTGGTGCAAGTTCCTCTTTGCGAGTATGACTACTTCAAGGAACTAGATCTCATTTGCTTTTCATGTGACAGTGCTTTGCGTGGACCTTATATCACAGCCTTGGGCAACAAGTATCATTTGGAACATTTCAAATGTTCTGCCTGTGGCAAAGTTTTCGAGTCTGATGAGAGCTACTATGAGCACGAAAACAACATTTACTGTCATTACCACTATTCAAAGTTGTTTGCAACAAAATGTGAAGGATGTCAGTCCTCTATTGTGAAACAGTTCGTAGAACTTTTCAAAGGAGGAAGAAATCAGCAGTGGCATCCAGAGTGCTACATGGTATACAAGTTTTGGAATGTTTCCATCACAGCCGAATGTGTGGGCTTGCAAGAAAAGTTGGGTATCGAGTTTAATACGTTTCACATTGACGATATTGCGCCTGACGATCTACTTATTGTTGAACAGCAAATTGAAAATGCTGTAATGCAGTGTTGGCTAATTTTGTCAGGCTTTGAGGAAATTGCTGCTTCTTGTATCTCTGAAATGTTGCTATGTGCTTGCACAGGGAAGCGAAATAATGGTTTGTCCATGACAGGTCGTCTTGTGGTTTTTGTGGAGATTCTATTCAATGCCTTAGATTTCGTTCAAGGCATGTGTTTGATGCACAAACCCGAGAAACCATCTAACGAAAGTCATAATTCTGTGGCGGAGGAAATTTACTCTGTTGATGCGTTTGATAAGTTCCAAACCCTTCGCAAAGAACCTCGTAATATTTCTGGAAAATTAATGAGCTACTTGGCCATCTTGCGAAAGTCGAAGCAATCAGCAGCAACAGGAAGTTTCTCTACTGAGTTGCTTTCGGTGGTGACAGGAACTGCTCATTACTTGAAGCTTATGATCAGGATCGGACTTAATAACGCTTTGACTTTGAACAAGATCCGTTGCGACACTAGAGCTCTTGATGGATTTCTCCGCCTCATCAAAAAGTATGAAGAAGTCGACCCTATGGATAAGCTACAAGGTGATGCCCGAATTTCCATCAGTTCCCGTTTGGCAGTTCCTTATAATGCAACAGATTCATGCACTGCTTGTCTGAAGAGCATTGAGAAAGCGTGTGTCGCTTTCAAGAACCTGAGGTGGCATCTCAAATGTTTCGAATGTTCCAACTGTCATCGAAAATCCTCTTCGGAGTTCAAGGTCGAATCTTTTCTTTGGGGAACTGACAATCGAATCCTTTGTACCGAATGTTCACGAAAAGGAGCAGGCGAAGGAAGTGGATATGTTTCAGGATTTGTCAAAGTTAGCGATCTCTCGCAGTTAGCATACTTGTTGAAAATTGCGATATTCAGATCCAAGTTTGCAATTAATAAGAACGAGGCACCAGTGAATAGGACGGAGCTGGTTACATCCACGAGAATGACAAACATCGAAGAGGAGCCTTCGGAAACAGAAACAGATTACTCTCGGACTTTGAGTGATATCACATCATTACGAACAAAACGAGAGAGCCAGAAACTTTCTAATTCCATCAAAAAGAATGCCAGGAAATCCGTCATCCTAGAAGCTCCAGAAGCTGCAATGGCAAAGAAGTCCAATACAACTGAGGAAGGTGAAGAGCGTCAACGTCAAGCAAGCTCTGCATCAATGTTATCGTTTGTTCCGCTGGAGCAGGACTCTGATCAATTTGATTTCTCATTCAATAACTTGAAAATCAGAGACGATCCTCCTGATAGACAAACAAGCAATAATTTGGACCGAACCTACGATTTGTTGAAGAATGAAAAAGCGCTTACCTTGGATGATATTCCTAGAATTGTTGCTGCTGAACAAGCCAGGGAACAACGGCCAAATGCATACAAGCATCACAATTCCTTGTATCTCAAGAAGGATCAACCTTTGCGTACAGTCTCTGTTGCAAACGATGATGTCCGCAAAAGTGGAACTGGCAATGATCAGGTGAATAGAATTCCATCCTACTCAAAATACTACTCTGAATTGAGTAAAAATGACCATTTCATTTTGCAACATATAGCTGTGGAAGCATTATTGGAGATGAAGAGGTTTGGAAGAGAGGAATTAGTGAACATGATCCCTACGCGAAAGTCAGGTACATTTTGGGACAAGTTCAAATTTGGAGGTGGAGATAAATCAAAACATGTCGATGTTTTTGGTGCTAACCTCAAGGAAGTCAGCAAGAAGTACGGGGTTGACTCCGACTTAGGTGTAGGACCAGCACAATTGCGGATTCCGATTCTTGTTGATGATATTATCAAAGCTCTTCGTCAAAAAGACATGTCGGTAGAAGGTATCTTCCGGTTGAATGGTAATATCAAAAACTTACGTGAACTCACCGAACAAATTAATAAGAGTCCGTTGAAATCCCCTGACTTCAGCAAATATTCAGCTGTACAGCTTGCGGCACTTTTGAAGAAGTGGTTAAGAGAGTTGCCTAATCCGCTCTTGACTTGCGAACTTTACGACTTGTGGATCTCGTCGCGCAGAGAAAAAGACCCAGTTAGAAGCAAGAGAATTTTGCAATTGGCATGTTGCATGCTTCCACGAAGCCATCGGAACTTGTTGGAGGTTCTTCTTTACTTCTTCAACTGGGTTGCTTCTTTCGCAGAAATTGATGAAGAAACGGGATCGAAGATGGACATTCACAACTTGGCCACGGTTATTGCTCCCAATATTCTCTCATCTAAAGCTGCGCAAGACGGATCCGGTCTGCAATCGAGCGAGTCCCACTTCTATGGAATTGAAGTCGTCAATCTGTTGATTGAGATGAACGAGGAACTCGCAGTAATCCCGAACGATGTATGGGACTTTTACCAAAAGTGCCAATTCCCTGCGTCAACCAAGGGCGATACTTTGTCGTCCAAGGACATCTTCGGAACCATCAGCAAAGTATCGAAAGAAAACCCACAGTTTTTCAGTAAATTCATGGAGACTGAACCGCTGTATGGCCACCTGCAAAACTCCATCAAGAAGGGCCAAGCGGTTGTGCACAATCCAGTTTAATATCCCGTCTGGAATTTCACGCCACGGAGTGTATGTATAGTTAATGATGATGTCAATTTAATAATTTTGATTCACTTTCAATGGGTAGTTTAATTCAGAAGTGAATTGAGACCTAGGGGAAAGTATCTCGTGGACCATTCATGCCTGGATTCGAAATGACTACAATTGAGTTTTCGCTCCTATCTACCATTTTAATGATTGATCTGAGATTAAGTCTAACATTTACTAAGACAGCTTCTCCCAGAGTGGAACATTTACTCTTTTATCTCAAGAATGTATCTCCCGTGTCATGGCGAAAAAAGGCCAAATCGTTCTTACCTATACATCAGTACCATGTAAAATGATTAGATTTTCAAATCACACACACAACTGCTAGCAATTTTTAGAGTTTTTCCAGGCCAAAGTGTTCCGTATGCCCATTGTGTAAATGCCGGTGCCTTTATTGGGTTGAAAATGGGTGAATCGTCCGAAGTATAGACAGTTCTCAGTGCGAAAAAGACAAACTTCAACCATATGGCGCTCACAACAGAATCTCTCAAGGACATAATCCAGGAAAGACTTCAAGCCTCTCTCGTGCAGGTCGAGGACATGTCTGGCGGCTGTGGTCAGGCGTTTGCCGTGGTGATTGTTTCTCCCCTTTTCGCCGGGAAAAACAAGTTGATGAGACACCGTCTTGTCAATAGTGCCCTCAAGGAGGAGATAGCGGCGATCCATGCTTTCACGCAGAAAGGTTTCACGCCGGAGGAGTGGACGGCGCAAGGCGGGGCTCTCTGAGGCGAGGCTTAACGGGCTTAATATCATTTGAAAGAGGAGACACGGAAGAGGCTAGGACAGAAGAGGCTAGAGACAGAGGCCGGCAAAACACTTGGATGTGTTGCAGGTGCCAGATTGCACGGCAAACCAGCGGGATAGTTGGAAATCCGTTCTTATAAGAACTAAGATCAACGGGCCCTACTTACGGCTGTCGTTCATAGTAGTCATATCAGTCGACCTACATCTACATCATCGTCACATTCAAACTGTACAGCAAGCAGCGCTATCGGGATGCCTATGCGGCATGTCTAATTCATTTCTATCTAGTTCTGAAATATCCCCACCCTTCTAGAGTTATTAAACCAAAAGACGCCGTTTGATGTGTCTGTAACGGTAGTAGAGGACCAGCCACGCCACCACTAAAACGCCATATATGGCCAAAATCACAAACGGATAGAACTGGAGGCCCAGGACGCTCTGGTTTGCGATTAGCCCCACCAAAAACGGAAGCATGGCCCCGCCGCCGCCTCCAAAAGCGCAAATGAACCCAACACCTGTGGCATGGTACTTGACCGGCAAGATTTCGAGGGCACAAACTATGGTCGTTGGGAAAATGGGGCCGACAAACAAGCCTGTGACGAAAACAACAACGAAAAGAACCGCTGTGGCTGGGGTGAAGGCGAAAACACAAAAGAGAAGCTGGCCCAAGACGGACATGCCAATGTAGGTCCAGTTTGCTGCTAGTTCGCTAAGGAAATAATGTGCTGTGACAAAGCCCAACCCAATTCTGCCTGCGGTCAAGCCTGTCCAGAATGTGGTGGCCATGTAGGATGCCTGCTTGTACGGGAATAGCTTGATCCGAACCAAGAACGTCACTAGCCATGCGCCAAAAGCGACTTCAGCGCCGACATAGAGAAACATGATGGTGGAGAAAAACCACACGAGAGGCGATTTGAGTGCGGAGCTGAGTGACGCAGACAGATCTGAGTCTTCCGGTTCCGAATATTCGAAATGGTTTTCGGAATGCGTATTGGCACCCAAAAGCGTGGCCGAACTTGTGCTTTCTTGGTAGTCTACAGAAGTGCGGGCGTCGGGAGAGTCAGAGACAGCATGCTTGTGGTTTCCCGAGTTAGTAGAGTCTGAGACAGCATGCTTGTGATTGCCCGAGTTAGGAGAGTCCTCGACCTCAGAGTTTTGATTCTTTCCCTTTAGTTTGTCGGCAGAATATTCCTCCACCCTAACATGGACATACGAAGCATCGCTGTCTTGCGACTCCTGGTCAGCCTTGGACTCTGCATTTCCTTCACCCTGCTCTCTTCTTCGCTCCTCGTTGAGGAGAACTTGGAACCGAAACTTGAGTGGTGTTTCGTCTCGAAACGTCACCGCAAAAAACACAAAACACGACGCAGCCACTGCCGTCAAGACGACATAGTATGCGTTCCACGGCCATGGGTTTTTCTTGCGCTCCACCAAATGCGTGATGAGAGGTGGAGATATCATGCATCCAATCCCATAGCACCCATGCAAAATGCCCAAAAGCTGGTTCGAGTCCACCAAGTTGCCCATCCATGCGTTCAAGCTCGCGTCCAAGGACCCAAAGCCGATGCCGCTGAACACGTAGCCGATGACAAGAACGAAATACGGCGGTTCTAGACTGGCAACTAAGTAAGCACTCATCATACACATCGTTCCCATCATAGAAACGCCCTTGTAACCCAACGCACGGTGAAACTGCTCGGAAAGAAGCGCCATGGCAAAGTAGCCCAGAGTCAGCGCTAGAAAGATGTATGACGTGTGAATGTCATTAATGTGATAATGGTCTTGGAGCTTGGGAATTAGAGTGCCCACGGTCTGTTCCGCCAACCCAAAGAGAATGAAATTGCAGTACGACGCGGCAATTTGAAACTGGAGCCTTTTGCTGTGCCGCCAGTCGGAAGAATCAATGAAGATCTGCTGGCCACAGAATTCGGTGTAGTATTTTTCGCTAGGCGGAAGTGAAGCTAGCTGAGCAAAGTCTGGTTTTTCTTCTGGCCTTGGAGACCCGAAATCGTCGAGCTCAACTTCCATATAGTTTTTTTTATTCTTTTTGTTTCGTTATTTCGGTCTTGCTGTCTCCGTTTGAGATTCGAGTATTCGTTAGGAGATTGAGATTCTCCACACATTACCTAATAGCGTATCCACTCCATGCATACTGTATGCATCTCCATGTTAGGGGTCCACCGAACCAAATTTTGCAATGGAATGAACGACTCACGTTTTGTTTGAATTTTATCTTGTTGAGATAAGGTTCAAGATTTTTGTTCAACCATCTTTTAATCGACTCTGCGTGGTGTCAGAAAGCTCATCTTTTTGCTTTGATATCGACGTACTGGTAAACTTACTATAGTGTTAAGATGACCGATCTAATTCGAAGATGACCGATCTAATTCGAAGATGACCAACCTAATTTGAAAATGACCCACTTAATTCGAAAACGACTGACTTAATTCGAAAATGACCAACTTAATTCGAAGATGACCGACCTAAATCCAAGATGAATTCTCCATCAATAGGTTTCACTAAATTTTTTTACTTTGTACATCTGGCTTCTCACGATGGTTAATATCTAACTTGATAGAACAACGAACATGCAAGGCTCATATTGTAGCCCTTTTCCTTTTTATGTGACAATCCAATGTAATGAGTATGTAAAATTCTATTCATTGTCCATCTCCCGAATGGACTTTTACCTACGAAATTGGCGCTCAATATTGAAAGCCTTTGACTAGCAGCATAAGATGTTTTAAGAATACGAATAACTTGGATTTAACACTTTTTTCTTTCGAATTTTACCTGCTACTATCGGAGGAATATAATCTGCGAGAAGTCGCAAGCCTTGAAATTGTCAAGCAATGGCTGATGCACTGCAATGCAATATAACGTCACTCTCTCTGTGTTGCTAAATTATCAATGAGGTTATTTAGCATACGATTTGGTGCCCCTTTTCGCTTCTTGTGGAAAATTCAAATTTCTGTTGGTGTTTATGTATTGTTCTAATCTGTCAGAAATGGCCAATGTTCGCAAATTACCCATGTCTCTCAGTACCATTCCGGCAAAAAATTATTACCATATTTAGCAAATGGCGCTAAAAGTATACACATGACCGATGAAAGATTTAAAAAGATACATCTCTCTCTACTGTCTTATCGTTTTTCTATTTCTTCAGACTTATATGCTCTCCTAGAAAACCCCGTAACCAAGCCTCCTTAGCTTAGTGGTAGAGCGTTGCACTTGTAATGCAAAGGTCGCTAGTTCAATTCTGGCAGGGGGCATGGTCCGCGCAAGTGGTTTAGTGGTAAAATCCAACGTTGCCATCGTTGGGCCCCCGGTTCGATTCCGGGCTTGCGCATTTCTTTTTTCGATCAAGAATAAGTTTCTCCACACAATTTTTTTTTCTCTTCAATGCCTAGCCCAACGTCGAAGAGAGCGGTTTCCGCCGCTACCAAGGCCAGTATGTCTTTTTCGTTTCCGTCTTTCAGCCCCTTCTAACCCCAGTCCAAAAACTCTATCCTGTTAAGTTAGCTGACAGCTCATGGGACAATACTGGATTGCTTTTAGATTCGTCTTCCGATTTCGAGGAAACAGACCAATGCAAGATCCTACTTACCATTGACTTGACCCAATCGGTGGCAGATGAGGCCATTGCGAAAAAAGCCAACATGATTGTCGCTTACCACCCATTTATATTCCGGGGTCTTAAGCTGATTACCCCAGCAGACCCACAGCAGAAATCGTTGATCCGCCTAGTGCAAAACAACATCAGCGTTTACAGCCCCCACACTGCAGTGGACAGCGCCAAGGGAGGCGTCAATGACTTTTTGGCTGAAGGAATCTCTCAAGACAGGAAAGTCAAGTCGCAAGAAGTGATAGACCCAGATGCAAACGAAGAAGGTTGCGGGATGGGCCGCCTTGTGACTTTGGCAGAGCCAGTTCCACTTTCGCAGCTAGTTGACAATGTCAAGCACAGTCTTGGGTTGAACCATGTCCAAGTCGGTCTCGGCCGGAACCAAAACAAAAACCACCCAATTAGCACCATTGCCATCTGTGCTGGGTCGGGCGGATCGGTTTTCCGGGGAACTAAAGCAGATCTCTACTACACGGGCGAATTGTCCCATCACGAGGCGCTTTACTTTACGGAAATGGGCTCTTCTGTGATTGCATGCAATCACTCCAACACCGAAAGAGCCTTTTTGAAAGTGTTGAAGGAGCAATTACTTGGAGAGCTTCCGGACGCAGAGATTTCCATCAGTGAAAATGACAAGGACCCCTACGAAACGTGGTGATCTGCAAATACATAATAGAATGAGAAGTCAATGTAACCCGACACTTGTATGCCGAAAGCATAAATCATATCTATAAGTACCAAAAATTGATTTACTCCATATTCTAAAGCAATGAAAATCCAAACTGTGGACCAGAATCGTACTGGCAAGTGGAAGCATACAATCAACCATTGTAGTAGCCGACAATAATCGGGCTCCATTAGAAAACGTACACATTGTCACAAAACCTTTTCCATATACTAGATAACAAAAAAACGAATAATTAATTACTATGTCATAGTTGTAGCACCGGATACTGAAGCAGTGAATTTATGACATTATGAAGTAATGTCTTATGTTGCTACTATCAGTAGCTTTAGTCGTCGCCAAATAAAGATCCTATAAGTTCGCCAGCGCCATGAACAGCGTCTTCAATCATGCCCCCAACTTCCAGAGCCGCATCTTCAACGTCTTCCCAGATTTTGTTCACGCCTTTGAGTGCTGAAGTCTCTCCTTCAATGGTGCCCGTTTTCGATTCCAATTCTGTCTCCGTCTTTGTTTGCGTTGTGGCAGTTTCTAGCACGGTGTTTTCTGTCTCTGTCTCAGTCTTTGTCTCGGCTGCATTTGTGTCAGTCTTTGTCTCTTCTGCCTTCGTTTCCGTCTTTGTCTCCGGCTCCTCCGTCTCATTCGCTCCCTCAGACTCTATTTTTTTCCGCCCCCATAATGCATCCACGGTAGCATTGCGCACCAAATGATCAAAATCAAACGGTACGTCAGGATACGACACTTCATCTGTCCAATCATCGGGCAAAAGCTGCTCGGAAGAAATGGCATAACCTCGTGCACCTTGACTTGTGCCATTATTAGGAGCAGGATTAATGCCGATACTTTCACACACAATGTTGTAGACGTCCGTGTTGGCAAAAGGAAGCACCTTCTTCTTCTCGCCGAGCCGAGAGTCGAAATACGGACCTTGCGCCACGAAAAGCGCCCGCATAAGCATGTGAGAGTTATTGTAGCCATGGACCCCTTTTGGCTTGTACTGTTTGTCGTTCTCCTCAAACTGCTTGTGGGTCGTAATAGAATACCCAACGTCGGGAACAATCCAAAGCGGCGCCAAGCGGTAATTGAACAAGTGGTCCTTTTCTTGTCCTCCAAAGTTCCACTCACGTGGCATATCTTCAACACGATATAAGGTGAAGTTGTGGATGCCAAGCTTGGCCATGTTGTTGCTGATATCCTCGTATATGGAGTCCACAGAATATTCTTTCTTTGGTCGGAGCCCGTACAACGGCCAGCCGTCCACGTGCCCGATTTTGGCCGTGTCCACAACATCGTCAAGGAAAAGGAGCCGTTCGTTGCTAGTAGGTGCCATGCCGTGGTCACTCACCACAACGAGGTTGACAATGTGGGTCAAGTTGCGCTCGGCTAATGCCGCAGCCATCTGTGCCACAAAGGCGTCCACACGCAGCAACGCGTCCTCCAACTCGGCGCCGCTCACTCCATACCGGTGGCCGTACTGGTCGATGGTAGGCACGTACGTCAAAACGAGTTCGGGCCGCTTCTGATCCTCAAGATCAAGCCACCCCATCACCCTGTCCACTTTTGCAGCCAAGGGTTCAGTGCCGTTGAAGTGGTCCACTGCAATTGGCCCATTATCTCCGATCGTGGGCACTTCACTGCCTGGCCACATGTGCACAGCGGACTTGACGCCTTGGAGGGCAGCTGTGGTCCAGATGGGCTGGCCGCCACGCCAAAAGTCGGGATCCAAGCCATACAGCGGGTTTGTGTTGATGAACTGGCGCTGCAAACGCGGGTCGAAAAACGTATTGCCCACGATTCCATGGTCTGCCGGATAAAGCCCCGTCACGAGCGTCCAGTGGTTGGGGAAAGTTGACGACGGGAACGACGGCGTCATGTAGGGGGCACCGTACTCCTCTATCATCATGCGGTGGAGCGCAGGCGTGGTTTCTGCGGAGATGTAGTGCGGGTGGAATCCGTCTAGCGACACCAACACCGTGGACGGGCGGAACGTGTGGGTGCCGTTCGAAAGCACATGCAGCGTGTCGCCCGTCTTTTGCAGCCTGGGCCGTTGCCGCCAGAAGAAAAGGAGAAGGAGCAACACAAGGGCAGCGGCAAACACCAGAATGGTACGGTTGAGTTTCTGGTTGATGCGGCGGATCGCATAGTCGCGTAGCTCGCGCCGGGGCAAGTCGGTCTCGTCGTCGTCGTCGATGTCGAAAAAATCCGAGTCTTGCAGATTGTTGTCTTGAAAGCGGAAGAACCGTTTGGCCTTGTCAACGAACGTGGGTTGTTCATGTTCGTAGTCGAACGAATCGATGAACGCTGTGTTTTGTGGGCCGACGAAAAGATCGTCTGGCTCGTCCAAATCCGTCACAGGCACATCTGCACGATGGGGGTATTGGACAGACATGGAAGGAATGCAGAAAAGTAGAGGATAACGAAAGAGAAGTAGGTAATAAATAAAGCGCAGTGCGCGAATTAAGATAGCGCGAAGAGATAGGAAGACAGAGACAGAAAAGATAAGACAAAGAAAGGCGAGAGAAATCGAACATGGGGAGACGAAAGATTTTGGTTTACAATTGAGAAAGAGACGGTAAGCTGACTGGTTTTGCTTCTTTTTGCTTCTTTTAGCTTCTTTTTTTGCTTTTTTTGCTTCTTTTCTTCATGAGTCAAAAAATATAGTCTTGGCTAATGCGAAGAGCTACAGGACTTACATATTGTTAGTCTGGAATTTAAAGAAAGACAAAAATGTGCAAGAAAATCGTAGCGGTGCATTAATCGGAGGAAAGCTTGATATATTCTATGGTTCTAGTCCGCAAACTTCAAAATTAGGATTGTTAATTTATTGTGGTTACCGATTTGAAAAGTGCTCTCGCAGTCTAAAAACTTTGATTAAATCGGCTGTTTATGTGACTTAAGGCGAATGTGTCCCAAATAAATGACGAAGAAAACTGATGGCAAAACGATTATAGTAAACGGTTCATTCACAAAATGAGACAAGCATACATGTCTAGTGCGTAGTTTATGAAAACGAATAACCCAAGTTTTCATAGATCGCCACATCAGCTGATTAGAACTTCCTTCAAGTTCAATGCCGTCTTGGAATTGAATTCCAACTCAAGTAATTGCCTTGAAAGTCATAACATTGAAAGTGCCGATAATAATCCAATAACTGTAAATCTGTCGTTCCAGATAAAACGTGAGAACCCAAGCCGGATAGAATATCAAACGTTTTCTGATCTGCTGTTTCAAGAAACGCAGTGCCAATCCCAGCCTCATTCACAACTGATTACATATAAATATCAAGTTCCAAATTCCGCTGCATTAGTCGAGTGAGCGATCTAACATCCATTTCCCCAAGACGATCACACAAGCATACAATCCGCCATTGCCACCATTGACCCATCCTCAAAGCTCTGAAAGCAAAATCTCGAGTAAACGCCCTCATGCTCGAGTAAACACCTCATATACGCACCACGGGCGATTTTTCTCTTCTGGGCCTGTCCCGAGCCCGATGCACTTTTACCCTCAACGCCATCAACTTGTCTTCACGTAGATCAGCACGCGAAACCCGGGCCTGGCACCCTGTTACTGGGCAATTGATTTGCAGATGCGCTTCCAACAGCTTCATGATATGTTCGCGTTCAAACACATGTCCACATTTGCGGGAGATCATGGGCTCCACAAAGTAATTCAAGGAGAGCGGGTCTTTGAGAGATATCTTGCCGCCGGCCACGGCCAACTCCTCGTTTTCCTGGTCCTCCGGGATCGGGTCTTCTGGATTTTCAAGCACAAACTGGGCATTCTTGAGATACTGGTACATTGAGTCTGCCCGGAGAATTTCGTCAAAGGAAAGCTTGTTCGGACCTTCAAGTGTCTCGTGCAACTCATCCACTATGCGATCAGCAAAGTTGGCCTTGTCCACATCCTGGTACACATGGTAGTTGGCGAGACTCAAGTCCTGCTCGTGTCTTCTGCTGTCGACAAACTCACGATGGGCCGTTTTCAAGGCACTTTGGAGCGTCTGGAGCCGGAACTTGGCGCCAAAAAGCTGCACGAACGACGTGAGCTGCGTGTTGAGGAAGCGAGTGCACTCAGGTTTCGGGACAAGTTGCGGATTCGATCCCACGTAATCTAGGTACTGGTCTGTGGTTCTTTTGAGCATGAGAAGCTGGTCATCGATCTGGTTGAGAAGCAGCACCGACGAGAATTCCGTGTTGACACGGAGGCTCAGATGCACGGGGAAATAGCGGGGAAGATCCGTGTCGAAGTTGGGCGTTTCCATGGGATGAGATATCAGGTAGAAATTGAGGTTAAGATATTGAGGTTAAGATATTGAGGTTAAGATATTGAGGTTGAGAAATTGAGGTTAAAATTGAACGTGATTCCGAGCGGTGATTTGAAGATTCGTCGGTAGATAGAAGGTCGAGTAATGATCTGCAGTCTGCAATTATAAGTGTGTTGTGTATCTCTAGTTCTTTATTTTGGTTAGTATGGACCACATACAATACCGATGCGATGTCTGCGTATTGCACTTTTAGCTGGAGAAGCTCATGAAGCATCGAAAACGTCAGAATTTTGACCCGTCAGAAATTTTGACATTCTTTTGTCTGGAGATGGAATTACTGGTATGCTGAGTGATGTTTTTTTGCCTATTGGAAGACGGTGCCATAGTCTCATGTGCCCAAATATGCTTGTGCTCGAGTTGCCAGCTTACTGTTCGATCCGAATACTACGGTCAGTTAATTTCTCCAGCTGACGGTCCGTAGTTGTTGTAGCTATAAATCTGATAGACCCACAAAATTTGCTTGGCCTTGATTCAATTTGACATGAGTTCAGAGAAAAGGCTACATGTATGTCCACTAATTGGAAGACTAGTCAGAAGTCTCTTCACAAATGTAACTTGACTATACGTATTATCTAGAGACTACGCGATGTTCGAGAGCAGGATCTACTTTCAGCTGCAGACGACTTAGTAAGAAAACAAGACGTTGGGTACTATAAGTTGAACTCATTTGTTCGCCCAGTTGAACGAGTCCCAACTACTGAGAGACACAGATTCGTAAGAGCCCCACCAAACCTCCTATAAGCCAGTTATATTATCTATGTATCTATCGTTAGAAAACGTCGCCCTGGTCGAACATAGCGTCGGCCACCTTGATGAAACCTGCAATGTTGGCACCCTTCAACAAAGATGGCAAGCCAAAGTTGGTCTCCTTCGTGTACTTGACCGCAGTCTCGTAGCAGTTGTCGAAACACTCGTACATGATTTGCTTCAACTTGGAGTCCACCTCCTCTCTGCTCCATTGAACTCTCTGGGAGTTCTGGGCCATCTCCAAGCCAGAAACAGCAACACCTCCACAGTTGGCGGCCTTGCCTGGCGCATACCACACGCCCTTTGGTCTGTTCTTCTCGAAAATCTCAACAGCTTCGGCAGTCGAGCCCATGTTGGAGCCTTCCGCAATGTAGATGCACCCAGCATCCACCAAGGCCTGGGCCTCTTGACCGGAAATCTCGTTTTGGGTGGCAGAAGGCAAAGCCACATCCACCTTGCCCACATGGGTCCAAGGACGGGCGCCTTCAAGGTACTCGACCTTGGCCGCAGTGAAGGCAGAGTACTCTTCGATGATCTGCGACAAGTTCTTGAACTTGATCTTGGCCTCAGCAATGGCCTCCACTTGTGCTGGCGTGACACCGTTGGGGAAAATCAACGTGCCCTTGGAGTCGGACAAGGACACAACAACTCCGCCCAACTCAATCACCTTCAAAGCAGCATACTGGGCCACGTTACCAGAACCAGAGATGGCCACACGCTTGCCCTTGAAAGTTTCCGAGCCCTGGGTGGCCTTCTCGATCATCTTCTCGACGTAGTAAACCACACCGTAACCGGTGGCTTCGGGTCTGATCAACGAACCGCCCCAGGTCAAGCCTTTTCCGGTCAAGACACCGGACCAGTTGTTTTGCATGGCCTTGTAGGCGCCGAAAAGGAACCCAATCTCACGGCCACCCACACCAATGTCTCCTGCTGGAACGTCGGTGTCTGCGCCAATGTATCTGGCCAACTGTCTCATGAAGGCCACACAGAAACGTCTGATTTCGGCGTCGCTGCGGTTCTTGGGGTCAAAGTCCGAGCCTCCTTTGCCGCCGCCCATCGACAAGCCGGTCAAGGCGTTCTTGAAAATCTGCTCGTAGCCCAAGAACTTCAAGATGGACAAGTTGACTGTAGGGTGGAATCTCAAGCCTCCCTTGTATGGGCCCAAGGCGGAGTTGAACTGCACACGGTAGCCATTGTTGACTTCGATTTCGCCCTTGTCGTTTTCCCAAGCGACACGGAACTGGATCACCCGCTCAGGCACAGAAACAACAGGAATCACCTTCTTGTACTCTGGCTTTTGGGTGAAAAGAGTGGAGTCCTCAAGCGCAGAGAACAATTCGTCGTAAGCCTGCTGGAATTCGGGTTCGTGGGGCAAAACCATGATGTTTGTCTAGAAATTGTTTGGTGGAAGGTTTTTTTTTTTCGGCCGGGAGGTTGCTCTTTATATTCTCTAGGCTCGGCATTCTCCACCTGTCAAGGATGCAAAAGCGTGCACGGTTCCAGCGACCGTTGTTCTCTGCAGAACGGTGATGCAAGTAAATGAGTCAACGTCCTGCAGACTGGCCCACCTTGCTTGATCTCCAGCCAATCACATACGCCTTCGCCACTTCGAGTCGCGGCCCTGCAGCGGGCCGAAAACGCCTTAAGATCTCTAGTCAATCATATGGCCCGTGCAAATTATGCAGAAAACTGCTCCGATATCGGGCTGTGGCATCGGAGCTGGAAATTTATTCCAGCAGCGGAATTCTGCATGGTTTATTCTGGGCGACAGAACATCGGTCGGTCTGATGTTTGGCCGTTTTCTGATGGCCAAGATAGGCAAAAAATGTGTTTGGATCCAGACTCATGCTATCTTGGTCGAATCCGTCCCGGTTTCCTCAATGCAATTGAGCCAATAGGGTCTAATCGAACAATGATATACGCTAATATCCAACAATTCAGTACAATTACGAAAGAATAAGACGAGATTAAGGCCTTGTCTTTTTTCAGTCGGACTTCTGGAAGCAGACCTGGCAGATAAGGCTAGCGCCCCCACTCGGTTATCGATAAAAAAGTATTTCCAGACTGCATTAAAACTGACTTTTAGCAGTTGAGCAGGCACCTGAAAATTGCCTAGAGTCATGCTACTTCATGATCATTCGTTTAAAAGGCAATTCCACGAAAACTTATATATTGCAGTAATGGAGCTCACAATTGTCATGGTTTGAATTGATCTATTGGCAACACACCTTTGACTGCAAATCAAATCACTTCAGAACATGGCTTATTGGACACCTTTGCCTCGGAGTGCTCCAAACTCAGATAATTTATATGTTCAGTAGGTTAGTTAACACTTCTTCAAAGAGCTAGGAGAGCTTCTTGAAAATTACTAGTGTTGTGAACGATGTATTTCTTTTGATTCTTGGAATCTCTTTCAATTGTATGGCCGAACTATGTAACCATTTGTAACGTCAAAAGATAACCGGACTCAGTAATTCCAAAGAGATGTTCCATTGTCTGCTGAAAAGACTACGTGGTCTGGATAACTCTGCTTCTCTCGGCCTTTTCATGACTTTAAATGCACCACAAAGGTGGCGTAATCTTCATCTCAGATTAGTGATCTAGTATCATCCATTCATGGATATCTATTTACAGTCTACTCATACACACGCATTCTGTTGGCAATACGCTCATCCACCTCCAATTCTTGCACCCATTCGCTGTTCTTTGCACGGCCTCTTTCAACCCATTTCTTAGGCCAATCCAACTCCTCTTCCTTGCCCAAGAACCGGTCTTTGAACTCAAAGGGCCTCGAGCGGCCGTAGATGATGGGCAATGTTTTCTCCGAGACCTCTTCTGCCATTTTTCTGGTGTTGAAGTATCTGTAGATTTTTCTTGGGATGTTCATGAATCCACTCAACTTCGGAATAGCGAACACAGACAATGGTTGTTCAAATAACACTGGCACGTTCTTGTCGTTGCGGATCACCTCTGTGAAATCCAATTCGGGAGCCAAAGTCCCCGAGGCGTAATCGGCCGGCTGGATGTATGGTTTTGGCACCGGTTCTTGCTTTTTCTGCTCCGCACCTTCTTTCTGGCCGAAATCCTCAACTTCTTCAGCTTTGCTTTCGTTTTCTCCCTCTGGCAACTCTGCAGCAGGCTCAGGCACAGGTTCTGCGGGTTTCTCCAACGGTCCCAAAAGGCCCTCTTGAACACCGTTCATGTACTCTTTATAAGTGCCTCTACCCACGCAAATGACACCACCAGCATGCAAAATATCATTTTCGTCGTCCCTCACCGGCTTGACAGGCTCGGCCACTCTATAAAGCCCAAGCAAGTCCACAGGAGTGTACATGTCGTGGCGACTGACATAAACCTCTTGTTCTTCTTTCTTTGGGGCTTTTTTGAAAAGATTGCGCACGTCCTCCTTGAAGAACTTAGTCCATGAGCGGTTGTATGCTTCCTTCTTGGCGTCTTCTTCCCTCTGTCGCTGTTTCTCCACTGTCTGCTTTCTCAAGTCTCTGATTCTCTCTGCCACCTGAGACCGGATGTCGCCCTGCCTGTTCTCAGTATAAACCTCGAAATCGATCGCAGCAGCGTTCAAGAGAGGCTTGATGTACTTGCGGAAGTGGCTCATTGACTGGTCAAGAAAATCGTTGGGCGGAGGAGCAATGAAAACCGATACTTTGCGAGGAAGACGTTCGGTTGGGTATACTTCTTTGCTCAAAGCTTCCACCTGCGCCATGTATTTTTCTCTGATTTTCTTCTGCTGTTGCTTGTCGTAGTAGATACCTCCTCCAATAGACGCCAACACGGACCAGAAAATCATCCAGTTTCTGGACGGAAGCGAAATGCGAGGAATTCCCATGGCCCGGAGAGCTGGGTTGGACCAGCTTTTTTTGACTTTTTTCGCCGCATCAGCATTTTTTGTGCCTTCTGCTTTCGTAGCAGGGGCGTTTTCAATCTTGTCACCCGGTTTGTTGTCAGACATGGCGATGGACAAGATGAACACTAATGAGCTGAAATCTTTTGGTTTTGCGTTGCATGCACACCAGCATCTCCACTTTTGGCCCACTGAAATAATATGTACAAATGATGGCCGAAAAATTCATTAGAGAGGGCTGAAAATGATAAGGAATGCCTTAATCTTTTTTGAAGTATGGGAGGAAGTACAATTTGTCAATGGCGTGGCTTATATCGTAGTCGTAAGAATTAAATAGTCCATTGGTTTTCGTCGCAGATGATCAGCCGGATATGTGCTTCATATTACGCTAATGGGAGCATGGGCGGCTCAAATCGATAACTAAACTGGGATAGCAAAAAATCTAATACTACATTCTCTCAATTCACCGAAGTTACACGAGAATAGGTGCTACACTGATCTGTAATGTTCTTTATTCTCATTCATGTTTTTGATATCGTCAATTAGATTTCCTCTTGTTCCTGCTATGAGCCGAGGTGCTTGTCCAATTCTGCCTGCAAATCCTTCTTGTGCAAGTTTTTACCAATAAACACTAGCTTATTGCATTTAATGTCCGGATGCAAGTTTTCTCCTTTGATGATGTCGTAGGTATCCCTCACGCCCTGAATGACACGCACGTCGTCATTGAAGACGAGAATGCCCTTGACCCGGTGAACTTCCAAAGGCTGTCCGTTAGCCACGTTTTCCCAAAGAGTCTGCTGCAAGAACGACTCCACCTTTTTAAAGCCAGAAGCGTCAGTGAAGAAAGGTGTTTCCAAGGTCACCGTGACTATGCGGTCATCATGATAGCTCGAGTCTGTGGCGACGCTCACCAGGTTGCACAACTTGTCTGAGTTTGCCTCTAGAGCATGCAAGTCCAAGATTTTCTCCAAGGAAATGTCACCAAAACTAGTGGTGTACATGGGCGACGAGCCGTTGATGGTTTTGATTCTGTTTTTGATGCTTTCAATCTCACTTTCCGTCACCTTATCTACCTTGTTGAGCAAGATGGTGTCGGCCAAAGCCAACTGCAAATGGGCTGTGGTGATGCCTTCGTTTAATAGCTGTTTTTCTCTTTCCACCATTTCTGCCGTGGCCTCGACAGAGTTCTCCGCTAGAATATGCTTGTTGGCACGATGCCAGTGGCCGCCCACGTCATCAAGACACTTGAGGATGTTGGAGGAATCGACCACGGTTACCACGCCGTCTATGTAAATCGACGAAGACAAAGCGTCGTCCAACCAAAACATCTTGGCGATGGGAGCCGGATCGGCCACGCCGGTGGTTTCGAGCAAAATGTAGTCGATCTTGTCCTTTGAGTTTTCGATAAGATTCTCAATGGCCAACACTCCATTGTCCTTGACGGTGCAACAGAGACACCCGTTGCCCAAGTCGAGCCATTCTTGCACTGCTCCTTTCTCCGAATCGAGCACCGTCACCAGCTTTTCGATTGCCGCCGTGTCGCCGAACTCGTTGAGGATTATGGCCAATCTTTTCGTGGAATGGCGGGCTATGGTGTCTAGCAAGGTGGATTTGCCCGAACCCAAGTAGCCCGTGACGATGGTGACGGGAATACGGTCTTTATTTTCCGGTTTTGGGACGTACGCCGACGTGTCTTCCACGGTGGCAAGATACAGCGGTTTGATTTGGAAGTCGGGCGGAAGCTCCTCCACCAACTCGGGAATATCGTCCATGTGGTAGTTCGCACTAAGATGGAGAGGTAAGAGGAGGAAGAAAAGAAAGGATAGAAGAAATAGAAGAATACAAAGAATATAAAAATACAAAGAATAGAAGAATAGAAGAATAGAAGAATAGAAAAGAGGAGGAGGAGAAAATTGACAGAGATTGAAAATAGAATATGAATTCGCTTTCCCCTTCAAGTAACTAGTCTCCGATTTCGAAGCTGTAACATCGATAAGGTTACGTCTTTCGTTCAACGGTATTAGAAGGTCTTTTCTTCTCTTTCTTGCGGTACATGCCAGTTGATCGATATGCCGATCTTTATGAACCATCTGTTCATCTATTCGACTAATCTTGTTCTCTTCAAACCTATTCTACTCTCTCTTGACTATTTGATTCTATTTCATTTCTTTATTACTTGCAGCCTCTCAAGTTGTTTCATTAATCTCAATTCCATATCTGTCTACTCATTACTTTCAAACTCTATTTTCACTATCTTCTTTTCATCTTCATCTTCATTTTCAATTTCTTCATTCTTCATTTCTTCATTTCTTCATTTCTTCATCTCTTCATTTCTTCATTTCATTTCTTCATTTCATTTCTTCATTTCTTTTCTTCATTCTTCGTTTCTTCAATTCTTTTGACTCTTTCTTCTTCATTTGTTTCCTCTCATTCTTCTATATGTACTTAGCCTTCTCTACGCACGGCTCTAGTGCAGGTTTCAACCACTTTCTTCCACTTCTCCACTACAATGAAGCTTCTGTGGATCTTGGATATCCTCCTCACCTCGGTGGTGGTGGGCTATTTGCTTCTTGCTCCCTACACCAAAGTGGAGGAGTCCTTCAACATGCAAGCGATCCACGATATCTTGAACTTTGGCGTCTACCCGGCCAAAGTCTTGGAGAACTTTGACCACAAAAGCTTCCCTGGCGTTGTTCCTCGGTCCTTTGTCGGTTCGTTGTTTGTTGCCGCTGTTTTGAAGGCGTCCGATGTGTTTTTCTCCCAGCTGGTGGGCTACTCCATTCTCACCAACTCCGAGTTTGGTCAATTGCATGTTCAAGTGATGGCGCGAGGCATTTTGGCCACGCTCAACATCTTGGGCTTTCTGGCCATCAGAAACAGCATCGATGCCATTGTCTACAAGGAAAGAAAGACACGCCGCGGCGTGGTGGGCTTCTTCTTCTTGCTCTTGTTGCTTTCGCAGTTCCATCTTCTCTTCTACCTGAGCAGGACATTGCCCAATTTCTTTGCCTTGCCCATTGTCTCGCTTGCCTTTAGCAGATTGATTCTCGGCGACATGTCTGGCTTGGCGCTCATGGCTTTTGCAGGCGTGGTGTTCCGTCTCGAAGTGGGTGTTTTCGCTTCGGTTATTGCCTTGGTGTCTTCTTTTGGCTTTGGCCAGTCCCCCGTCACCACCAATTTCTTCATGCTAGCTGCCGGCGCTCTTGTTGGCTTGGCCCTCACTGTGTCTGTTGACTCGTACTTCTGGGGCCGCTGGCTTATTCCAGAATTGGAGGCTTTCCAATTCAATATTCTCCACGGAAAATCGGTCGAATGGGGCGTCGAGCCTTACAGTGCATACTTTGCAAATTACATTCCCAACTTTTTCCGTCCGCCGCATGTCTTGGCCTTGGCCATTGTTGGTCTTTTCCACGATCCAGCCCATGACGGAAGCCCTCCAAAATTGGACAAGAACAACAATCTCATCATCACCCACCCAGCCCGCAACTCCATCCGTGTGTTGGTGTTTTCCGCCTTGATTTTCGTGGCCCTCATCTCGGGCCAGCCTCATAAAGAGTGGCGCTTCATTATCTACATCGTTCCTATTCTCACACTTTCGGCCGCTATTGGATTGTCTCACCTCTGGTGGAAACGCACTGCGCTGTTGGCACATAAGCTCTTGCTCTTGTTTGTGGCATGCAGTTTCCTTCTCTCGTGGTCGATTTCGGCGTTCATTGCTTTTGTGTCCAGCTTCAATTATCCTGGTGGAGAAGCCATTTCTTATCTCGACAATTATCTTTTCAAAAACCCTCCGCAACAGAACATCACCGTCCACATGGATGTTCCTGCTTGCATGACTGGAGTTACCAAGTTCACTGAGTTGCACGACTCTGCAATCACTTTTGACAAGACGGAAAACAAGCTGGCAGTGCTCAAACTCTGGAAAGATTTCGATTACTTGATCACTACAATTGACATGAACCATCCTCCTCAGGATGTTGTATTGGACACCACTAGTTGGGAACTTCTCGAGGCTGTACCAGCGTTTGCGGGCATCAACCCTGTTGGTCTTATCACAACAGTTTCTACGGTGGTCAAAGACTCGAAATCCAGAAACGCTTTTGTGAAATCAGTGTGGAAAGACACAAAGAACTGGGAGCCCACAACGCTCTTCAACCTTCTCAAAAACGGTGTGGTATTGCGTGACTTTATGTTCGTATACAAAAGAGTCTCCGAGGACTCGTTGCCTATAGAAGAATATGCGCCATTGCCAGAAGAAGAAAAGGAACAAAACGAAGAACCGCTTGAATTGAAGCAAGAGCCCCTTGAAGAAGTGGAGCCGCAAGCTATCCGTGAAGCTCTCAATGAGGAGATTGATGCTGTTGAGGACATTTTGGAGACTGAATTTTCCCAAGAGGCTGAACAACATGCCTAACAAGATAATAAACCTCAGACAATAATAAACGTAATATGATCAGGAATTGTCGTCAAAGACATTTGAAGAACTATTCCGTGTAAGCCTCGCCCTTAAGTTGCTCACTGACATTAAACGAAACTCATTGTCTTCCTTGTGCGGCGGAATGACCAATGGCTTGATCCTGTTGAGTTTTTTAGCTGTGCTCCAAAGGGCGCTGTCTTCCATCAAAGTAGATGATGACGCAGCTTCTGGCGAAGACGTAGCTTCTGGAGAAGAGCTGGATGAATGTGTTTCAAAACGCGGAGCAGGTGGCTTCATTGGTAAAGTGGAGTCGGTTTTCAGTTTCGGAGGAGAGAGCCGTACGCGATTCTGAAGAAGGCTTCTCGAAGGTTTCTTGGCCAGCTTGTAGCGGTTAATCAAAGCGTCCATTCGGTCCACTTTCATCCTCTGATTCGTTTCCTGAAGCTTTGTTGGACTGGGGCCCTTTCTGTGTTGCGGGGTAAACAAGCCTTGTACTTGCTTCTTCACAGGTGTGTTGAGATAGCTTGCAGTGTCAAATACACTGTTGGAAGTTGGCTTTGGGTTTTTCCGGAAAAGCGGCGACAGACTGCTTCCGAAAGTGGAGTTCGCTTCAATGTATTCTCCATCTTGTTCATCATCAAGCAAAAGCTCCCGTTGCCGAGTTTTGTGTAACCATAACTCAAAAAGCGATTTTGCGTTGGCCTTCTCCCATTTTTCCCGAAACATAGCACACGTTTGGTTGTTTCTTTTCACAATCTTGATAAGTTTCAAGTTCCACTTCCGCAAGCTCTCGAGAAGCGACATGTAATCCTTTTGGCCTATCATCTCCTCAGCAATATCGGCCAAGTAATCCACTTTGGTAACATACTTTTCGTACCACGCCAACAAATACTTCTTGTAAAGTAAGTTATTATAGAAATTCTTGCTTTGTTCCAATGCGTGGTGCTGAGATGCTGTTCGTTCTACCCAACGCTCAAAAAAATGTTTGCCAACTTCATTCATGCCAGAAAAGTGTTCAAGACGAATATGTAGATTTTTCTGATGCTGGTGCACATTCTTCAATCTCCGCCTCCAAAACTTGAAAAACAAGCGAGTAGTATTCTTATTTCTAAACCCTTGCTCAAAATCGCAAACTGCTTTGCGTGATAAGTCTTCAAATCTTCTCAAATACTGATCTTTCCACTTTCGAAGAATCACACCAGTGGTCATTCTCTCTTCGAGAGGCATACGTTTCTGTAAAACTTGACTCGCAACCTTTTCTTGTTTCCTGTGTTTTGAAGATTTCCCCACCATCTTATTAAGATATTTTCTTTGGAAATTCAAGTCGGCCACAGTTATAAGTTCACTGTTCATGTTCAAACGAGAACCCCACAAGAGTAAATGTTTCCGCAACAAGTTTATTTCGTAGGCCGTTATTGCCTTGACGTTGTTCTCACTAATTTTTCGGCTGGAGTCTGCCCAAGAATCGAATGCATACGTTTTTAATTTTGAGTTGAAAACAAACTGGAATTGGTTACTTTTTGTCGCCAATTTCCACGTTTGGAAAGCGAGTATTACATCCTTTCTTTGCCGGTTTTCGGCAGAGTTGGAAAAAGCGAAGCTCAATCTCCATTGCTTAAAAGCTCGCTTGAAAAGATTTCTTTTATAATATTCAGATGCCTCTGTTCTATGCCTCAAACTTGTTTTCCAAGCACTGAATGCATTCGCTGTAAGCCTTCTATCGCGTTCTGTGACATGTAAATGGTATGTGTAGTGCTGTTGTAAACGTACTTGCCACAAATGAAGGAAGTTATGTTTAAGAAGGAATCGTGATCTTTTCTCAAGTTCACTGCCGGCCTGTAAAAGTAAAGTTCGTTGACGCCAGGAACGAAAGTGCTTGCGTAAGACAAACCCTTTATTCAATTCCCCTAATCTTGACAATTTTTCACTCGAGGTGGCAGGTGTGAATATTCCAGAATGAAGCTTGTGGGACCATAGTAGAAAACACTCTTTCAAAAGCACAATATCAGTTTTGGAAGCACTTCTTGTGTGAAAATCAGCTGCAGTATCTTCCAAATCGCCCACTTTGTCTACTTTCAATTTCAACCGGGTAAAAGAAAATCTGAGTGCTTTAGCATTGGCCAAATCAACCAGTCGTTTTTCCAAGTCCTTAAGGACCTTGAACTTGCGTCTCCATATATTAAACCGCGGTTTAATTTGGAACACTTCACCCTTCATTTCTGCTTGTGAAAGCTGAAGAAGCTTTTCAATCCAGTTGGACGTAAGGTATTTTGCAAGAAGCTTCTTGTCACTATAAGATGCAGCATGGCGAGTCAAGTCGCTATACCGCATTTTCTTATTATACCAAATAGAGAAAAATCGCTTCGATTGGCGCTTTTTCAAGCCAGGAAGAAACCGATCTTCATAGAGCACATGCAATTGAGCGGTGCCAAGCAATCTATAGTTCCAATGGGTAAAAGCATTTCTAAACAAAGAAGTTAAGCGATCCATATCTTTAACGGCAAGACGCATTAGTAAGCTCAGTCCAGAGCGAGGCAGAAGTATGGAAAATTGCATACTATGGAGTTTGTGGACTATGTTGCGAATCAGATCGCTTTCATCTTCTAGTGGAGAATTTTCAAAATCAGCAATTGCTCTGACAGTGTCGAGAATCTCACCAATGTAGCTGTAATCTTGCGAGGAAGCATAGTGAGCAAGATCCTCGTAGACCAAGAAGAGATAGTGTTTGAAAAACTGTGGAAATTGGGGGTTGAAGTCTAGATCATACTCATTGAGAATGGAAACCACCGCATCCAAATTAGACACCAACTCCACAAGTTGTGCCCTTGACAAGTCTTTCAGTTCAGTATTTTGCAGAGGAGATAGTGAAATGCTTTCGAAATAAAGAAGTAGCACTTCACGAGCAATGTCGTGAAGATTCTCTGAAAGAAGCCCATCCTCAGATTCAGAACCTAAAAAGAAATCGCAGAAGATTTGATACAAGTCCAGCGTTTCTGCATCCATGTGTTCGATGGCATGTGAAGAGCGAAAGTAATCCACTGAGACTTTGGCGTATGTCAGCATATCCCAGTCTGGAGTTTCATGTGATTTGAAAAGAGACAACTCAAGGAACATATGGTAAACCAGAGAGAAACTCGGAATGTTGGAGGAAAAATTAAGCGGCCGGGAAACCTGCGGCGCCTCGTCATAGTTGTGGAACGAATCTTGGTCTCTGTCGTGCCGTCGAAGGAAACTATCCACAGCATGGGCCAAGTTTTCCGTATCCAGCGCAACGTCATCCAATTGCGACTGAAGACCCAGCAAGTACGCATACTCGTACGCAAAGCATCGGGCCACGTAGTCTACCAAGCGTTTTTCCGAAGACTTGTGACGCTGTGCAAACAACAGCACCAACTTCGAGAGATGATTCCAGATCGAAGAGTACGGCTCTTTTAGGCGGGCCTGCAGATCCAAGTCTCGAAGAAGCAGAAGGAGACGGGCTGAATGCGATTCAGGCGGCGCCGATCGGAGAAACTCAAATATGCTAGCATGGGTCGGGAAGTCTGGATGTGCATTGTGGAAGAGCGCCCAAGTCAGTTTTCCAAAAACATCCGTAGAGATTTGAAGATGTGACGGCGCAGTATCAACACGGAGGAGCGAGCAAAGCGCATGGACCACGCTTTCTAGAAGCAGACGAAAGGTTGATTCTTGGTGAAAAGTGGTATCTTGGTATTGTTGGAGAATATGGAGATTGTGCACTATATCGTGGATGGCATGGTTCAAACTCATAAAGACAGAAGCAGGGACTGAGAAATGAAGAAAGAGAATCAAGCACAGCAGTGTCCCCACAGGAGCCTCAGATCAAGCTATGATGTTAGGTAAACAGATGGAGATGTATGCAGATAAGGGACGTGGAATGCAGGAACCAACGGTTGCAATGGCCAAAGAAAATGGGTACCGGGCTTAAAGACTATTCAGTCCTCAATATGGCAATTAATGGTATTGATGTGTTGTGGTACAGAGAAAAGAAATTGGGAGTAGCATAGATGTTGAGAATAGTGAGACAAATTAGAAAAGATGTTGAGAATAGTGAGACTATAGAGAGATATTGAGAGTACAGAACAAAGACATTGGCTGTCCAAGAGAAGTATTAATAAGAAACGAACATTAATACAATGTATAACAGGGACAAGCGAATGAATCTGCAATGTTCCTTCTGTTATTTATACTATTATGAGTGTTGATGAAAACAGATTTGGCTCTTGGGAGATACACATGCCTTGGGAATTGTCGTATAGTTTATGGTTAGAACATTACTCTTGTAAAGTAATTATTTGGTATTATTGCCGATATTGGGAATCGTTCCAAAAGAGCAGAAATCAAAGACAAGTTCAGACCTTCATTATGCAATAGTAATTAGTTTGCGAAACCACGGCACAGCAAAAACTGCCCCAGATGCAATTGTTATGTCAAGGTTGATTTTGGATATTCTACGTCTTCGTATCTTCTACGTCTTTGTATCTTCGTCTTTGTATCTTCTATCCCCTAAAGTTCACCTTTATGGTGCTGTGCATGTGGGTTCAACAAGTAGATGACAAATATCAGTAACCAGATATTATCGAAATATTGAGTTGCGACCAAAGGAAATGTAAAGGAGTCATCAGAGTTTTAGAAAATATAGCAGCATCAGAAATAACAGGAGTGACTTACAGTGGAATGTGGAGCGAGATGTCGCTTCATATAGAGGATCTCATAAAGTAGTAGAATGGAAAGGAATACACGAGCCTCAAGTGGATACAGATGGATAACAGCGACTGCCAAAAAGTTCGGCAAAATGCAAAAGCAAGCACGGCAAAAAGCAAAACCAGGCTGATCTGTTCTTCAAAAGCCTATCAAAGTCACAAAAGACACCATAACCAAAAATAAAACCAACCCTGTCTCACTGTATGTAATGCGCACAATGCTAGATGTTTCTATATAAATCATCCTACAACATAACTCCCACACAACAAGAGAAGATCCAGCCACACCAGGATTCCAATCCAAAAATCAGATCGTCTCCTCCATACCCCCAAACCTCAACTAAAACCTAGACAACCTCAACCTCAACAACCTCACCAACCTCAACCAAAACCAAACCAAACCTAAACCAAACCATAATCACCATGGCCCAGAAACGGCACCTGGTCAGCTACGACTTCCAGCGGATCCGGGCGCCTCTTGACCGGCCGCCATTGGGCCCGCTGTCGCCGCGGGCGGTCTCGGACAGCGGCTTTCCAAACCGCCCCGACCTATCTTTCCAGGACAACTTTGATTTCTTCCCACCCAAGAAACACGCGTACTCGGCGCTCGGGCGGGCGGACCACGATGGCGAAATGACGCTGTTCAGCTTTTCTGAGGCCGACGACTCGGTGCTCCAGGTGGCGCTTCCTCGAAAACCACCGCTGGATGTTTTGGACACTTTCATCAGCCCCAAGGCGCTGCTCAGCGACGTCGACACGCTTCGGCTGGTGCTGCCGGCCAAATCGCGGGCGCTGGGCGAGTCGAGCGCCATCCGCATTATCGAAACCTATGGCAGCACGGGCCTGCTTCGGCTGGAGAAGCTCAAACTCGAAGAGAAGGAAAACGAAGACAGGCAGAGAGCAGAGCAGGAGAGGAAGACAGAGCAGGAGAGGAAGACAGAGCAGGAGAAGAAGACAGAGCAGGACAGCAGACAGAAAGCAGAGCATGAAGTCGTCAACGAAAGGCTCGAGCGGCCCGAAAGACTAGAAAAAAGACATTCGAGATCGACAGAATCGCTGCCGTTGGATGCACGGCCCCCGGCCCTCAAAACACACGCCCGCCACAGCTCCGAGTCTTCCACGGTCTCTCTCGGCTCGACGGCCAGCGGAAAAGCCAACTCGCAGCAGCGTTTTTTGCGCTACGCCATGAGCACTCAGAGACTGGACACGCACCAACGCTGGCTGATGCCCAATGTGCTCGCGTGGCTCGACTCGCACGGCTTTTCCGACGAATGGAAAGAAACGTTCCGCCGCAACGAGATCTCGGGCAACAGGTTTCTCGAGTTGGGCAACTACGACGCCAGCTCGGCCGTGTGGCGCCTGATAGCACTGCGCTTGGGCCACGACGATCTTTCGGCCAGCGTTCCTCGCTTTCTTGCGTTGCTCCGCGCTGAGCTGGACGATCCGTGCATCCAGTCGCCAGACGAGGACTATTCTGTTCCCGAGAGCCGAAAGTCGTCTGCCACGCTTTGGATGCAGCCATCGCCGACCGCCACATCCAAGCCGCGGCCATACTCGTACGTTGATCCGCCCACTAAATCCACGCCGCGTGAGTATTTGCATGGTCACAAGCTCTTCCGCAAACACAACCGTGCTGGGTCGTCGGACTCGGACACGTTGTCGCCGTATTCGACTCCAGGATCACGGAAAAGCGGGCTCTTTAGCACGCTTCGCAAATATGGCGGCGACAAGGCCGCTGGATTGGTGAAACAGGTGCACTCGGGCACCGCCAAGCCCCAAAAGCCGCGGTCCAAGGATAGAGAGTACGAGAGCGAGCGGGACATTGAAAAAGAGCATCAGCGGAACGAACACGAAAACACATACAAGGAAAGCCCCAAGGAGAGTCACCGCGAGCTCTTTCGCGAGAAAGACAGAGATCTCCGCGACAAGGACAGTACCAAGGAGAACGGGAAAGATAGCTCCAAAGAGAGCTCACGGGAAAGCATCAGGCAGAACATCAAAGAGAGCCACAAAGAACGCGACGACAGAGACTTCAAGGAGAAAGAGCCGCGAGACAGAGAAGTCAAAGAGAACACTCGTGTTTCCAAGGGTAGAGATGTTTTCGACTCCGGAGACCGGCCCAAGGAAAAACCATCTGAAACCCTCGCCGCCCGCTTTTTGCCCAGGGAAATGGGGTTTGCGCCCGACCTCACCCATGTCTTGCTAACGCGGGACAACTGCACGTTTGTGGCCACCCGCATCGACGCAAACCAGGAGTTTGCCAGCGTGCGTCTTGCTTTCATCCGGGCCGTCGACATCATCGATGTGGGTGCCATCACGTTCCATCTCACGGACTTTGATGCCGAGCCAGGCGACGCCTTGCCCGAACGTGAAATGCTCCATGTTCTTCGCCATGAACGCTTGGTCAAGCTCAGAGTCCAGCAAACGATCCATTCGCCACACGGAACAGGGACGTTTTCGAGCACGTCGTCGGACTCCAAGTCCTTTGACACCACGGGCGAAAACAATGGCAAAATGTATCCTGCAACGCCGCAGTACATGTTGCAGGACTCACGGGACAAGAACATTGACTATTTGAACTTCAAAGACCAGTCTGCGCTCTCGGAAATTTCTGAGGCGCTGGCGAGAGAAACAAAAGACGCCAGACGCCCACCAGAAAAGACGAAAGAGGCTCTGGCGAAAATGCCCATGCCTTTTGTGCCTATGAAGCTTTCGATGCCCAACAGAAGGCCACCACCCAACTCGAAAATAACCACGCTTCCTCCTTTGACTACGGCAACTCTAGCGCCGGTGTCCCCTAACCCACTGGCTCCAAAGCCTATTTCATCTCCTCAACCACAGGCTTCTCCCGTGGCGTCATCAACAGGCTCCTTCTTGGTGGTGCGCAAAGAGGGCCGAGAAATCGACTTCGACAAGCGTCGCCAGTCTTCATCTGAAAGCAAGGCGCCACGGCTCATCCCCAACATCTTTTCTTCGTCGGTGACAGATGTAGCCGTCTCTCCAATATCGGCTTCCACAATTCATGCGTTGAAGGACGAAAAATCAACAAAACCTTCAGATCTAACTCCGGCTGGATCCGCTTCGAGAGCTCCCTCGCTGGGTTCAGATATAGAAAAAGGAGCTAGTTTTGTTGCCAAGCGCAAGGCCCCGCCACCACCGTCCAAGACCAATTCTATGTCAATCCACAAAAAGAACTCCATGTCCAGCTTCAATAACAGCAAATCGGACGATGCGTCGCTCTCGGGCGAAAGCATTAATTCCATTCGAAGCTCTGTTAGCTGTGCGTCTCGATTCCAAAGTATTCATAGCAAGCCTAGTGCATTCACAGAGAACAACATAAGCTTTGTTGACGCCCCTCAACTCGATACCAGCACCATTTCCACGGGCAACAGTGGCTCAGACGACGAAGATTTTTTTATCAAGCCAACGAAAAAAATCGTCGGGCCAGCAAAAGTTCTGGAAATCAACCTCATGAGTGTGAGACCTCCTGTGGAAGAAGTTTACAGTAATCTTGAAAAGTATTTCCCCAATACTAATTTGGACAAGCCGATTATTGATGCATCTACAGACCCAGCTGAAACAAAACCGTCTCAGCCTGCTTCAAGGAAAGTGTCCATTTCGAGAACGTTTTCCAACGCCAACATTTCGCCTGTCCATCCGCATGAAGATGGCGACGACGAATTTTTCTATGGTGATGGGCCTAAGCTTCGCCGCAGCATGAAATCCATTCGTATTGTTGCGAACGAAGCAAGAATTAAGAGATTGGCCAGCATCAGAGCTGCTCGGACCGCAAGCACCAAAGACGCCAAAGAGGTGAAGAACTTTTCTCCCACCTTACACAGAACTAATACTAAACTTTGGGGCCAGAAAGTGGTGGAAGTGACGTCTGCAGAAATTGACAAGGGCTTTGTGAGCCGGATCTCCAACAAGAATAACGGAGAACTGGAAGAGTTTGCGTGGATAAAGGGTGAGTTGATTGGCCGCGGCTCTTTTGGCTCTGTTTATTTGGCTCTTAATGTCACCACAGGAGAAATGTTGGCAGTCAAACAAGTGGTTGTTCAGGGTAATACGTCCAATGAGGGATTGGATGCGCTCCATAAGGAAGTCGAAAACATGAAGGACTTGGACCACCTTAATATCGTCCAGTACTTGGGATTCGAGCAAAAGCAGAATACTTACCGGTTGTTCTTGGAATATGTTGCCGGCGGGTCCATTTCCTCATGCTTGAAATCATATGGAAAGTTCGATGAACAACTCGTTAAGTTCATCACGAGACAGGTTCTCGAAGGATTGAAGTACATCCACTCCAACGGCATTCTTCACCGTGATTTGAAGGCGGACAATCTTTTGCTCGAGGTAGATGGAACATGCAAGATTTCTGACTTTGGCATCTCCAAAAAATCAAAGGACATTTACAGCAACAATGCTGAAATGTCCATGCAAGGCACGGTGTTCTGGATGGCGCCGGAAGTGATTCATAGCATGGTGGCAGACAAAAAGCAGGGCTACAGTGCCAAAGTCGACATCTGGTCGCTTGGTTGTGTTGTGTTGGAAATGTTTGCAGGCAAACGGCCGTGGTCCAACGAAGCAGTGGTGAGTGCCATTTACAAGATCGGCAAGACGAAGTTGGCGCCGCCAATCCCCGAGGAATTGAGTGACGAGTCGAAAGATTTCCTCCACAAGTGCTTTACCATTGATACAGAAAAGAGGCCTACTGCTGCAGAGTTGTTAGACCATCCGTTCATGAGCATAGACCCCAACTTCTCCTTCAGCAAGACGAGGTTGAGCCATGTGTTGAACTCTACACGGCGGAGAATGTAGATAGGAATTTCCAGTCATAAAAGGAAATTACATAAGTCTAAACGGGAAATGAACAGTACTGAGGCTGTCTAAGACAGGAAAGTACACCAGTCAGTGTCCGGTCAATGGAATGGCTTAATGATGGAATGTGCTCAACAGTCAAATGAAATGTACGCATCAGTCAAATGAAATGTACGCATCGTCAAATGAAATGTACACATCGTCAAATGGTAATGTACAATAGCTATTTACATGATATACCTCACTTCAACTTCAACTCGCTGATGACCAAGTGGGTCTGGTACGGCTCAACATCCACCGTCTTCAATCTTCTGCATCTCTGTTTCTTCTTGTATACTTGGTACTTTGGTTCTCTTGTGATCTCGGCCAAAGTCGCCGTCAATTCGAAAGCCAGCTCCGGAATGCCATTGTCGTCGTTGAATGTGAAGTTTCTCGACCCGATACTGGTGACGTTGTTGAGTTTCAACACATCGCCCACCTTGACGTTCTTCATCTTGTATGGCAAAACCAACCGATCGCCTTTCGAAACCAAGTAGGGCATATTGTGGATCTTGCAAATGGCGTACAAGCTGGAGCTGCCGTTGGAGTCGAATTTCAAAGGCGCCAAATCGGGAACTGCTTTGGCCGCAGAAGTCCGAAGAGGCGCCGCGTGAGAAAGCAAGCGCGTGCTGCCCGTGACGATGGTCTTGAACATGTCCAGAGTCGCTAGAAGAGATTTTTTTTTTTTGGTGAAAAACTACTGGGGGAGCACACCCGTGCACCATAGACCACCCAGAGGTCATGTGATTTGCACACGATACCAGAGCAAGGGTAAGAGGAGGTAAAAGCAGAGGAATATAAGTATTCAGAGAAAGTGACGAGCGAATGAAAAGCGTGTAAGAAATGTAAGCAGAAAAAAGGGACGTGTCTCGGATTTTTGCCCAAGTGGTATATCCGAAACAGGTGACCGTAGCCAAAACGGACCACAACATAAAACGCCAAAGAAGAAGAAAAAAAAACACAAAAAGCAAAGTAACCAAGACACGATCAGTCGAACAGCTCCGTCAAAAAAACATAAAACCCGTCCTCTTCTGTTCTTCTTCCCATAGGCCGAGCTTCGTGTCGCACCCATAAAAGAAGTTTGAGCGCGAACAAAAATTTCCTTGTCGAGATCCAGCCTCACTCTAGTGGCCATTAAAAATCCCTTGTCTTTTTCATCGGATTGAATCCACCTGGCATCCAACTACAGTCTTGTGCAGAGATACACACACGGCGGTGTTCACGGAATTTACAGAGACCCGTCTGTTATTTCTTTTTCCTTGTTTCGGGGCGTACCTGATTCTGCATTTCCTTGCAAACACATAGCTTCGTGGGGAACACCTTGCAAAGTTGCTTGCGGCTTATTCACCGAGAAATCCTATTGACACAGCGTTCCTTTCGTGTGATAGAAATCATAAAGAAACAAAAGACCCGCTCCCTTCTTTGATTCTTGTCTTTACCACCCCACCCGGAGCCTATTGATTGCTGATATAGCCATTCCCATCTTCATTTCTTCAGTTCATCTTCGTTCGTTTCCCACCCGCTTACGATTTTATGTCCCCAGATTCCTATCATGTCCGGCTCATTTTGGAAACTAAGTAATGGATTCACGTCCTTGTCCAACATATCGGCGATATTCGAGAACTACGACATCAGCACGGCCCTGAAGGACGAAAAGGCCACGTCTGAAACTTTAATGAAGCTTTTGGACGAGAGCGACTTGCTACAAGAGTTAATGTCCAACAACTCGCAGCTTTTGGAGTTTTTGAGAAATGAACAAGTCATCAGTATGCTAATTGACTTGTTGATTCTGGTCAACGATCCAGATTCCAGCATCGAAGACTCTTTTGTGCAGTTAAAGTTGGAAGAAGCGCCAAAAACGGAAGAATCCACGTCAGACTCAACAAATGAAGACAAAGAAGACAAGGATGACAAAGAAGACAAAGACGACGACGAGTCCGAGCCTGACGGCGAAGAGAAGGACGATGATGGTGAAGAGTCTGTGCCTGAAACTCTGGAGGAGAAGAAAAACCGTTGTGCCACTTTGGCCGCCGAGATTTTGAGCGCAGATGTCTGGTCTTTGACCGATACCGTTATGGAATCCACATCCAACTTGAACAAATTATGGGCCATTCTTGATCTCGAACCCCCATTATCTATAAATTTGGCCACGTACTTCATGAAAATCATGGAGCATTTGCTAGATATGAAGTGTGAAGAAATGATCACCTACTTGATAGATAATCAGCCCAACCTCGTGGAGAAGTTCATCAAGCATTTGGATAACCCGCCGCTAATGGACTTCTTGTTGAAGCTCATCTCCACGGACAAACCTGATAATTCTACAGGCATCATTGATTTTCTCCAAGAGCAGCACTTAATTTCTCAGCTTATAAATGCTCTAGATGTGTCGAACGCATCAGACTCAACTTACGATGTCCTGTTGGTGAGACAACTGTCTGCTGCCGATTTTCTCAAAGCCCTTATTACAATCTCGGCGAATTCTACTACAGATAATTCCACCATTGGCCCTAACGAATTGACCAGGGAATTGGTTTCTTATGAGATGATGAGTCGTCTATGTGACATAATGTTAATGGGAGGGTATGCCCTCGGCAATGGAGTTGGAATCATCATTGAAATTATACGAAAGAACAATTCCGACTATGATATTTTGCCTGTTCTCTACATCACTTTAGAAAGTCATCCGCCCACGGGCCGTGACCCAATTTACTTGGGACATTTGTTGAAAGTGTTTGGAAGCAAGATTGACGAATTTAACAAGTTACTAATGAGCTCAAAGGAGAACCTCAAACTCAAAACGACTTTCGGAGAAATAGAACCTTTGGGGTTTGAAAGATTCAAGATTTGCGAGTTGATAGCTGAACTCTTGCATTGCTCCAATATGGCTTTGTTGAACGACAACAAAGGTTATGACATTGTAAAGATTAGAGACGAACTCAGAGTGAAAATGAAGGAGATAGATCCTGTCGGGTTCAAGTACAATGAGGTGATTGAAGTTCCCGAAGAGATTTTGAAACCAAGGCTCGAGGCTGAAATTGAAGTCAATAAAAAATTTGAAAATGAGCTCAAGGCTCGTCGCATGGATGACGATGGTGATTTTAACGACACCATCGATTCGTTCAACTCGAAGTTGCAAGAGACTTCTTCTGGACGGAACGTCAACAGTGGAGATGAAGAAGAGCCACACGCCAACGCTAACTTGACAGAGGAACAGATTCGGCAGAATCCGGTGGTTGGCGACTACCTCAAGATTGCTCTTTTCGACACACAAATCATCTCGAACATCTTGTCCATGTTTTTCAAGTTCCCATGGAACAATTTCTTACACAATGTCGTGTTCGATATTGTGCAGCAGGTGTTGAATGGATCCATGGATATTGGGTTCAACAAGTTCCTTGCGATTGACATTTTCGCATCCGGAGCCATCACGAATAAAATCACAGAAAGCCAGAGGCTATGCTCGGAATACGAAGCCGAGCATCTTGGCATGAGATTGGGGTACATGGGTCATTTAACTTTGATTGCTGAAGAGGTTGTGAAGTTTATCCAATTGTATCCCGTCAACACCGTCAGCAAGCTAATCGACGAAAAAGTGGAGGATGAGGTGTGGGAGCAATACGTCAGCAATGTCTTGTATGACACAAGAAAGAAGTACAATGCCATATTGGGAGGAAGCGACATAGACGATGACGAGGGCTCCAACACATTTGACGAAAGCACAGGCGAGGTGATTGATGAAGGCGACTTGAATCCCACTTTGAATCTTGACCCGTCCGTCGATCATGACCTCATAGGAAGCAGGTACGAGGACGCGTACAAGGAGGAGGAATTCCATGAAGATGTTGATGGCGACCACATTAACGATGGCGACAGCGAAGCACACGATGTGAAATTCAACTCGAGCGATGAGTCCGAATCCGAAGACGACGACGATCATTTTGCCAGCTACATGTCGCAGCAGCTTGCAGACCAGGGTTCTGGTGGAGACTACATGTCTTCGCCGCACATGAAGACGAAGAAAAGAGGTGACTTTGAGAAAGAAGAGCCCAAGCCCGCTGACTACGTTATTACTAGCAGCGGAGATGATGACGACGACGATGACTACATTGACCCGAACGACGACGGCATGTCCTACAAAAAATCCCATCCTTTGTACGACCCACAAGGTGTGCTCATTAATGAAAAGCTTCGTGATTTTGCCGACGATATTCTCCTGGGCGAGGAATCTTCGAGCAGTTCCGATAGTGATGACGATGACGACTTGGCGGAAGGAAACGCCAACACATTGACCCGGATAGCCAGCCGAGGCTGAGGGCCACATATGATTTCGCAACGATCTGAAGGAAAGCTTCTACGAGAGATGAAATGTCTCGAGAGCTGACTGCTAATAAAATGATAGTATTTGAGGGTTGTAGTGGCACAGAGACATGCGGTGGAGAAATGTAGGAGAGAATGCATTATTAAGGCTACGTACGTTTTGGGTATTTTGGATTTATTCATGTAATACGGTTACAATAAGGATTTTAAATGCAAGATAAAGAATCCAAATACTGGGATTGTAAACGGGGGTGTCTTACCATCGAAAAAAATCCATAGGCATCTGGCAGAAAACATCATTTCAGAACATTGCTTAAAGATATCCGCCCCAACGGCAAATATGTTTCCCGAGGTTACAATCTGAGCCATTTAGTTTATATTACTCGTGTGAAAGATGGTTTCGTGCTCGACGCAACTTGATTCTAATCTGTAGTTAAATTTGTAGTTTATTTTGTAGTTTTAATTTGTGATTTTAGTTTGTAATTTTAATTTGTAATTTTATTTGTAATCTTAATTTGTAGTTCTAATCGTGATTATAATTTGCAATCTTAATTTGTAATTTTAGTTTAATTTTAATTTGTAGTTTTAATTTGTAATTTTAGTTTGTAGTTTCAATTTGCAATTCTAATTTATAATCTTAATTTGCAATCTTAATTTGTAAATTAATTTGTAGTTTTAATTTGTAGTTTTAATTTGTAATTTTAATTTGCAATTCTAATTTATAATCTTAATTGTAAATTAATTTGTAGTTCTAATCGTGGTTTTAATTTGCAATCTTAATCTGTAATTTTATTTGTAGTTTTAATTTGTAGTTTCAATTTGTAGTTTTAATTTGTAATTTTAGTTTGTAGTTTTAATTTGCACTTCTAATTTATAATCATAACTTGTAAATTAATTTGTATATAATGAACCTATAGATGACCGAAAGATATGAATAAATGCACATGAAACAGCATCATGCCGCAAGCCCCGGCACTCTGCCCTCTCTTTCCAAAGGAGGCAAGTGGGACACGGTCTGTTCGACAGCGCCCTCGGCCCGAGTCCGCGTGCTTTTTGGAACGCCGCCCATGAGACCTTTGCTCAAGGCCAAGCCTTCCAGTCTTTCGGCGTGCGCATCGTAGAACTCGTCCTCGATGGGATGCATGAGCACCGTGTTGTTTTTCGTGATGGAAATCACCGTGTTGGTGGGCACGCAAGTCCAGTCGCCCCGCTCAAAAGTTAGCGGCTCGGACGCCACGAAAACCACGTCCTGCGAGCGGTTGAGGCGCTCCATCTTGAACAAGCCGGGCTCGTACTCGAAAAAGCGCAGCCCCGTGCTGAAGTGCAACGACGCCGCCTCGTCGGTGCGAGACGTGATGTAGCGGCAAACCACCACCAGCTCGCCGTCGGTGACGGCAAAGTTGAGAAGCGACGGCTCGGACGTGAGCTCCGTCTGCCACTCGCGCAAAAGCCGCACGGTGGTGAGCAAGGCGGTGCGCAACACCGCGTGGCCAAACTGCGTGGCCGGGTCTTGTGGGTCGTAGCCCATTTTGTGGAGCGTGTCCAAGAAAAGCGCACAGCAGCACTCGCTGTCGGTGGAGCCCTGGATGAAAAGAAGGAAGCGGTCGTCGATGTGGTTGAGGAGCGTCCGTTTGAGGCGGGCAAACGCCAGCACGGCGCCGTTGTGCATGAACATGAGCCGCCCGTACGAGAACGGATGGCAGTTTGTCTCGGACAAGACACCTTGGGTGGACGCCCGCACGTGCGCAAACACCAAGTCCGACTCGGTGCAGTTGGAGAGCGAGTTCAAGTTGACGTTGTTCCACGCGGGCGTGATGGCTTTGAACACACACGGCTCGCTGGACGTGCGGTAGTACCCGACGCCAAAACCGTCGCCGTTGATGGGGTTGCGCATGTCGAGCCGGAGCCGCGAGTCGAACGACTGGTTGATGATGGAGTGCGCCGGCCGCGTAAGAAGGTCCAGGAGCATCATGGTCTCGCGGCCCTTGTAGATCATGAAGCGGCACATAGAAGTAGATGAAGATGAGTTAGATGGAGTAGTAGTAGATGGAGTAGTAGTAGATGGAGTAGTAGTAGATGGAGTAGATGGAGTGAAATAGTGTAGTCGTCCTACTGTAGTAGTGTAGTAGTAGTGTAGTAGTGTGGTGGGTTGAGTCACGCGGTGTTGATAGCGCACGTGAGATAGCACCTACTGAAGACTATTGACAGATTGTTGACGAACATAGGCTTATCTAGATAAATAGATAAAATAATGCCGATTTACTCATTGTTTTATCTTCTGTACGGAGTTGAACCCTCTTAATGAGACCTAAACTGGCATTGTCTTAGAACAACGTGATCTGAATAGGCCGTTAGTCTCAATCTCTATTAGATAGGTTTGAATTGGTGCAATAGACTGTCTTTTTGCCCAATAGTGTAATCTTGTATCAAGTCTCTCCAGTCTCTCGAGTCCTCAAGTCCTCAAGTCTTCAAGTCCTCAAATCCTCAAGTCCTCAAATCCTCAAGTCCTCAAGTCCCCAAGTCCCCAAGTCCCCAAGTCCCCAAGTCCTCAAGTGATCAATGGAAGCAAATAGGCAAAAGTGAACTTTTGGCTATAGATTTTTCTGTATTGAACCAGTCGGATAAAATCATCGGCATTTCACGTTTGGCCTGGGGTAATATGGGTTTGAGAGATCAAGCGATAATTCGTCTTTATGACGAAAACGTAGGCTAAACTACATTACCATATTTTTACCGTCGAGAACTACCCTAATACCTCTGACTTTAGGCTCATTTAATTTATCTGATTTTGATGAATCGTTTGCTCTGTCATATGTTTGTTCATAGAGTACACTTTTGTGCTTAAAAAATCTGGATTTATGGAAAGCATAGTCTATCACAGATGTACATCAAAATTTACACCTTCTTCATTATTGTTCTGATCTGCCATCACTGGAAAAAAATCGATTGTCTGCTTCTTCTCTTGAAAGAGATTATCAAGTGCAGATTGTGCTTATGGGTTTCCTATACTCTTCCGAAAAATAAGATGGAACTAAGTCCTTGTATCAAAATTTGAAAACATGAGTCCTTAAGCACCTAGTTTCCATCTTTATGGACGAATTCTCGTCTCTTCTATGATAATGAGTCTTTACCTCTTGACGAATTCCATATCAGATTGGCTCAATGCCGAGCAAACCAAAAAGATTAGTATGACAGTCTTAGCACGAATGAGACCTTTTGTACTGTTAAATGGGTCATGCTAATGCTGAATATTACTTTACTTACGTACTCTCTGATGGTTGAGGTTTATATGAAGCTTCTTCGAGCAACGTAAGCAAAACCAGCAAATACGTCATTCCTACCAACATTGATTGTTACACATACATCACTTATGTTTATCGGGCACTAGCCATTAATCTATAGTACATGCTACTTGCCAAAAATCCTGTTCACTTGCATCAAAACCCTCCCAGTTGCGAACCACACTGTCACACCTATGAGAGTGACGTTGAACACAATGAGCATTAATGCACTGAACATGAAACGCGGGGCAAAGATCTTCCAGACCATCAAATGCCGACGGAAATGTGCTGCGAATATGAAGCTCATGACGCTGGTGAATGTCTGGTAGGTAAGCAAAGTCGTGACGTTTGTAACAATTTGCAGGAGCACTGTGATGGGCTTGGGCGACGGTGGAAGTCGCCAGAACGTGATGAGAGGAATCGCCACACACACAATGAAGAATGACCCAAAGGTATTCAATAAAATGTTCAAGTGGGTAAATGGGAACATGATTGTTTGCGTCGTAATAAATCCCACATCCCACTGGATCGACGGAATAGTCGCCTGGTGACCAGTGCTGAAATAGTGTTGGTAGCCGAGAATACCCAACATCACGGGCGAGACCAAGTTTCGGCGCAACTCAAGAAAAGAGAATAATTCTAGTAGCGATAAAAGCTGGATCACCATCATGCAAAGCGAGAGTGCTCCAAGAGGCTTTGACACGGCTAAAATTGCCACAAGCACATTAATGACAAATAAAAAGTAAGATGAACCGTAAACGTTGCCGTAGCCTAAAATGGTCACAACCGGTTTCTCATCCTCTTTCATGTTGTCGACCGCATCAACCTCGTCTTCGTCAGACGCTGACTCAGATTTGCTTTCGCCGCGATCTCCTAGTTCTATTTTCACGCACAACGGTCCACGCGACCAGCTGAAGTTCGCGAGAACTAACGTAACGAATAACACGATACGTGCAATCGCCAATTTCACAGACTTTAAAGTCGTGATAGAGAGCCATGCCGGCACATTTTTTTGGAAAGAATCCACATTCTCCAAATGTTCCATGGTCCAATATACGGCATTCATGAACATCAAGAATGGTAAACCTGTTTCAATCCACAATGGCGCAGCCAGATGATAAGATTGTGCAAGTTTGTAGAAAGCCTTGATGAACATGGGTAACATAAATGCTGCCACATACAACAAAGAAACACTCCACCAAGACGTTTTGAAAGTCGGTATACAATAAGGCTGCTGTTCTTCTCGGCACAAGTTTATCAGCGAAACAAGCCGTGATGAGATAATAAGTGTCACGGCATGCACAGCGTTTAGTATTCTTTCTGCCCGGGGTTTGGATGAGGTTATGCATGCGTACAAGCAACAGAAACCAAATGTGGCCATGAAGAAGTGCACGAGCTTGTCCTCCCACACGATGTACAGATTGGAGGCGAAGATGGCGCAGTGGAGCACAACGAAAAGCAACCCCAAAGACGACCACGAGTTCAAGTTGTACACGAAAAAATCGAGAATCTGGTGCCACAACCACTGTACGCTGAACCTGTCCATAACCGGTGCCCAGAAGCCGACAGTTATACCTGCAGCGCAGCCTGCCAAGAGACACATTTTCAAGCTCATGTCTGGCTTAAGAACGATGAAAATCGACAAACTCAATACCAAGCCCAAAAGGCACATGGCGATTACCAGACCGATGAACTCAAATGACATTGTCAGTACGCGCACCGAGGGAATGGATCGCGAATATGTAACAAGGATAGAAAGTGACAGCACCATTGTGGTAATACCCAAACAAATGAGCAACATGTCGAAGCGTGCCCATAGACTTTTGCAGTGGTCCAAGAAGTCCCTCTGGTACTTGTGACAAGCTTCTATGAACTCGCCGTGATGCTTGCGGCCAACATGCAGATACTGGTCCATAAGAAAGCGGAATTGCTCCGTATTGTCTTGTAGCTCTGGTGACAGGTCTCTATAACGTTGCAATTGGCGGAGCGTAATGTAGCTGGCATGAGCTAACTCTTTATCGGAGCCGAAAACTTCTCCGATGGGGAATCCTAGGTTATTGTAAGGAATGGGTAAGCCAAGCAACAACGAAATTGTTGGAACAAGATCGATTTGGTTAACCGCTCGATAATAGGACCCTTTGTCGCTAATATTGTAAGCGCTGGCATCTTTGCGTTGAATAAACTTTTTGCTCTTCGAATAAAAGAAAATTGTGCTCTCCAACTCATCTTTGCTCTCGCCTCCATGGTTCCCTGTAGAGTCCATTCCGTGATCACCCATTACCACAAGGAGGGTTTTATCATCAATTTTGCTGATAGTTTCCTTGATGACTTCGTTCATCTGTTGAAGCTTTTCTTTCATGGCGAAGTGGTCAGGTCCATACCGGTGGCCTGCGTGATCCACACCCAAGAAATGGCCTATCAATACGTCCCAATCACCTGCACGATTCTTTTCTAATAGCGGATGCAAGTGTTCTAGCACTCCATTGTCGACTGTGTGCAAATCCCACACGTTCAACGAGTCGTAAGGAAAGTGAAGATCGGGGTTGATATACTCCGAAAAGAGAGCTTTCCAAGTGTCGTCTCCCATGAATGCCACGCTCTTATTGTATCGGTGAAGCTGAAGAAGCCAGTTGTCTTCATCAATGGCATCACCATCGAAGTTCGATCCCGCATCTATAAAAGTCGGTAAGGAGCCGGTAGTGAGGCCTTTCAAGCGCTGGAGGGTTGTGGTAGGAGGGTCGGCGATAAATTTAAGTAGAAGCGAGTTCTTGGGCTGCAGTTGAGCGAGCTCATACAAAATGGGGAAGTTATTGTGGTAGTATGGATTTGCATCTTCAGAAACGGGAATGGCAAAATCAAAGCGCAAGGCGTCAATGACAAGCACGACAGCCTTGTCAAATTTCGGCAGGAGACACATCGAGTCACCGTCTTCATCGCACTCGGCAATGTTGGGAAGCACTTGGCGGGAAAGAAGGAATCCCTTGGTGAAGAAAAACACCCCGATAGACTGGAGAATAGCCAAAAAAACCAACACAACAATGTATCCATAGAAGCTGATACGCAACTTCAGCTGGCGAAACTTGAGCCGCGCCTGCTGCTGTTGCTGCTGTACCAGGACCTTTCTGCTGGAATATCGCTGGCCATTGTCATCTGCAAAGTCCATGGCGTCTTGGCTTGTGTACTTGAAGAAGGAAAGGGGAAAAAATCGTCACGTCAGCCGCTAGTATAGGTGCTGGACCGAGGAAGTACAGTCTGGAGCAGACGAAGAAAGAAAAAGGATCCAATGAGCACGCGTTCAATGCAAATGGCGAAAGATTCTGTGGCCTTGAGGATCTCGTTTGAGCGTACACTAGATCCGAAGGCTTTTCGCGCGCTTTTGTTGTATCGCGCACGTGATGCGTCGTATGTGCACAACGCAACCTCTATACCAATGAAGGCGGATCATAAAGCGGGACATGGCGAGTCGAGTCAGGAGATGCAGCAGGCTTCGACTCGAGATGCCGCAGGCTTGCGGAGAAATGCCTGAATTCACAGCTGGTATGTAGATGTTGTATTTCAATTATGGGCAGATCAGGTGATCCGTCCAGTTTGAGTAGATAGACCAACCAGGGCCATCAATGCTTCAGATCAGCACAGATCAGCACAACTCAGCACAGATCAGCACAGATTAGCACAGATCAGCGCTCAGATCAAGCGGACCTTCAATCAAACGTGAAAGCTAAAGCCTCCAATCAAATGGACCTGTAATCTTGATCACCTCCAACGGTTTCCGTATCGAAGCCGTCAATACGCAATCTGACCTCTCAGTTCAGAGGTCTAGTGATCTCGAATTCGCACACTAAAGCACGGTACGGTAATCTATAGAGCCCATGCTCTTTAAACTGTTTCCCTTTTGAAGGCTCAACTTACTGTAACCTCTCCAGCCTACTCCATTTCACCGTCCATGTGCGTCAAAAAGTCGTCGGGAAAGGAGCCCTCGTCCATGATGGCATTGTCCTGGTCCTGGTCAAAATTCATGAGCGCGTCCATCTCGTCCATGCCTTCGTTGGGCTGGGCCAAGAACGTGTTCAACTCCTCCATGTTGACCTGTGCCGGCGTGCCTGCGCCAGGCTCTTTCTCGTAGCCGTAGCCGTCACGATACTGCTTGCCGTTCATCATGTCGCCAAACTGGTCGCCTGCCACGTTTTCCATAAACGGGAGCTGCTCTGTCATCTTGTCGCCAAGCATCATGCCTGGGCCGTACGAGCCGTCGTTGCCCATGCTCACGAAGCTCAGAATCAGCCGCGGGTTGTACAGCGCTGGCGCACGCGCCACCTCTAGCTCTGGCGCCAACTCGGACACGGGCACCGAATGCTTTGTATACGGGTTCTGCTGGAACACATAGTGGCCGCCAGACACCTGTTCGGCCTCCTCGATTTCACGTGCGGCCGCTGAAAGCTCGGCCACGGCCTCTGCGCTCAGACACGCGCCCTGGAGCTGCGCCAAGCGCTCAATGGCCTTCTTTCTGCTGACGTAGTCGTCTCCCAAAACATGCGCAGGCGTCTGCTGCTGCAACTCCTCTTTCGCCTGCGCAAGGTCCTGGGCCAGCTGTTTCTGCTTGGCGCGCATCAACCGCAAGTCGCCCACAAAAAGCTCGTCTGGCTTCAATTTCGCCAACACTGAAGCAACCTCGTCGTCCGAAGCCTTGGCGTCGTATTTCTTGGGCACGTGCGCGGGAAACGGCGACGGCGGCACAATTATGTCGGTGTGGAACGGCTTCAGCGTGACGTTTTCCAACTGATCTTGGTTTTCCAAGAAGCGCGTAAAGGCGTCGGCGCGAAAGTTCACCAAATCCGCTTCGTCATGTAATTGGATCGAGTCGTCTTTGCGCCGGGCGGTTCCGGGCTCGGCTGGCCCGACACGCGACCTGGCCCTCTTAGTTCGTGGCACGGCGCTCATTTTTTTTTTCTGTATTGGTGTTTTCCGTTTTCTTTTTTCTTCTTTTCTCCAGATGCTGGTTGGACTTGAATGCGCGTTGTAGATGTATTGGTACGGGCACGCACACGATAAGTATGGAGTCACATCAAGGCCGACCAATATACATGGACTTGTCGAGAATAGATACAGGAGATGAATATAGATATAGATGTATAGATAGATACAACGTAGTGCCTCATGCGTATTAAAAGAAGTGTCGAAGAAGCACCGCATGCAAAAGCAGGTGTGCCCGGGCGAGGCTTGCCCGTATTAGGATCTAGCAGCATTACCATTGCGTTCTATGATGGCCTGCTGGACACGGGAAACACAAGAATAAAATAAAAGAATCAAACGTGAGAAGTGATGAAGTGTTCCAGGCATGAACCAAGTATTCAGACTGATTGTGTGGGACCAGAAGGTAAGGCAAAAAAGACCCAGAAGACTGAGGACGGATGAAGACTGCAGTCTAATTTTACCATTCGGGATCAAGCAGGACAATCAATCTCGATTTCCTGGAGCTGTAACTCTCCGCCAGTAACCGTAGAGCAAATGTTCAAAGATGGACTAAGAGTGGGGCTGACGATTCAACAGCAACACCGACAACTAGTCTTACAAGTCAAAGCGGCCATTGACAAACTCCTCGCTCTCGGTGTTATTATCCTGGTCAATGTCCATCTCATCTTCTTCGTCGATCTGGTCTTCAATGACCTCGTCGTCCGGAGGCAAGTTGGGATTTCCAGGTATGAATGAGCCTGGGTTCCGGAAAGAGTTGAACCGTTGCGACTTGAAATGGTCATCCATTGCCGAATCGTCCACGTACGTGAAACCCTTGAAGTTGGCCTGGATACCAGGCGAAAGCGGCGTTGAGGCCATCTCCATGTGCTTTTTGAGAACAGAAGTAGACTCATTCGTGAACTCTGGGTCGAAATTCGACGTGTCTGTCTCCGATGACAAGTGAGGCTTGAATGGAGGAGGAATATTCTTTGCCCTCAACAAGTTCCAGTCAATATCTTGGAAGAATGGGTGGGCCTTCAATTCGCGGGCGTCATTCACCGCTCCAAGTCTATGTTTAGGGTTTCTGTTCAACAAACCCTTGACAAAGTATCTTCCCTCAGGCGACAACACCTCTTTGGGGAAGCGGACTTTTCCGAACGCAATGTTCTTATACATTTGCTGGGTGTTATCGGCATAAAACGGAGACCAACCACAGCACATTTCGAAAATCAAAACGCCAAGCGACCAGAAGTCCACCATCTTCGTGTATCCAGTTTCGTCAAGCAAAACTTCTGGAGCCAAATATTCGGTTGTTCCACAAAAGGTGTTTGTGGTTCCATCGTTATTCAAATTGGCCTTGGACAAGCCAAAGTCGCACAAGGCAATGTGCCCATTAGCATCTAAAAGAATATTTTCGGGTTTCAAGTCACGATAAACGATATCATTGTCGTGCAAGTGTTCTAAGGCCAAAACCAACTCAGCAATATAAAACTTCGCGCGGTCTTCGCTGAAGCGGCCCTCTTTTTGCAAGTGCCAAAACAATTCACCTCCAGACATGTAGTCAGTTACCAAGTACAAATCTGTCGGTGTTTGGAACGAGAACTTGAGACCAACAATGAACGGCGACGCCGCAGCAGAAGTTCTCACCAAGATGTTTCTCTCGCCGATTGTGTGGGCAATTTCCTTCTTCTTAACAATGAGCTTCTTGGACAAGATTTTCATGGCATAAATCCGGCCGCTGTCCTTCTTTCTGACCTGATAGACCTGGCCAAACGTACCCTTTCCAAGAAGGCGCAAAACTTCAAAGTCTTCTGGGCCGTACAGCTTTTTCGAGTCGACACTAGTGTACTCCCATTTGATTTGCAAGTGACCAGTCACTCGTTCTCCAACCACACGAGCCTTCAAAGGGATCCACTCGGCGTCGCTGCTCTTGTTTGACGTAGACGAGTCTGTGTTGGGGAAAATGCGGATCTGGCCGAGGAAAGCATCGTCTTTTGCCGCATCATAAACAGAGATTTCCAACTCGGACTTTGTTCCCACCACATCAAACACCGCTTCGTGGTTCCATGTGGGGTTTGTTTCGCCGTGAGAGAAATTGAGCTGCGACGATTGTCTTTGGTACAACGCAGGTCTCATATCTGTTGGTTGTCTCATGGGCAAACCCGCGGATTTCGGCGGGAACATTGGTGATTTACTTAAGGACGGGGTTGCGTTGTTCACAAACTCCGAGCTCTCAAAGGTCGACACGACATATGGCTGGGAGTATTCAGAAACCATCAAGTCTTTGGCTCCGATGATACAAACCTTCAACTTTCCTTTTGGTTGGGAGGAGGCATTGATGTGTTTGCCCTTTTCGTCGGTTGTGATGATCACCGGGTTGGAAGACGACGATGAAGAGCCCACAGACGTGGCTTGTTGTTGTTGTTGTTGGGCCGGTGGCGCTGAATTGATGTTTTTGTTGATTCCGTAATTGGAAACAGCAGCTGCAGCAGATGCCGCCGCAGCAGAAACGGCCGCGTGTTCGTTCAGCTGCGTAGCGGATGTGCTGTCGGAGTAGTAAGGATGCAATTCGTTGAGGATCTGGTTGTGGCCCAGCTGCGGGTTCAGAGGGTGGGCTTCGGCGGCAGATGTGGTTGTGCCGTAAGCCAAGGAGTTGTTGGAAACAGCAGTGGTAGGGGGAGCTGCTAAACTCTTGGCGAAGAATTTTTTGGCGGCGCTTTCATCGCCATTGGATTGTTCCAATGTGGATATAGACGAGTCAAGGCCATTATAGGATTCCGTTTGGGAAGCAGGCGACGACTCCTTGAGGTTGAAGCCGCTCATGCTGAGAATGGACTTTGCAAAGTCTGCCATTTCGCCAGATTAGATAAATATGTCACAATAGTGGTCGGTGGACAGACGTAGGAAAGCCACGGGAAAATGGGGCCTAGGGAAAAAAACGGCCGAGAAGAAAAATGAAAGACGGAGATCGGATAAGGGGAAACGCAACGAGGAGGAACAGGAGATTCCAGAATTCGAGTTGCACGCTTCGGCTTCAGAGTATCTCTGCCAAATCAAGCCTGAGGTGGATCTTTTTGATTTTTTGTTGGCGGTTTGGGAATTTTCTCGTTTTTTTCCTTTCCAGCTTGTTCGAATACGGGCAGCAGGGGAAATAACAGAAAGTCACTAAGGGGAAAGAAGCCGATACGTATTAGAGGCCAGCCGAAATGGGCTGTGCTATATCACAAAGTGGGTGAGAATAAAGAGGGAAAAGGAATGAATGAGAGCGGGAGATTTCAAAGCAGGAAGGAAGGAATAGGTGCACTACAGAAAAAGAAAAGAAGGCTCCGAGAGAAGTCCAGACATCGAAGCGAAAGGACGAGAAAAGATGGAAAAAAATTCAAGAAATGGCGAGTCCCATGACGGTTGCCTCGATTAGGTGTCTTTTTTTTTACTCTGGAATTTTTTTCTTTTGGCTTTCCCTCTTGTTCTCTCAAACTCATCCTATCTTAGCGATCCGCTGAGCACGGATATGTTTTTCCTGCAGGATCTCTGTCTGCAGGACGCGATAAGTGCAAATCGCATCCACTTTGGGCAATAGACGATGGTTTCGGCGCATTGTGAGGGAATTTTCCGAGATGGAAACATTGGGGCCATGTGCGGGCAGAAATGCTCGACTTCCATTGGCCAAACGGGTTTTCTGTGCTTCAGCCGCTTCTCTCGCTTAACAAACTGTTTCGACTTTCATTTGTCTTATCTGGCATGTCAAATTGCCTGTTTGCACATGTTGGTATACTCCTGCCAGTGTGCAGGAGGAGAAGATGAACTAATTAGCATTTGATAAAACACATAATCAACATTACATTTTAGATGTTTCTGGAGAAGCCACCAGTTTATCTAAATTTGTTCCAAAGTTGTATTCACAGTTGTAGTTGTATCCAAAGTTGTAGTTGTATCCAAAGTTGTTTATAGTGATGGTTTACGTTTACGAGACACCATGCTCATTTTCCTGCAAGAAAGTTAATGAGATTTCTTTCATGTGGCAAATGGGCTAATGATCTGGAACCTCCATGCTTACGTGAATGTAGCCTTGATAATACTTGAACAGAAAGCCTACATTTTTAAGTGATGGGCATGAAATCAAACAAGTTGTACAAAATGGCGAATGGGAGCTTAGTTTAGGAAAAGTCGATTGCTAAACCCAGTAATAGAAAACGGCCAGGGCAACAGGTATGTTGGACGTTATCTGGTCATATGCGATTGAGAAAAACACTTCTATCCTGTGCATTAATATATAGTATTAGGTTTAATAATAGTGATGCCATTGTGTTCGACATTCATTGTTACGACAATGGGGAAATCTAGTTTTAGACTTCCATTACGCTTATCACTACTTCATTGACTATTTTCTGGGCATCAACCTGAGAAGGACATGTAGGTGTTCATATCTCAATTGTTAGACTTTCGAACACTAGTTTTATTTTCGGCCGACAGAAAATTAGAATGGACTTAGCCACCGGCTGACTATTTGTATCACAGAGTCTAATTGAGCCATAGTTGAGAGTCGGGGCAATTTGTACACTTCACACTTTGAAATCCTGTCATTATTTCGTTAAGTGTAAGGTTGAATGTGCAAGGTAACAACGAGCAGTTGATTTTTTGCCTGAAAAACGGCTGCTCAAATAAAGTGGATTTACCTTTATACTCAGAATGGCTACTTCTTTTCACGGAGCATGTTCAATGTATTAATGCAAGAGCAAATCTATCACACGTCTTCATACGCCAATTTAAATCAGCCATCTATCAGCCATATATTAGCCATATATCAGTATCTTTAAATCAGCATCTTTAAATCAGCATCTTTGAATCAGCATCCTTGAATCAGCATCATTAAATATGCCCTTTTTTCAAGCTAGTAATTTCGGACATACATTGCATTTTTCTGAGCATTGACTATTTCGCATAAATACTGTCAAATATCAGACACCACGTCTGCCCGATTTGTCTACTCCTTCTGTCTCTTAATACTGTCTACTTCAGTCTTTCGTAAACTTAAATGTACACCGTTTTCCTTTGTCATAGTTGTTCTTTGTGTTTCATTTTGTCTTCCTCTGTCTCATTTTGTCTTGTTCTGTATCTCATTTTGTCTTAGTGGTCGAAACTTCTGAAAAAATCAAAACTTCACAGCCTCCATCCCAACAACACCAGCTCTAACCAATCATTCCTGACTACAGCCTAAACATAGTGGCTCCACTAGAACCACTTTGGTGGTGGCCCGTTTGCTGGCCATTCACGTGACCTCTCGCTTTATGAGAAAAAATTCCTCTCAACATCAAGAAACCCCAATGAACTTTCTTCGGTCGCTTGCGTTGGCGCCTGTGATGCCCAGATTGGGCTGCCGGGGTTTTTCGGGCAGCTCGGTGGCGCTTGCTGAAAAATACTACAAAATCACAAAGTACACCAAGCCTGTGGACACCAACACCTATGTCGGCGGACAAGAAATGCCATACAACAAAATCATTCCCCGCGTGAAGAAATTGTATCCTGAGTACGAGTACGAGACCATGTTCTTCAAGAGACAGAACAGAGGATTGTACGCGGGGCTCCAGCGCAAGAGATCCAAGACGTGTTCCGAAAGCGGCAACAAGAACAACAGGGTGCATTTGCCCAACATTGTGCGGGCCAAACTATGGTCGGAAACGCTAAACAAGCGTATTTCGGCGCGTGTTTCGACGACCTTGTTGCGTACGGTGACGAAGGAGGGCGGCTTGGACAACTACTTGCTCAAGGACAAGCCAGCTCGTGTGAAGACAATGGGGTTGAAAGCGTGGAGATTGAAGTACGACATCATGAAGAAGAAGGAGATCGAGGCGAACTCCGAGAACCTGCCAGCGACCGTGTATCACGTTCTGGAGTCCGGCAAGAAAATCACCGTGGGAAGAAACAAGCTTTTGAAGGCGTTGTATCCCCTTGTGTTCAGAGACAGCTACGAGCCCATTGACTGGAATCAGTTCCTCAAGACACACACGGTGTTGTCCACAGAAGAGTTGGTGCAGAAGTTGGAGAAGTATGACTACGACTTTTCTTCCATCACCGTCTAGCACTTGTACATAGCATAATAGTAAGACCGGATAGAACCAGGGGAAGTATGAGAGTAGCAGATGATAGGAGTAGAGAAGGGAGATGAAGAGGATGATTAATAGAGAAGGGAGATAAAGAGGATGATTAATAGAGACAGATGATTAATAGAGACAGATGATTAATAGAGACGGATGATTAATAGAAAGAGGATGATGAATAAAGAAGAGGATGATCGACATGAAGTGGGAATACAACATTGAATAGAGAATAACATGTTATAACAATTAGAGAAGAGTATCATGAATGACAATGGAAATAATACGAGATGGCCATTCAAACGAGATCAATGTGAAGATCACATAGACTCATTCGGCCCAACCAGAAGATAATAATCTTGATCGACCTGAAGATTCGCATTGACCCAGTGACGAAGCTCATTGACCAAGACGAATATATCTGGAAAAATCCAATACAGTAACATTCCGTCCATCAAGGTGGAATCGACCGAACCATCTAGCATAATCTCCAATAGTACTAAATTAGTTTCGCAGTCGCTGCCTAAGATAACCACGCAGCCTCACAACAACAGAACTATTGTCTTCAGCTGCTCAAGCCACCTCCTTCCCGCCTTACCTCTAATACACTCCCTTTGGCTGCAGATCTTACTTCAAACCGACACTGCTGGCTATGGGATGTTTCTTTCTTCACGTGACTTGCCGTACTTGAGGGCTCCAGACCTAATGTCGTCCGCCGCGCAGGCAAAACAGAACATCCCGTGGCTATGGCCTTATATGCAAGCCCATCTCTCTACTGTACACCCCAACCCATGCAGGCGCTCGAGTCGCACAAGAAAAATTTTCCATCCTTTCTGAATAATCTCTTCTTAGTACATAGACAAAAATGGCTAGATCTGGTATGTGCCACCTCAAAGAAAAGTTAAGGCGAAGTCTGCAAGAAAACCAAGCTGTCCGAACGGGACCCGAAGAGCCCGTGTGATTTTCCCATCCAGAAGTTTCCATGAAAAGTTTGAAGAAATCCCGATGTCCCTAGGTATTAAACATTTCCATCGATATTTGACTTATTCAACTGATTTCCTGCCCTGAAGATTCGTCATTTCCCCTTCTTATACTAACATTCAGGTATTGCTGTCGGCTTGAACAAGGGTCACAAAACCACCCAAAAGGACGTTGCTCCAAAGATCTCTTACAGAAAGGGCGCTTTGTCCAAGAGAACTGCCTTCGTCAGAAGCATTGTCTCTGAGGTTGCTGGCTTGGCTCCATACGAGAGAAGATTGATCGAATTGATCAGAAACGCCGGTGAAAAGAGAGCCAAGAAGTTGGCCAAGAAGAGATTGGGTACTCACAAGAGAGCCTTGAAGAAGGTTGAAGAGATGACCAACATCATCGCTCAATCCAGAAGACACTAAGCGTGTTCACCACATCATCTTCCACATAGTGTAATGCTAATACGTCTCACATGTTTGTAGTCCTGGCAAACTGATGTTTTGTCAGAAAGAGAAGCTTTGTCATGAATTTCTCTCTTTACTCCTAAACTCTATTGTCTAAAGCTTTGCGAGTCCGACATTCTGCAATTCCCAATACTGTATAACATAAATTCGAATCGGAGGCCCAGTACCCTTTTCGCCCTACATCATGGGGCTGAATGGTGCCATGACTATCAATGCTCTAGCTGGGCCCCAACCAGTCTATCAAAATGCCTAAATTTCAAATCGTCCTTATTTTTTTTCCCTTCATTATAATCTCTGTAGTGGTTTCCTGCACATTTGACAAAATCTTCACCTTAACCTATCTTACTCTTTCCACCACCATGTTCGGCTTGACCTCCCTTGCTACCCGTGCCTTCGCTGGCATGCGTCCGACTCTCCTTCGGCCCTTGGCCACGCCGCTTTTTTTGGCTTCTCCCCAAATCTCGCCCATCCGGACTTTCAAGGTCAGAACCTCGGTGAAGAAGTTTTGCAAGGACTGTTACATGGTGAGAAGAAAAGGCAGAGTCTATGTGTACTGCAAGTCCAACGGGAAACACAAGCAAAGACAAGGCTGAGCCTGCTGCTGTGGGGATGCCCTTTTGTATATAGTCAAATGCATGTTACGGATCATTTGTGTAGTTGTATGGGCGGGACTCATGGTTTTGATATTGACTTCTGAAGTTTGTAATGCAACGCAAACCTTCAGAAAAATGACTTGTCCCGAGTTGTCCCGACTTGATTTCCTGGCTTGATTTCCGCTTCCTTTCTTGACTTCCTGATTTCCTGGCTTGATTTCCGACTTCCTGACTTGACTTAGGCTTGGCGACTCGTTTTTCTTCTTCCTTTTCTCTGACTTGCTCCCGATTGTATCTGTATTCCGTCTACATGTGCTACTTCCTTGTACCATTGATCTACTTCTGATCTCTATTTCCCTACCGCTGAGACCCTGCGGTTTGCGAGAGCTTCACGGCTCTTGTCATGGGCGCAACGGAGCGGGCTTGAGCAGTCGGGTTCCGAGGAACAGCCTGTCTCCCCTTCTCCTGGAGCAGCAACGAGCTTGAGGAGGAGCTTGAGATCAACGCCGCTTGCCACATTTGGTTCACCAACGCATCTGCTTCCTCCTGCTTTTCGTCCCAGTTGGGCAGGAAGTCATGGAAAGTGTTGGCGGCATGCGTGTAGCCGTTCTTCTTCTGTCGCCTCTTTTGCACTTCGAGCTCGCCGTCCTTCTTTTTCTCCAACCGACTCAATGACTCCGCAACAGGATTCAAGTAACGCCTGACATTGACATAGTCTCTGTTGAGCCGCTCGAACTCTGTCCGCGACTGGATCGAGTTTTGATGGCCGCCTTGAATCAAGTAGAAAAGATTGGTGACGCTTTCGGAAGGCGTTGGTGTTTTCTCGCCTTGAGACTGTGCTTCAGGCATCAGTCCTAGCGAAAAGCCAGCAGCGTCCCGAACATTGGTTGCGCTATTGTTGTAGTTGTGTGCAAACATGAGCTTGTTCAAAGAGTAGCTTGAGAAGTTTTTGTTGGCTTCAGCAACAGACGGAATTTCCATCATGGAGTTTTCCCGCTGAAGCCAGAGTCGTTGCTGCGTACGAGTTTCGATGTTGTTGTGGCCCGACTGGCTTGAATTTAAAAATGCAGAGAAGCTTTTGCTCGAGTCGGCTCCTAAAGACTGGTTGAACTGGTCGACAGCCGGTTTTTTTTCTTCGGGCGGCGCTGGTTGCCGTATGCTGTTTAAAAATTGCGTGTTTGTCCGCTGTAGATTGCTGAATATGGTCTGGTTAGGCTGATACGACTCTGTTTTCAGCTCTTCAGCGCCAACGTCTTCTTTTCCCTCGTAGATTCTCGACACAGGGCCAACTTTTCTAGTAAGGCCCGTCGATTGCGAAAGAAGAAGCGATCCGCTGTAGAGAGCTGAAGATAGGTCGTCGGAATTTTCAGTTGACACCGATGCCGCGTCATTTCTGTTTTTCTGCTCTCGGTCCGCCGGTTCTCTCCAGGTTTCATACTCGTTTTTTATATCCTTGTTGGTGGTCTGAATGATGTTCTGACTAAGGTCCTGGCTTGGGACGTTCTGACTAAGGTCCTGGCTTGCGACGTTCTGACTAAGGTCCTGTCTTGGGACGTTTTGGCCTTGGGCGTTATGGCCTTGGCCGTTTAGGCCTTGGACGTTATGGCTCGATGGGGCATTCTCAACGTGGTCGATTCGACCTCCGTTTTCTATTCCATTTGTTTCGGTGGTGGGATCCGTTGGCTCGTTTTTGGGCTCGTATGCTTCGCTGTCTGAACTATCGGCGCTCAAGTCCTCGTAATCATTCCCTGTATCCTCGTTCAACTTCAATATGGCCCTTCCCCGTTTGGAGCTTGTCTTGAGCCCTGCAGGGGTAGCAAAGCCTTTCCCAGAGCCAGATGCTTTCAACGACCGAATCAGATGGTCCAGTGCTGTTTTCTTCATCGCCTTTCCCAGGCCGTTCAGCGTGGTTTTCCACAACGCATTCTGCTTGGCTGAGCCGTTCAGAAGCGTCTTGGTAAGCGGCGCCAAGCCCTTGAGCGACCCATTCAGAAGCGTCTTGGTCAAGGGCACAAGCCCGCCCGTCGCACGGCTCATCGACCCGTTCAGAAGCGTCTTCGTCAACGGGTGCAAGCCCGAGAGCTTTGTGAAGGACCGGTTGCTCCTGATCCCAGCCCGGCCCGTGCGCAAGATTCCATCGCTGGACTTGGATCGGTTCAAATGCGGCTTGCTGCCCGAGGCAGAGGTCGAGAGCTTGATGGGCATCTTCGTATGCGACTGAGATCGTGCGTGCGGCGCTCGGCGCAGATGGTTTTTCTTGCCTGGCGGTGTTTTGGTGGCGGCTCGCGAGATGTGGAGGTCGGGGCTGGTTTCTTGGTGGTGGAGCCCGGCGACATTGGCCAGGTTGGCAGGAAGCGACATTTCTTTTTCAACAGATAAGAGCGGGTTCGGCAGCTTTGCGTGTTCTGCCCGCCTCAGTGATGTGCCGACTTTTGTTCTGTGCTGCTTGGATGACGTGGTTGTGCTATATTAAGACTTGTCTTTTGGGGTAGTGTATGCTGGGTGCACGGGTGTTTTCTCCACACTACCAGACCATACTGAAAGTGCTCCAACAATCGAAAGTGCTCGGACAATCGAAAGTGCTCGAACAATCGAAAATGCTACAAACTTCATATCTTCTTTGCATATACTTCACTGTTGATTTTTGCCATGAAGGCAAGTCGTGATGGTTTTCCAGTATGCAGGCTCACTATTTCTATACTTGGAGACAGCGGCTTGAGTTGTTCGTTAGGGCAGAAATTCGGTGGCGACTACTTTCTAGCGCTTGTGATTCCAAAGAACCTACTTTCATGGAATTTGCGGCAAAATTGAAGAAGTAACCTCTGATGTAGCCGTCCTGGTAAGAGGGGTGGCCTTCTTATGCGGATCTCACATCATGCATCGTAAATTGCTTTCACAAATGTACACCATCAATTTGGTATACAATACCGAGTATTTTATATTAGTTAATAGAAGTCACAATTAATGGTATTTCCAAAACTCAATTTTAGGTTGCATCGATTACTTCTACTGCAGACGATACATCATAAGAAGAAAGCTGGAACTTTTTAATCGTAAATCTCTAATTTCTGCGGGCCGTTCTAACTTGGATACATGTCTATTCAATATCGCCAATGCAATTGATCTCAATGTTTCCGGCTGTTGGTACTAATTTACAAATGAAAACATCTCTCTTAGCCTCAAATTGGTCCTACTTTTCGCTCCGTTCAAAGGAGTCTCATACACCACTTCTCGTTAAACACTATCATGTCTCGGGGACACGAAACCGCAACTGTTGGCCCTCGCTATATATGTGCCGCAACGCTCTTTCGAAATCACCAGAAGACTGCCACTCCAAATATTTTTTGTACAATTGAAGTGCGGTGTACGCATCTTCAATGGAGTCGTGGTTTCGTGTCTGAACAGACTCTCGTAACACAATGTACGCCAAAAACTTCAAGCTGAGTCGCCTGCGGAAATCGGGCAAAAAATAAAACTCGATGGTGTCTCGGATCTGCGCCTTGGGCACTTGAAGGTTGATGCACCGGAAATCGCTCTTGAGTCCATGGCCCACAAACACACAGCCCATGTTCAACAAAAGCCAAAGCCGCCGATAAGCGGTCTGTAACGTTACAAGCGTTTTGGTCGAGCGGTCAGGATCCAAATCACCATCCTCGATTCCGGAAAATGTCGTCAAGTAGTCATGAATGGGTTTCGTGTGCACAATGTAATCGTCAATGAAGGGTACTCCGTGTTTTGGGCCCTCGTTGCCTCTCAAGGCAGAGATTCTTGCTAGAGAAAGCATAGTTGGACGGATCAAATTGCGTACGCCAGTAAAGCTCACCTCCACCAACTCCGGTCTCAATGAAACAAATTCAGCGTCAATGGCCACCAAAGACCCGCATTCGGGAGCCTCTTGCCGCGTAAGAAGCTCGTATTCTCGTTTATACCCTTCTCTAATTCCACACGCAAAATGATCACGGTAGAGAATGCTATCATTCAAGCCACTGAGCTTCCTGAAAATCGATTCTTCGAAATATGTGAATCTTTGATTGCGCGGATCTTCCACATTGTGGTATACTAAAACAACCGGCTTTTTCCAATTGTAAGAGAGGTTGAAAACCTCTTCTTCAGGAATTGGCATCACCAAAAAGTCGTTAAATAAAATCCATTGATCCTTGCCCAGAGACGGCATTTGCACCTTCACGAACGAGACTAGATTATGTTGCCCTGGGGATGATGCTGAACCTCTATTGACTTCGCACACATAACCAAGTAGTTCGTATTTTTCTGCACGTTGATTAAACTGCGTGATAACCGGTTTAAAACAAACTTTTCCTGACGAACCTGTAGTCGTGTAAAATTCAGGAACAAGCCATTTTTTATAATTCTTGATGACACTAAATTCTTGCTCTGTGAAAGGTAGATTTATCAGTAAAACAGAGCCCAATTTTATGAGTGTTTGCTTTACTTCAACCGGATATGGAGTTTGTGATGTCGCTGGCAAGACCTTCGTTTGGTTGAGTGAGTATTCCAAGTATGTGAGCAAATTATGATTTTTCCTCGATAGAAGTTGCGGGGGTGTGTATCTGTCGGGATTATTCTGGTTGATTTTGTTCAATATGTTATTAGGTGGAGTCACTAAATCCAAGGTTGCCTGATTCCCAATGTGTTTGTCAAGAAATTCCCCTGAAGTTGTGGAAAATGTGAGCTCGTAATGCATAGCGGTCATATCTTGAACATTGATCGCAAATTGTGACGCGTAGTCGTTGACCACTGATTCAACAAGAAACTTATTAAAAGTAATGATCAACATTTGCAATTCTCTAGAGTTGAGCGACTTCCCGTCATCCTTATTAATTAGTTTATGAGCTTTTGCGATTTGGTTCTCGCTCAAAATCAGCGAAAAATTGGAGATGCTCACGTTTCGAGGCCCAGCTTTGTGCATCATGTCAAAAAGGTACGCCAACTCGTTAAGAACCGATGAGCCTTGAGGATTTGACTGTTGAATGAAAGTCTCTAAGCTGTTGGGAAGCCACTCATTAAGCAAGCTTTTTGTAACGGTGTTATAGAAAATGGGAATGAAGCGGTAAATTTGTAATAGCGGGTTAACGTATGAGTTATCGATGTGATTCTCTAGACCAGCAAAGAATCCTCCTGAGTGATTGTAGTACTCAAAGTCAAAGTCGTCAACACCAAATTTAGAGTAATGGATTTCTAGTCTCGTATAGCACGAAGGCACTTTATTTTCAACGGGAGACTTGTACTGAAATACGGTGGATGCGATGTTTGCCGCATCGTTTGCTTGCGCATTTCCATTCGAGTAGTCATTTTCCACTTCATCGCCGAAAGTCGGAGTCTGACTAAGAAACGGGGAATCTTCACGATACGGCAATGACACAGGAGTTGAGCTTCTTTCACTGATGAACTTCGGTATTAAGCTTGCCTGGGTCTGGTTCCTTCTGCCGGTATTACGAACATTAACTTCCAACAGTTGATGCGGTTTCAAGACGTTCCGTGGGCCATATTTCGATTTATCATATGGCAAGATCTTCCCCGGTTCCGATTCGCTGAGCTCCGACAAATGCGAGTCGATTTTCTCTGGCATTTTCAGGAGCTCCTTGTCGAACACCATATCTGACGGATAATTTGAGGTGAGAAATTCTTTGTAGTAGGGCATCCCCACCGTGTTCAAGGGCACAGACTCGTCCAAACTGATGGGATTGGACGACACTGCGTTATCGACGATATCAGGCTGGTCCAATGGAGCAGGGAAATTGACAAAGTCTCTGCTGGAGGATGCGCTGAGAGACCAGAGATGCATGTTGCGGAAGCCGTCGCTGAAGCACAAAAATTCTCCGTTCTCGCTAATGTCCAAGTTCGACAAGTATGAGTTGGGAGCTGATGATAGGGAGGTCGAAACAGAGTCAGACAAGTCTGCTTGGTACAAGTAGAGCAGCAGCAGGTCGTAGATGTCCACAAACTGGATCTGGCCGGTTGTAGATGCCACCACGGCGATATTGGGCAACTTTGGATGGAACTTGACAAAACTGGCGCCAGCAGGGAAAGAGACAGGCGGCAAGGCACGCATCATGCGCAAGTCGTAAAGGTTGACCAACGGATCCACCGTGTACTCGGGACTTGAGCCGAAGCGGCGGTTTCTCACAGAGTAGCCGCATGTGGCGACGTAATTGCCCTTCACGTCCAAGTCGGACAACAAGCCGTTGTGTCCGGCAAACGTCTTGACCGACGCGTTGGCGAGCGGGTCGAATATCTCCAAGGAGCCCGAGGAATGGCCCAACGTCAACATCTTCAGCGAGTAATTGATGAACGAGAGGTCGCCGCGGTGGTCAAAGGGCTGGAGCCGCAGCGGCTTCTGCAAGTCCATTTTGAAAAGCGACGAGTTGCCGCCCACAATGAGATCGCTCGATGTGGAGTACGCTAGCGTCATACACGTGAGGTTTCTAAACACGTTCTGGGCCGGCGCATCTAGAGCATCGGGCGTGATCCACGCCTGGGTCAAGCCGCGGCGCGTGTGGAAGCTGACGCACGATGTCAGAAGCGCCAACACGCCCTTCTGGTGGTTCATGTGCTGGATTATGGGCGCGTTGGCCACCAGCGACCGGAACTTGGTGTATCGATATAGAGGAACATGGACGCCCAAGGCGTAGGCGTCGGGCTCTGGCGCGGCAGGTGTGAAGGACGACGAAAAGCCCGCGGAGTCGCCGCACCACACCAAGTTTTGTGTGTGGTCAAATACTAGAGAGGTTATCTGCGGCGGGTCTGCGTTTGCATGGGCGCCGGTCCGAGCGGTGGCTGGAATCCGAGCAACCTAGAGGTTAGTGGGGTCCGGAAGAAACCCGTGCCTCTTCTCGAGGGGGCTTTCGACAATTGTATCATACCTCTTCCCAACCGTCCATTGCGCTGGGTGAAGATGTGTGTTGAGGATGGAACTGAGAGCATGGCTTGATGTGCGCGTGGGTCGTGCGGTGCTCAAAAGTGGAGAAGTGGCTTTAGCATTGTTTGTATGTGTTGGTTTGTAGTGTTTTTTCTATGTATTTGTTTGTAGCGTTTGTTTGAATGTGTTGTTTGTAGTGTTTGTTTGTATGGTTCTTTCTCTGTTTTCTGTATATGCTTCTGGCCCTTGTCTTCGTGTCTCAGTGCGAATCTCGAACGTTATCGCCGCAGAAAAATGCCACATTGACTGAGGACAAAGATTGCAAAAATAGCATAAACGTGATTTTCAGTAGTGGACGCTTTCGAATAAGCTTAATAAACGCGTAAGTGCCTACTGTTCGATTAACATTGGCAAGACCCGTACGTGTAATTTTATGAAATTAATCAAAATGTCGCTGGCTCCATTTGATTGCAATTGGCAGACTTGTAAGTGAAGCTTGAGTTGAGCCATAATGCCAGAACATAGACTTTTCTTGTCCCACCCAAAATCTTGAATGCTCTTCACATCTCTTCACGGGGTTTTTAAAAAAATTGATCGCTATTTACCAAGCTTGTGATTACTTTGCTCTACTATAGAATATAAATAAGACTGGGGCTCAATTCTTACTGCGACAGATAAAACCTCAGTAAGGTCACCCTTACATTTAATTGACTCCAAATCAGCATCATGAATACCTGAATAAGAGACCTCAAGGATAAGCCTGGAGTACTCAGAAAGGATCTGGATTTGAAAGATAAGACCTCAATGTGATGCAAGCACCAACATGGCCGACTTGTGGCCTCTCATATCCGATTGTACTCTAGCACTTGTTGAGGTTTTTGCAATCTTCAAATCTGCTCTGATCATTGGTATCGCGATTCTTGCCTAAGAAGTTAAACGTCTACGCAGAATTCGGCCTTTATCAGTTGCAGGATTCTATCAGCTTGAGAGAAGATGCCCGGATTTAGGGTCTAGACTAAGCCACGAGGATTCACAGATAAACAACCCTAGAGATGAATATTGAAGCTTAGAGAGTTAACCAGCATAATCAATGACGTTATCAGATAGAGCCACCTTTGGGCCTCGTATGAGTTGTCCTGGTGGTTGTCATCTCGTTTAACATGCACATTCGATCTTGCAGAGAATACGTTTTCGTAGAAATGAGCTGAAGCCGATAGAATCCGAAACCTTTGAAGTACCTTGAAATCCGAAATCTCTCTCCCAAACCTTCATCTTTTTTCAAAAGAAAAAAAAGTTTAATTTTTGGGGCTATATATCTCTTTCAATCTGAACCTTTATATCCAACCTTTATATCCAACCTTTATATCCAACCTTTATATCCAACCTTGCTGAATCTCGACCCAAGATTCCATATAATTACATGCAAGCAGATACGCGAGTATGTGGCTTTTTGACCAGACAGAAAAGTGCATTAAGTGCGGTCATGGTTCTTATCGCGCACGTGAAACTAATAAGCGAACACTGGGGTAATAAATTGAAAAGATTGATGTTTCTCGAGATTGGCCTTTTCCGCCTCGGGGCCTTTTCGCCTCCGGCTACGCATATCGAATTTCTCCCATTTTTTTTCTCTTTTTGTCTTCTTTCCTTACCCAAAACTCCAATTAGTCATTAGATAGCGCGTGTTTACTTTGCCCCACCAAAGGCCGCGATAGTGACCCTTTTGTGTATATATAAAGGACCTGACCGTACTCACGTTCCATGGCTTTTTCTGTGGCCTAGTTTCTCTTTTCACTTCTCCCCCAAAACACCACCGCAGCACGTCCTTGGCTGCGCAAATCCCACAACCCTTACTCCTTCGTTATGTTTAAGAACTTTCCCTTTTCTGGCTGGTTCAGAGACGGAAACCGCTCGCCACCTTCCCCACCGCAAGACGTTCCTTCGTCCTTCACCGTGCCCGGAAGAGAGGCCTCGCAGTTGTACAAGGTGTCCATGAACGAGGCCTCGGAGGACTTTGTGGACATTGACTGCCGCAAGATGTCCTACGCCGAGGTGGCGCAAATGTCCAAGAACAAAAACAAGGCGCCAGCGCCGGAGGCGGCGCGGGCAAAACCAAAGGAGCACCGTGTCTGCTCCAACCAGTACGAGGTTTTGGCCGACGACGAGCCCTTGACCGAGTCGGTGTACGTGGACACGGAAAAGACCAAGCTGAACAACTACTTTTTGAAGAACAAGGTGTACAAAGAGGCGGACCGGACCAAGGGCCAGAAAAAGCTCGCCAAGAGAGCACGCAGCTAGCCGTATTTATTCAATAAGATTTCTTATAAGACTTGCTGCCACGCTGACAATGGCCAGTAGCCATACCTTATCTTATCTATCATTTCTCGGAGCGCGCGCCTCGGTTTTTTTATCTTGTATGTTTTCTCCGCTTCTCTATATTTTTTGTTCTGGCGGTATGATTCATAACTGCTACACCAGCCATCGATATACTCTGACTTTCGGCCCGGATGGCTAAAGTGGAAGCGTGGGCCGGGTGTGTATAGGAAAACGCCTATCACAGATTATGCGCCTATGTGCATGATGGAGCGCGGTCATTGCGATAAGCCAGCGTTGCTGTTCTTCCCCATTGGGAATAATCTACTAGCAGACCATCATGAATAATTGTTGTTCTGTTCATTTTCTGTGAGAGTGCCTTCCTGACATCTTTAAGGAACTGTCGGATTGGTGAACTAACTGTAGTTACGAATGTGCCTGTGAGACACAATGGTTATTACTGGCGTGTTTCCAAAGTTTATTGGCGCGACATCATGGCTTAATTTAGCTCATATGTTACCGATTCTTCCTTGCTGTGCCAGGCCGAAAAAAAAAAGGCTTCAACATCAGTCTAACCCATAAGTGTACTTTCATCGAAGTACTTCATCAAGATGACACATTGGTCTAGTTAAGAACATTACGTAATGTCGATAACCACGGTGTCGGACCAAGCTGGCTATTTCGGACAAATGCAAAAAGAAATCTCCGATACCGGGAGTCGAACCCGGGTCTGCTCGGTGAAAGCGAACCGTGATAGCCGTTACACTATATCGGATGTTGATGATGTTATGCTACGTTGTGTATATATGTGCTTGAAATATTCGGTAGAGTAGGCAGCTCTGTGATCTTGCCTTGCGTATTGTTGTAGTGCATGTTTCTTCCTCTTCCTTTTACTTTATGTTCTCCTCACTTGCTCTCAAGACATTTTTCCTCCTTGGTTTTCTCCGCTAAATCTCCGTTTATTGGCTTTGGGTTTTCCTTTCCCCTTTTTCCTTTTTCGTTCTTCTCGTCCCTGATTCTCTTTTCTGTACCTTTTCGATGCTTATTCATGCACGATTGAGTGGGCCTTGCATGGGCCAAGTCCTGCACGACGCACTCACTTTACCCGTTTGGGCCTTCAAAGAAACTCTGAAGTATGCCCATTCTCTTCATCTTGCACCCTAAAGTTTCAAGTACGACATACTCCTGCCCGAGGATCTTTCCTGCCACTTCCCATGCATGTAGATTGCCTAAACGGGCTCTGAAAGGCCATCTCGTTCACCAATTCTGAAGCACAAGATGCAGCTTGCAACCGCAGCCAAACCAAATCCACAGATCGTAGAAGTATAAATCACGGTGGTTTCTCCTGTTCTCTTCATTCGACATCTTCTCTGTCTTCTCTTCCTTCTATCACTTGCAATGAAATTTTCTTTGGCTATTATCTTTTCCTTGGCTGCTGCCGTTGTTTCTGCTGCACCAGTGGCACCCGAATCCTCTTCAGACTTCCAGATCCCTGAGGAAGCCATCATCTCTTCTCAAGCTCTTGGAGACGACCAACTTCCTTTGTTATTGGGTGAAGGAAATGCCACCTACTTTGTACTCGTCAATGGTACTACTTTGGCCGAAGCTTACGGAATTACCAAAAGAGATGCCGAAGCCTTTGATGCTACCTACTTGGGAAGCTCTGTGGCCAAAAGAGAGGCCAACGCTGATGCATGGGGCTGGATCCACTTTCTCAACACTGACGTAATTGGAAAGAGAGATGCTGAACCTAAATGGAAATGGATCCATTTCCGTAACACCGACGTCATTGGTAAAAGAGACGCCAGTCCCAAGTGGAAATGGATCAAGTTTAGAAATACAGATGTCATTGGCAAAAGAGATGCAGAGGCCGATGCCTCTCCTAAATGGAAATGGATCAAGTTCAGAAATACCGACGTCATTGGCAAGAGAGATGCCGAAGCCGATGCTGCGCCCAAGTGGAAATGGATCAAATTTAGAAACACCGATGTCATTGGAAAGAGAGATGCAAACGCTGCTCCTAAATGGAGATGGATCAACTTCCGCAACACCGATGTTATCGGAAAGAGAGAAGCCCAAGAGTAGACTTCCAGCATTTCTTGGAGAGAGTTTCAGTACTGACCTTCTTTCCTTTAAGACAAAAGATAAAAAAAAAATACTCTTCTTTCGCCCTGTTTCACTTTCGCAATATATGTCTCTCCAAGCTAAATGTAAGCACTGGTCTGTGGTTTTGTCAATTTTGGCACTAGACTAGACACCAAGACCTACCTATAGGACACGTGAGACCAATCTATAGGACATTAAGACCTACCTAAGACACCAAGACCTACCTAAGACACCAAGACTTACCTAAGACACCAAGACCACGTTCAAGACCACGTTCAAGACCACGTTTAAGACCACGTTTAAAACCACGTTTAAGACCACGTTCAAGACCACGTTCCAGACCGTACGACTTTCAGTTGTGTGTCAGTTGAAAATGAGATCTTGGCAATTGCTTTGGTTGAACCTCCAAAACGCCAACTTCTAAGAGTAGAGAAAACCGTATCACACGTAACAGAATTCGAGCCCATGAACTTCAAGCATGTTTGCGTCCAGTCCGTAGGGGAAGGAAAACGGTCGATGTAAATAGCAATCTTGTGTCTGCTACACCATTCTGCTGCCGTGGAAAATAATTCACCGTCTAATTCTATGTGACTTCGTGTTGTTCAAATACTTCACCGTCTAATTCTATGTGACTTCTTGTTGTTCCATCCTACTGGTGATAATGAGCGTGCATCTAACTGCGAAAAGCTCATCACCTTCCTACCACTATGGAAAAAGACAATCTTTTCGTGGCCGAGGAAGAAGACGTGTCGCAGTCGCCTGCTTCTGAAGAGTACCACGACTTCACCAATCCCCTGCAAGGCGACGAAGACCCCATCATACAGAGCATCCCGCTTGTACACGCAAAACTCCCAGACCGAGCATCCCAATCGATCCATGTCTTGCAGTACACGGGCAAAGCGAAAAACGCACCGTTTGTGCACGACCAGCTCAAGGCGACCATGAAGCCCGAAAGCAAGGTGGTGGAGGTGAAAATCCCAATGGACACCCTGAAGTTCTACGACGAAAGCCGCACGGAAGAATTGGGTTCTCGTGTGGAGACGTTGGCGCTTCAAGGCGTCTTGACCAACACAGACGGCGGCCTTTACGTAGGGAAAGTGGTGGAAAAAGAAGGCGGCCCGCAGATAGTGTTGCTTCCGCTCGATAGCACAGCCCAGCTCCGGCCGCTGTTCAAGTACATTGACGACTTGGACACGGCCAGAACCGCGCAACTCAGACAAGAGTCATCGTCGTCGGATCCTCTGAAGCAAAACGCGGCGGTCCAGGTTCTTCAGACGGCATCGAAGGCGGGGCAGATGAGTGCAGATGGACATTCGGCCCAGATAGGCTCGTGCTTGAAACACATTAAGAAATTCAACGAGGAAGAGTGGCAGTCGCTCAGCTGGCGCAATGGCGAGGACAGCGCGTTGATGAGCTTGAAGGAGCGCTTGGTGTCTCCGGAAGTGGCACCTGTCTCTGTCAGAACGGTGTTTGACGAGTTTGCCTAGGAATAAGGAACATACAATTACGAATACATGGTGGAGGAAGCTGAAGCTTTGATCTCAAGCATCAATGTAGACAAGAAGCGACATGATGACATAGAGTTGCATTGCTGGGTCCAGGTTTCAATAGATTTTCAATACATGGGAACTCTATGGAGAAATTATTAACCTGCCAATTCGTAAATACCTTTTCTACTCTAAAGGTACTTTAGATGCCTTTTCTACTCTAGATACCTTTTCTACTCTAGATGCCTTTTCTACTCTACTCCAGTGAATATATCGAGCCAAATGTAATGTAACTCAACGATTATCAATAAGCTACCCTGCTACTATCCTCTTAATGATAAGGTGGTGCGAATGTTTGCAATATTACCTATTTTTTGCACCAAAGGCACATATCGAAAACACAAGACACTGACAAAAAAATACTTCCCACACAGCAGAAGTGCCCAAATATAGCCACAGCAATAACAGTAGCCTTAACTACACATCAATCTGCTGAATCAAAAATTATTTTCTTCTGTTTTTTTTTTTTTGGCTTGATGTCCTCATCTACTCTTAAAGTTTCTGCAGGCGCATCATCGCATCTCCATCACTACTTTTATCACAATGGAAGACGACGGATTGATTCTCAATTTCGCCACAGAAGATGCTCCTTCCGTTCCCCAGAAGGCCGCTAAGGTCACAGGAGGCACATGGAAAGAACGAAGAAATTTGAAGCTCAAACTCCAAGGAAGAGAGAGAAAACCCGGATCTGGAGTGAATAATATCGAAATCGACAACATCAGAACAGACAGATTGAAAGAGAAGGCAGAGCAGATGATGGCCGAACAGTATCCACAAAAGAAGTCGACGAAAACAGAATTTCGCAAGAAGGACCGAAAACCAGCAGAATCTGCAGAAGCCACCAAAAGGCCATCGTCTGAGCCGATGGGCATCACATCGAAGAAAGTCAAGTTTTCCGAAACCTCAGGTGAAAACGGAGGAAAGAACAACTCGTATGTTTCGTCTTTGTTCACGTCCAATAAAGGCAGCGAGATTTTGAAAGAATCCACCGGAAGCTTGACGTCCTATTCTGCCTCGAATGCACCACTTCAAGACGATAGTACTTTTGCGGGCTTGGGCCTCAATGACCGTCTTGTGACCCACTTGACGGGTCCGATGCGCTACATGGCGCCCACAAAAGTGCAAAGAGCCGTAATTCCACAAATGGTGAGAACACAAGAAGATTTATTTGTCAAGGCGCAAACGGGTTCGGGAAAAACCCTTGCGTTTGTTCTTCCTATTATCCACCGGTTGATGTCCGAGTCGGAAACGATCAGCAGGAAAAGCGGGTTGTTTGCCTTGATTCTTACGCCTACACGTGAATTGGCGTCGCAGATATATTCTGTTTTGGAGTCGCTTCTACGCTGCCATCACCACATCGTGCCGGGCATTGTGGTGGGTGGAGAAAAGAAAAAATCAGAAAAGGCCCGTATCAGAAAGGGTGTCAACGTGTTGGTTGCAACGCCAGGCCGTTTGGCTGACCATTTGGAAAATACAGAATCGTTGGACGTTTCCCAAGTAAGATGGCTTGTGTTGGACGAGGGTGATCGTCTTGTGGAGTTGGGTTTCCACGAAACCATCTCCAAAATCACGGATCAACTTGCACGTACTTCCAAAGCAATGGATACTATGCACAAATGGCCCGGCTTGCCTACTCGCCGAGTCAATGTCTTGTGTTCGGCCACCATGCCTGAGGACGTTAAAAAATTGGGAAGCACAGTCTTGAACAACCCGCAAATGATTTCCGTCGATCGTGAAGACACTTCAAATACCAATGCAACTGCCCCAGACCAGCTTGTGCAAAAGGTGATGGTGGTTCCACCAAAGTTGAGACTTGTCACCTTGAGTGCTGTTTTGAAGAACATCAGCCACAAGAGGGACGGCGCTACACGTACGATTGTTTTTTTCTCGTGCTCCGACTCTGTCAATTTCCACTTCGAAGTGTTTTCACGCGGAGGCTCGCCGATTTCTCGTAAACGCAAAGAGTCAGACGAAGAGAAGAAAGGAGACGACAAAGAAGAGGAGCAAAAGACCGAGAGCTGCGCATCTTCGGCTCCGCAGATCGCCGACAAGACTGCGATTTTCCGTTTGCATGGCTCCTTGTCTCAACAGTTGCGGACGTCTACACTCCAGCAATTTACAGAAGAAAATGGCGAGAATGAGGGAAAGCATCTTATTCTCTTTTGCACAGATGTGGCTTCGAGAGGTTTGGACTTGCCAAATATTGCGCATGTCGTGGAATACGATCCTCCTTTTGCGATCGACGATCATTTGCACAGAATCGGCCGTTCCGCCAGAGTTGGTAAAAAAGGTGAGGCCATTTTGTTCCTCTTACCAGGAGAAGAGGAAGGATATGTCGAGGGAAAGCTTCGTGTGGTCCACCCGAAACAGGGAAGCTTGCGGATCACGAATTATGAGAAGGTGCTTCAAGAAGCGTTTGCTGAAGACTCTGAACCCGTCACCAAAACCGATGCCAAGGCCAAGCAGGGCAAGTGGGATATCCATGCTACAACATGGCACTTGGAGGTGGAAAGATGGCTTTTGGAAGATTCTGGTGCTCTTGAAAGAGCGCTGCATGCATTTGTGTCTCACATCAGAGCGTATGCTACGCATTTGTCGTCTGAGAGAAGTTTCTTCAATGTGAAGTTGTTGCACTTGGGACACTTGGCCAAGGCGTTTGGTTTGCGTGAAACCCCAAAGAAACTTGGCCGTTCCAGTGGTCAGAGTGACGCTCCGGCGAAAAAGAAGGAAGATCCACGGAAGAAGATGTTGCGTATGGCAAGAATGGCTGAAAAGGCATCGTCTTCCGAATTTAATTACTAGCGCATTGCGACTAGGCGGTTTAATCTCCATACGTACATTATAGACTAAGAAATTTCAAGATAGCATAAGTAGTGTCACACCATCGAGAGATGTGGAAAATAAAATTAAAAGTTGTAGACTTTTGGGTAGAGAGGGAAGACTTTGACAAAAGAAGAAAGCGACAAACAAGCAAAGAGGACATGTCCTTTGGTCACCGATAAACTCGAAGATAAGCTTTCGTACTCGCAATTCTTGAAGCGGAACGTTATCCACTAATATCACCCATTCTTTTACGGTCCAGTGTTTAGGATTATAGTTCTGTGTGAACTTTGCGCCAACTATAAGATATGGACATCGATTGGAGTCTTCCATCTGCCACGCCAATAAGGATCATAATTCCAAACAAAGCTCTATTCACTGTTTGAGCAAGCTCCAAAGACCGTGGTTCTCGCCCAAAACGTAGTGCAATGTTCGTTTCTGATAGTAGTCGGGCACCAAGCGAATGTTCTCAATCACATCGTCCAACAAGATCGCCTTACCAATGTTGATTCCCTGACCCAAGCCCGCATGAGCCACGTTAACCACATGGATGTGGAAGTGGTAGTAAGAGGGCTGATAATGAATAAATATGCGAAGCTCATCTTCGGCAAGACCGTACTTTTCGCCAGTGATCTTTTTGATGGTCGATTGCAATTTTTCAAGAAAAGGCACATGCGAACTGTTCAAATCCCGAACACTAGCAATGTCCATTCTGTTGACGATGGCCACTAAATACAAAGCAGCCATGTTTTCTCCGTCCCATTTCATGTCTGGAAGAAGTACGAAACCATGCTCGGGATCCTTATCGTGGTACAAGACACTTTCCGCCTCTTTCCCATGGAACAAAATGTTGTAGACCCACTGGATCCGGTCGCCTCTCTGGGTCTCAATGAAAGGTTTGACCTTCAGCTGATACACCTCGGGAGATTCATTGATAAGATGGTACTTTTGTTCCGAGTATTTGCGGATGTGCGTCTCTGTCGCAGGATAAATCACCGTGATTTTTGCTCCAGCAGCCTTGGCCTGGTTCAAGTTGGCTGTCGACCAGTAGTAAATGTCGTTTTGGTTGATGAGCTTGAAAGACTCCAACGTCGCAGAGAGATGAACAGGTTCTTCTTCAAAGTTGAAAGGCGATTTCTCCAACGTGACAATGGCATTTTCCCCATCGATTTTGCCAAGAAGAATGGCAGACTTGGTTGTCAGATCCGACTTGAGGACCTGAGCTGTTTGAAACTTATCAATTAATTCTTGAATCTCCATGGTAGCAGAGGTGCGATTCAGTTTGGACTTGTATTCAGGCTAAGAATTTTGTGGGTTGAAATGGCACCAACAGTCATATTTAAGCAGCAGAAACAAAGGGGTTAGGGGATTTGTCTAGTCATGGAACCGATCGATTAGTCTGTTCTAGAATAAAGAAAGTATTGTCCAATGTACGCAGAACATAATATAAGAAGTAGATGAGCAGCTAAATGGAACACAATGGACGGAATGGAGACTATAGCCGCCATGATGTCGTAAAATTGCTCTTGTTTTCACTAGAGAAATCACCAAGGACAATTACGGTAATATACCTACAAGACAAGTGTACTGTAATTCACCGACTGACAAGTATACTGTTTCTGAAGTCATTATTTTCCAGCTGATGCTGGATCCGAGTCAAGTACACTTGGCAAAAGCCATATCTGGAATGTTGGGGAATTTATTCTACCTATAATAAGTACATCTATGTGTTCACAAGCTGATCTAGAACAAAAATTGTCGAGCACTCGAAAAAATAATGGAAAATAACAGGAAACTAACCAAACTAAAAGACGATTGGCTTAGCGGTGTCAGAGATTATGATCCCGTTGACACTTTGAACCTTCCTCTTGTAGTCAGCGTCTTTCTTGTAGGAAACTTCAACGACAGAGTCAACTGCATCGCCTCCACTTACTTCTTCTTTGATTTTCACCGAGGACACCGCAACTGCATTCACCTTTTTCTTCACATCAGTCTCGATTTTGCCAGTATATGATGCAGTGGTTGCTCCAGCAACATCCTTCTCACCCTTTAAGCGGAAACTGAGAGGAAGCGCCGTCTTGGTCGAAGTAGAGTACAAGGTCAAGTTTGTGGCAGGGTCTTGTACATCCAACTTGAATTTGGTGGTGGACAAGGCGAAGGAGGAAAGAGACGTCTTTTCTTTTGCAAGACCACCGCCTGGTGGGCCCACTGGTGTTGACAACACCATCTCTTGTCTTGTGAGGAAACAAAGGGAAGAGGTGTTAGCCACAACATTAAGGTTGGAGGTGGTGTTGTCCAGCAAAACGAAATGGAAACTGGAGATAGTTGACGAGTTCAGCGTGGAAGATGCCTTCAGATTAGTCAACTGGGGCTGCCATGGACTGATCTTTGGAGGAGACACTACGGTGCCCAGATCAAGTTGCAGTGATTCCGCAGAAACAACATTTCCTGATGCGGATTGGATCAAAGCGCTTTCCCAGACGAGCAATGCACCCGAAACAGTCCACGAACCAGCAGCAATGTTTGTTACAGACGAGATTGGATGTGCTGGGGGAGGGACCGGGGTTGCATCAGCAGCTTGAACAGGTGAGACAACAATAATCTCCAAAGTCTGTTCTGCTTCCCAAAGCAAGGGCAACAACGCAACAAGATCCACTTCGTAGGCAAAGCCGCTGTATGTTCCTGAGTCTACAAGAGGAGTCCAAGGGTTAGGGCCATCAAACAACTTGTCAGCATGGAACAATGTTGGCTTTGGGTTCACGGTGCCAGCATATGTACCGGAAACAAATAGATTGAACTGGCGGAACGGGCCACTTGCCAAAGGCTCACCGGCAGGAGACACACCGCTTTTGTAGAATTCCACTTCTTCGTCTGAAGCGGAAACAAAAAGGGAGATTTTCGCTGCAGTGACATTCAGAGCCACTTGAGGCAATGTTGCGACGAAACCAGCCTCGGGAAGCTTGACTGGCTTGTCCTGAAGAGCGAAAACATGGGAAGCTGGTCCCTGAGGCGAAAACAAGTCGCTTACTGCAAGGCCCTTTGATGGCGCAACGGCAGATTTAGGTTCCGCATACAACACCACCTCCAACGAAAGGGCAAAAGAGCCCGCACCTTCGATAGAAGAGACCTCAATGGTCAGGTTGGCTTCGAACAAGCTCAAGTACTCCGAGATGTTCTTGGACGTAGACGAAAACACTTCAGTGTCCACCAGAGGGAATGGAGTAGCCGTACGCCAGATAGGAACACCATCGACAGAAATCTCAAGCACCGAAAAGGCAGATTCAGCCAGAGGCGCTGCGGTGACATTCAAAGTCATGTAGCCGCCAGTGAAGTTGAAATCACTTGGAGAGTTGTATGGAGCCGATAAGGAACTGGCAAACAGAACATCGTCAAACACAATGTCCGACACGTTGTAAGTCAAAGTCGAGGAGGCGACAGGAGGCAAAACCTCAAACAGCTCTATTGGAGCCACAGGAGCAAGTTGGAAAAATGTATGGAAAGCACAAGTGTTTCTGGAAAACACAAGGTATACGAGTGTAGCCAAAGACACAAGTGATCCAAGAAGGAAGCGGACATATGCACAGCCGCGTCTGCGTTCGTTCGAAAAGCGAATTGGCTCATAAGGACCTGCCTCAATGTCTTTTTCGAGCAATTTGATAGCCATGGTTTTCTTTCTTGTCGACGCTTGAAAGTAGGGGTCTCATGGCTTATCTTATACATGCAGCTCGGTGCACCGTTTGCGAATTCTAGCGCCGCGCAGATATCGCGATCGACGCACGGAAAACCCCGAGATGGGCCCACGGGATCTCCGAGGATCAATGCGCACTTCCGTCGGCGAGCCGGATTGGGAACTAGAGGACACCGATAAGGAAAGACAAGAAGAAAGAAGAAAAAAATAATTAAGCGCGAAGACAAAGTATCTCTGATACGAGCCAAGTATCTCTGATACGGGAGCCAAGTATTTACAGTGATAGATCACTATGCATGCTAATTGGGTCTCTAGTCCAGCTCATATAATTCCTGGGTCTTTTCTTCTTACTTTTGATTCACCTTCATCTTTTGTTCATCTTTCAGTTCTTTTGGATCTTTCTTCCCTCCTCTTCCTCTGATTCTTTCTCTTTCTGTTTCTGTTTCTCGTTCATTCTCTTTCTGGTTCTGTTTCTCGTTCCTTCTCTTTCTGTTTCTGTTTCTCGTTCATTCTCTTCTTGTTCATTCTCTTCTTTCTTGTTCATTCTCTTTCTGCTTGACTATTTCCTCATCTTTTTCTTTCTTTTTCTTCCTTTCTCTATCCTTCTTCACGCTTCAAGGCCCAACTCTGCTAGAAGCCCGTCGATCACCGCAATGTCGTGGTCGTGGTCGGCCAACGCCGCCGAAAACGCTCGGATGTCTTCGGCCTCGCCTATGGCCGGGTTCAAGCTGCGGCCCACGCCGTCCAAACCGGCAAATTCATCGTACACCGCATACTTCTTCGCCAAGTAATACCGCATGTCATCCACCAACTCGATCGTGTCGGTGTCGTGACGGCTCAAGATGCGCTGGGCACTTTTCCGGATGAGCGAAACCACCTGTGCCCGCATCTCCGTGTCCTCACAGATGCGCTCAATGTTATGTGCGAGAAGCTTGGCCATATGCTGCTCGAGCCTCTCGCTGCGGGTATCCCAGGCCACCTCCACCAACTCACAGGCCGAGTAGCCCGTTGAAGCAGATATGTTTTCGAGGCCAGCGTAGTCAAAATTCCCGGCAAGAGACGTAAGCACAACTGCACTCATGGTTTTGAGCCGCTCGATGTGAAGCTCTTCGGCCACATACAAGAGCTCGACCCCGACCTCGGGCGAAATGTGCGTCACCTCGTCATGGTAAAGGTACTGCAACACCGCCTCCACCACCAGACGCTGGGTGCAGCTGACAAAAGACTGGAGCACTGGAACATGGGCGTTCTCGAGATTCACCCGGTCCACCACCGCTTCTCCGCAAACGTCAATGGACGGAAGAGCTGCGCCGGACGCCTGGAAAAGCTGCGACTTGAACATCTGGGCGTAAAAGTCCGACCGAGACAAGATGGCCCGGTGCACGGGATAATACACCACCGAGCCCGCTTCAACATCGATAAAGGACAAAAGAGCGTCCGGAAGCGCCGAGCTGCGCAAAAGCCGTGTTTTACATGCGGGCAGAAGAAGCTTTTCTGCGTCGATTTCTTCGTAGTCTATTTCGCCGTCCGCTGCGTCCTCCAAATCCGAGTCGTCCAACACATGCTCGTAGGCATTGGCCCGGACATGGTCAAGCAAGAAGCGCCGCATATCGTCCTTGGCCTGCGACACAAGTAGCGGCTGCGCCAGTTCCAAAACAAGGCCCCATTTCTCCGCCAAAGAGACAACCTCGGCCGGGAAAGACTCGAGCCGGTCTGTTCGGAGGTAGATGTAGTCTGTGGCGGCCCGGAATGCCTCCAAGTCTTCTTCGGGAAACTCAAGGACCGTTTTGTCGTGCCACTCGCCCGCAGGCCCCAACTGCGCCGCCCAGTACCTGCTTCGGGCGGCCAAGACAAAGCGATTCACAAGCAAAACGTCCGGCCCAAAGCGGAGCGCCAAGTCCCGAGCAGACACAAGCAGAAACGTCGGCGACACAAGCTGCGCTATGTGGGCAAGGAACGGCTGCTTGTCGTCCACGGCCTTGGTGATGTCGTAGCTCAAAAGCACGCTTCTGATTTCGTCTGTCAACGCGCCATAGATACACCGGGCGCCCTGGAAAGTGTCTCTGTCACACACAGCGCCGCGGGCTAGCAAAAGCTCGACAATCTTGAGGTGGCCGCAGATCAGTGCCAAGATGAGCGGCGAGTAGTCCCAGCGATCGACCTGGTTTATGTCCAAATGTGGAATCAGAGTCAACGAGTCCACAGTGTCCGAGTCGCCCCCACGACAGGCCAAAAGGAGGTCCTGGAAGGCTTTTTCCAAGTCGACGGACGACACATCGGGCGCCACGGCAGAGGAATTTTGGCCCGATGTCGGCCCGGAAGACATGGCTAGAAAAGACATGTCTGATCACTAGTGCGAGACTACATACAAATGAGATAAGTACACTGATAGCTACAATAAGTATTATACACTATGTATTTTTCGACACAGATGAAACAGTGAAGAGTTGAAAAGAAAAGGGAAAGCAGCGACCAGATTTGGGTTCCAGATTTAATGGGGTCATATTCATGGTGAATAGTGAAATGACTATTGGGATCAGTTTTCAATGCATTTGCGATCTCAGGCTATAGAATTCTGAGATAAGAAGATTCGTCATTAATAATACCCGAATAAGTTCATTTAGAATGCCACGGCAGTATTTTTGTGGATGATATTTCAAATCGAAAGCAACTGGAAAGATACCTGAACATTCCAGAACGACACTTGGTACATTTGAAAGTACATGACATGTGCCACAAGTATTCAACTACAAGATACCACAATGAACCTGTATCAACTGAATAAAATTACATATTACAAACTTGAATAAATTGCCCTATAATTCCACTCCATCGTCCAAAAACCAGGCAAGCTAGGCACAGCCCTCGACTTCATCATTGTCCCTATCTCGAATAATTATTAATAAAGTACTTGTCAATGATTTTGCGGAACTTCGAAGGTTTCTTCACCTTTTGTTTCTTCTCTTTTTTCTTGTCCTTTCCTTCCACTCCCAGGGAATTGGCCATGCTAACATCAATATCTGACTCAGTAAACTCTCCACTTCTGTTCACGTGGACCTCTCCAGTTGTGTTTTCTGGAAATTCACTCGATTGTCGATCCACCTGTGGCGATGGCATGGCCTCTTGTTCCACGACGTTCGAGGCCAAATATGGCTCCTCCTCAGCCGTCGTTTCCACTGTTGTAGGTGCTGGGAGAGCATTGTCGTTCTTCAAATGAGTTTCTTGTTGCTGAGGCATTGATGGCACTATAGTGGAGGCCGCAGGAACACTCTCTTCATTATTTTGCGTCGAATTGACGTTAGAAGGCGTAACTTCAGGCGTAGGCTCGACTGTGGCAAACGACTCGGCTTCTGACGGCACATCTACTGGTATGTCCTTTTCAGGAATACGTTCCTCTTCCTCTTGGGAAGGCTCCATACCATTGACCTCTTCCAAACCCGGAGATGCTTCTGTGTCTCGACCGAAATGGAGAATTTGAGGCTTTCCAGTCGCCAAGTTCGGATGAAGAGTCAGATATTGGAACTATCACCGCTGCTTCACGGTGACTTTCCTTCGTTCCCTTTGCAGCCTGAGAGTCCTGCTCCCGTTGTGAAACATCCACGAAATTGTCAACATCGTCATTGTATTTCGCATCATTGAATATTTCGCCAGAAGAAACTTCCAATTTTGGAGAATGGAAAACATCCTCTTTAGTTTCATGAAGACTTGATTCTGTAATAACTTGGGGAATTCCGTTTGCAGAGGAAACTAACGTAGGAACCTCGTTTTCCGAAATAGGCTCAATTGTCGAACTTGTTAGACTTTCCACAGGTGGTTTTGCAGCGGCGTCAATATTGACGTCATGTTTGATAATACTAGGCTCAGCAAGAGTCTCCGTAACAGCTTCAGTACCAATATTTTCCGAGCCAATCCCTGAATCAGCGTTAGTTTCTTCATGAGCTGCGATGATATCATCTTCATCATTGGTAGTAACATCTTGACCAGTAGTAGCAATTGTTCCTTGTGCATCATCCTTTTCGGAGGTTTCTGGCGCTGGCCCAATGTGCACTTGAGGGATTCTGGAATCCTCTGAAATAATTTCCAGATCTGCTGGAGGAATCTTTCTTAACGTCTCCTTTTTTGATGTTTCTGGCTCGGGCGGTGCCGCTCTTGAAGGTTCTTTCATCACACTAAGCCTCACACGGGTTCTTTCCTCCTCATCCTCTTCGATCGCCTCCGGAACATCCACAAAATGATCTGAAGTGCTGGGATGAGAGTCCAAACCATCGTTTAGCTGATCTTCTGCCGTAAAATTCGTTTCTGCTTGTACCACATTGTTTTGTGGTTCTACCAGATCGTTGTTCGCTGAATGTATCTCACGTTCTTGTTGTGCCTCACCGTTTTTTTGTCGTTCTAAGCCATCCTCTTTCTGAGGCTCTCCTGTAGTGATCAGTTGGCCAGACATAAATGAATCACTTACGCTGCTGTTTCTTTTGGAACGCCCAAACAAGTCAAGGGTTTTCTTCTTCTTCGATGCCTTTTCCTGCTTCTTCTTTTCCTTCTGCGCAGCTTTCAAAAGCTCCGCCTCTCGCTTTTCCTCCTCCTTGCGCATTTTCATTTCTTGTTTTGCTCTCTTTTTTCTGGTGGTAGAGGATTCCTGTTCCTTTCCACGAAGAGAATGCAAAGAAAAGTCGCGATGATGGTTTTCGTAGATGTAGTTTCTGTTGACACCTCCGAGCTCCACGTCTTCACGCTTATGGTCTTTCTTTATTTTCTTAGCAGCCAAAGCTCCTACCTGCTTTGAAGCAACATGTGCATCCGGAATTGGCGAATCAGGCGGTGTTTCAAGCTTATGGTCTGCTTTACCATAAACCCTTTCTGTTGCCACTTGCAATGCCCGTACGTAGAGATCGACATTCTGTTGTTTCTCCTTTTCCTCCTTGATCAACTTTTCCTTCTGCAAAACCTCAGTGTTGTGACCTTCAGGCGAATACGAGATTGTTTCGACTGTTTCTCGAAACTTGATTGAGTTTCCTGACGCATTGGATAATTGGCCAGCACGCATGTTGGGCGAAGTAACTTCATGTCTCTTTCCTGCTCCATATTGATCACTATGGACGTCACTTGTCCGATCGTCCATGTCCTCGGGCCATACTTTTCCTTGGGAGTTTTTGAGAATAGATCTTAATCGTTTTGGTGAGCCTGCGCTTGTGATAGAGCCGTTTCGTTCAAGAAGAGCATTGCGCTGTTCTTGCATATATTGTTCGTCTTCTCTTTGAATATCTGGCAGATACTCCCGCCTTTGCATGTCCAGCTTCTGGACATCCAGCCTTGAAACACCTAGACTCTCATTTAGTTGTGGAGGGCTGTCCAAATAAGTGTAGTCAAAGTCCTGGAGGTCCTCGTCAATTTTATCCAAATTGTAGCCTGCACCCTGGTGCCCATGGAAAGAGCCTGCTCTGACAGAGCTGCTTAAAGAGCTGTTTCTTGATGTGGGTCGCGAAATGTTGGTGGTTTTCGTTTCAATAATGTTGGAGCCGTCTGCCAACCGCCGGACTGTTTCCTTTGTGATTGACGTTGTGCGCCCGAATGAGTCCACCATCCTTTAGTTGTTCTAGGTGGTTAACAACTACACTGCCCATCCTCGTTCCTCTCTGGCTGGTTCGTAAGTGGTTACTCTGACGCTTAACTGCGCTTTGGGCACCGGCCCGAGACAACAGAGGCGCATGATAACTGCTCGCACGCAAGCTGGCCGAGCGGGGCCCTGAAGGTCCGGCTTGGTAGGAAGCTTTTGGATTGTATGTGTATGAGCGCATAGAGTGTGAACGGTCGTGGTTCGAAAGCGACGCAGTACGGCGAGTGGTGCTAGTCTGACGCTGTGGCGAAGGCTGAGAGTGCAATTGGAGCGCCGCCGCTGCCGCCTGGCTCGCGCTGGCTAGCGATTGCGCTCGGGTAGTCGCCAGCTGCTGAATGGGAGGTACGTGCCGGTGGTATTCATCCGTGTACTTGGCAAAGCCGTGGTAATCGTTTTTTGGCTGCAAAAGTTAGTGGGCCAGGGGCTGCAATTGCCGCTTGCTTTCCTGTCGATGGTGGTGCTCATGACACTAGCTATAATAGCAATAGCACGTGAAGACCCTGATGGGCCATGATTGGAACAGCACAGCCAAAGTTCGAAGCAGTTGAACAGTATTCAAAATCAGAAACATACCCTTCTGTTGAAAAGACCCATGGTGGAGAAGAAAAGTGTTTGCGAAAGAGGCTGATGCTAGTAGCTTGTCTCGCAGAAACACACTTGATAGCACAGTTCTGCAGACAGGCCCCTTGCGTTAACCCGCGGAAGAATACAGGGAAAGAACAACTGAAACAGGAATAGGAAAAGCGACGAAAAGGGAGCAGGCAGAGTCGAAAAAGCACAAGTGAGTAGGCAAGAGCATAAGACAGAACAGAAGAGGGAATTTTTTCAACTCCAGAAAAATGTGGAAAATCAGAAAAGTCGATCTTCTCCTGGAAGACGTTTGTCGCATTCACAATGAGCAATAACAATATTAGACACCCACCTCCGCACGTCGAACGAAAAAAGAGTAACGAAAGCAAAGGAGCGAAATTCTGGCAAGCCTAGAATGACTGAAAACGTTCTTTTTCCACCCTCATTTGCAACAGCTTTCCTTCTTCCCTTGTCAAACTCTGGCAAGGCTGTGCAGTACTGCAGAAAGAACACGGCACGGCATTATCAGTGCGCAAATTGCGCGTCAATTCCTGACAAGTTACTTTGTTCTGCATACCTTCTGAAGGAGCCATTGCAATTCGAGCCAGCATCTTACCCCATTGAGTTGCCATTGTGCATGCCTTGCAGATCCAGGTTTATTTGTAGTTCAGCCATTTTCTTTTGAAGTAGAGCTTGCCTCATTTCAGACAAGCGTCATAGTGGCCTGATTCTCTTGTTTAACATGGAGTTTCTGTCTTGCATGCTATTGACGCAGCTTCAGTTAGTAGGTATATTCATGGCCATAGTAACTGACGTGGTGTGAGACTATCTTTCGGGTGCCAAATTATTAGGTGAGAATATTTTGTCCTTAGTAATATAGAACCTTTTTGCGAGGTCTATTTGTCGAAGTATGAAGTTGTAACATTAGATTAAGAAGTTCTGTCTTGTTGACCCTCTTACAGAAACGCAGGATCAGGCTTTTGATGCTCTACTACATATTCGAAACGGAAACCGACTTCAAATTCCTTCAGAATATGCCGAGTTCACCCTTCTTGCTTCTCATCATAGAGAGCAAGCAATCGACTGTTCTGGCTCACTCTTACGACTGAGTCCTGGACATTTCTTCTATGGAAGTAGCAGTTACTAAACCAGACGCCGTTTCACACAAGCGGATCTTACTTGAAGTACAATGGACCAAAAGAATGCGTAACCAATAACCCAATAGCAACGATGGAGAGAAAATACACTGTAGTAATCAGGAAAGTCCACTTGATGAATCTAAGCGTAATTGAAACACAATAAATGTAGAGTTAGCTACTTTAAGATGGAAAGAGCTGGTCTTTATCATTTCCTCTTACACCTACCTAATATTAGTAAGTAATTTCATGGGTCCTTGATATTGTGGTCTAGAAGATCGTAAAAGAATGTGGTTTGTGGGTGCAAATCGTCTTTGTGTCATTCAAGAGGGTGTGCACCAAGAGACACAAATGGAACAAGAGACCCGTACACCATTTATACACCCGTACACCAGAGTTTTAAAAACCCTTACATCCCAAAATATACACCCGTACATCTCTGAAACACCCGCACACCAAATAAGCAAAAACCCATACACCAGCAATTTAACACCCGTACATCCTCATACATAAGCTTTCCCCTGGCAACAACGATCCAGCGGGTCCGGGCGGTACTCTGCTGGAAGCTAGGACGGATCGAGACAACGTTCGGGCGGAGATCTGCTTATTAAAAAGACAATAACCCGGCTTACCCAGCTATTCCGTACCGCTGCTACTGAGGACGACGAAATGCATGGGACCATGCATGGAAAAGTCGCCATATTTGTCAATAATACAAACTCGTGCATATAGACGTCGTATCATAAGTATTGGGATCGAGCCATATAATAGTAATTATTAGTAAAATGGGATTATACTCCGGACCGCTTACGCGGAAAGTCACGTGCCAAACACTCACACCCACACTTGGCAGGAATATATGTAAGCATTACAAGTATTAAATGGACATGAGCAGGACTCAAATTTCCATCTTGTCACAGTAACAAAGTATATATCCAACCTATTTTCAGCTTGCTGAAACGGCATATATCCCAATTCTATGATACTTAATTCTGTGCTCATATATACTGTCCCAATTCTTCTTGGTTATATGATCTTCAAAATGGCTCTGAAATCTGCTGTTGAACAAGTTGCTAGTACTGGTGCTTCTGCGGCGAAAAGCGCCATTCCCAACCCAAAGCCGTTCCCCGCTTTTTTCTTTTCCCATGGTGGCCCTACGTTTATGTATGGAAACGAAGACTCGGACTTAGGTGCATTCAACAAGATCAAGGACATTGGCGCCCAAATCAAAAACGAATGGAAACCCGACTACATTATAGTTGTGTCGGCGCACTGGCAGCTGAAGTCGCCAAAGCTCATTGAAGTGGCTGTCCCAAGCTCGAATGGATCCCAGGATTTACAAGAAAACCTGTTGATCTACGATTTCTATGGCTTTCCTCGCTACATGTACACGGAACAGTTCCACACGATGAACTCTAGATTTGTCTCGGAGCAGATCAGCCAGCAATTGAAGCTGAGCGGATTTGACTCGAGATTAACCACTCGCGGAATTGACCATGGAACTTGGGTCCCTTTGAAAGTTGCATTTTCCGAGTACAATGCATTGAAACCATTGCCCAAGGGAGAGAAGCCACAGCTTGATCTTCCTGAACATCTTTGGTGCAAGTTTCTCTCCCTGGATGGGACGATGACTTCGAGTCACAGTTCAAGTTGGGTCAGGCTTTGAGTTATTTCAGAGACAACCAAATATGGGACCCTGTCAAAGAGAAGTACTTGAAGGGAATGGTCATCTGCTCAGGAATGACCGTGCACAACTTGAGAGAATTAGGTTTGGCCATGTCGCTCGGAAAACCAATGCCCTACGCCAGCGCCTTCAACAGTTTATTGAAGAAGACAATGGTCAACGGCCCTGATTTGTTGGAGCGGCTTGAGAAATTGAAGAAGGAAAACAAGTCTTTGCTTTACAAAGCTCATCCAACGCTTGAGCACTTTGCACCTATTGTTGTTGGAGGTGGTCTTGTCTCGGGTCACGAACACGACAAGATCAAGGAGATTTACACTTCTGCCACTCTTAGTTTGGGCTGGGGTATCTATCGCTTTGGCGATTATTAGATGAAGCTGTGTGAGGTGAAGGCAGCCCGAGAATGCCTTAAAACAAGATGATATCTTCACATTGAACAAGAAGATGAAATGATCTATAGGTACAGAAATGAATTAACGTAATTTATTCAAGTGCGTACAAGTCGAAAGAGTTGCCATCTAACCAGTAGCCGGATACGAAGATTTCGTGATGACTGACCCTTTTGTATTAAGACTATACCATTACTTGGTGTCTTGCCTACAGGTTTTGGATTCAGAGTGTCGTTCGTTCTACTAGAACCTAGTTGTATAGTCCTGACACCGACAGTAGACATCTAACATCTTTCACTCCTAAGTTGTCTAATGTGGGCATGGTACTCAGTTAGAGGCACTTATAACCAGACCTACACGAAAATATCTTGGACAAAAATCTCTTGGACATTGCATAACAAAGATTCAAACTGTAGTCAGCTTTCTGTTCGAAAAGACTCTTAAAATAGAGCTACAAACCTGTGGTTACATATAAGTTTCTTTATTCGATGCTACGCCCTTGGGCTCTATAATACATAATCACTTCAACAAGGACTTGACCGCCTCCTCAACAGCCTTTTCGTCCAAACCGTCCAAGCTGTTTTTCACCTCTCTGCCCTTTTCAAATCTGGCAGTTATGCTTGGGGGAACACCAAACGCTTCTCTGATCAAAATAGGCAACTTGTTATTGGTGGACGCCTTGAGCGCAGGGTAGTTTTTGGTCAAGAAGTTTCTCAAGGGGACAGACGCCTCACCTGTCTGGGACAAGTGGAATCTTAATTCTCTTAAGGCTGTGGAAACGACAAACTTGGACATTTGATGTAGGGACTTTCACTTTCGATGCACTGACGGGATTGGAATACATTTAACTGGTGGAAAAGTCGTGCGCGCGCACGTGAACATGCACGTGATGGAGTAGCCCATGGAGATTCTCTGCTAGCTGGTGAAAGCAGATGCTGTTCTAGGAAACTGAATTACGCTAGTCTGAAGTCTTCTCAAGATTTTCAGCTGGGAAATTGACTTACCACTGTAGTACGACTTTAAGTTGGGACTTTTTGGGTCTTTAAAGTGGGTCTTTAAATTGGGACTTCAAATTGGCGATTTGAATTGTGCTTGTAGTTCGTTTTGACTTTTGATTGGAGAAGCATTTGAAAACCAGTAAGGGTCAAATCCTTTGTCTGGCAATTTTGAGGTGGAGGTAATGTCAAGTGAAATAAAGCGCATGCGGCCAATTCCAAATGAAATAGTGCGAGTCTAGATAATAAGTGTGTAGATTTATTAGTACCAGAACCTGAACTACTAGCACGTTCAAAAAAAAAAAAAAAAAACAACTTTGCATGTAGACGTACTATAATTATTTTGGATTTACAAAAGTACTCTAGACCTCAGAGTTGTCTGCACACATCTTTAGTCCATCGTTCTGCTAATGCTACTGTGAAACCATGCACAATTTCATTCGAACCGTTTCGGATATCAAAACAATCAAGCCATATGAGTCAAAGAATGAGATTCGTAGACAAATCATATTTTTCAGCGGTTTGAGGCTCATGTCAGTTTTCGAAAGAATTCAGCCGCTGTTCTTCAGCCAATGAGCGTATCAATATTGCTGTTCTCACAAATGCCGCAAGTCACCAACATTCCAGCAATAAAACCATACATACAGTAAGATGTACTAGATAGTCCCTATATTTTGACGGAATTTCCATGGCAGAATGATCAGTTTGTCAGTACAGGAAGAGGTAATTCTGCAATGCATTACACTTTGCAGTTTGAGTTTGAAATCACAGAAAAATATATGAATAACATGTTTTCTGGATCGAGAGGCCCTTATTCTACACTTCTTCTGTTGCCCGAAAATTTCAATCCAGTAGCCGAATTTATGTCATTAGAAAAACTTTCTTCAACATGGCTTAATCGCTCTGCGCATTTGCAAAATGCCCAACAGTGGTGAGACTAGCGACAAACCGAAAATGCAAAAGCAAAAAAAACAAAAAAAACCGCAAAGCCCACCCAAGTTACGAAACCAAAGAGAATAAAATCAAAAACTATAATCCACCCGCCCGATTTTTTCCATACCTCCTGTCTCCCAGATCCCACCATCGCGCACGTGACCGCACCACCTAAAAAACGCTCTTCGCATCTCGCTCATCTCATCTTTCCCACAAGTATGGCTCTGAAAAACCCCGAGGGCGGCTCGGCCGACGTGCTTGAGTTGGAAGACAAGTTGGCACGTGTGCGCTCGCAGCTCACGTCCAAGTTGGACAACCAGAAAAACCTCGCTCTCATTTTGACGGCGGTGGAAGAAAATATCGACGAACAAAAGAATCCCAGAACGCCAGTGGCGTACTTTGTGTCTTTCCTTTCGTTGTTGGAGCAGTCTGTGGTGGAGGACTCCGTTGCCGATGCCGGCGTGGCTGCTGCTGCCGCCTACTTTTTGGACTTGGTGCTCCCGTTCACGCCAGCTCCGCTTTTGAAACAGAAATTCGGCCCCATTTTGACCAAGTTGGCGCCGGTCTTGACCAGCTCAGATGCAGAGGCGGCGCTTGTGCGCTCGTCCATTGGCGCGTTGGAAAGCTTGTTGTTGGCCCAGGACCACCAGCAGTGGTCGTCGTCCGGCAATGTCTCGCCCAAGAGAGCCTTGGTGGGAATGTTGGAGTTGTCCTTTGATCCTAGACCCAAGGTGCGCAAGCGGGCACAGGAGTCCATCAAGAACGTGTTATCCAACCCTCCGGCTTCCCCCTCGCCTGTCCATGTGGCCGCAGCCATGTGCGGCGAGTTGTCTTTGCAAAGATTGGTGACTTTGGTGCAAGATGCGCCCAAAAGCAAAAAGGGCTCGAGCAAAGAGTCTGTACTGGCCATTGTCCACGCATTGCAGTTGATTCTGGCCATCACTTCGGCCAACGCCTGGCCTCCAGCGCAAGTGGAGGCGCTTTGCGACGTTTTACTCGAAGTGTCGAGAACCTCTGACCAATACTTGGTGGCCGCAGCCTTTTCGGCCTTTGACGGCTTGTTCTCGTCCATGTCCCACGACATTGACGTGGAAAAATTCACCCGTGTGTTGGACATCATTTTTGACTTGAAGCCGCCTGTGGACGATGCCCATTTGGCCGCATCGTGGCTTGCTGTGGTGGCCAACGGTCTCCAGTCCTTTGCCCGCTTGCTGCCAGAAACTTGTGTGGCGAAAATCTCCAGTATTGTCCCCACAGTGGCTGAGTTTCTCGTTGCCGAGTCCAAAGACATTTACGTTTCTGCATCGCAATGCTTGATTGCTATAGTAACAGAGTGCATTCCCGACAACTTTTTGCTCCAGCCAACAAGCACTAACGGCGTTACCGTTGAAATCTACGAGACCGTGGACGAGACCGTGACGTTCCTAGCCGAATTCATTGAGAAGGAGTTGTTTTCTATCAAGTACCAGCATGCCACCAAAGAGATTTTGGAGTTGGCCACCGCGTCTGTGCTCAAGTTGAGAACCCGTGCAAACCCGGACTTTATTCCTATTGTGGAGACCGTGGGCCAGTGGCGTTCGAACGAGGAATCAAACTTTCCTCACAACAAAGAGGCCGAAGACTTGATTGCTGCGTGTATTTCGACCATGGGTCCAGAAGTTGTGTTGGGAGTTCTTCCGCTCAACTTGACCGGAGCGAAGTCTAACGAACCAGGAAGAGCATGGTTGCTTCCGATTTTGCGTGACAATGTGCGTTTTGCCTCGTTGGAGTATTACAAGCAGAACATCTTGCCGCTTACGGACTTTTTCTCTGCCAAAATAGCGGCAGCGCAAAACAAAGAGTCCATGCACATCAAGATCTTCGAAACCATCCTTGACCAAGTGTGGTCGTTGCTTCCGCACTTCTGTGATTTGCCCACTGATTTGCCCACAGCATTTTCCGATGAGTTTGCATCTTCATTGGCTGAGTTGCTCTACCAAAAGGTGGATTTGCGTGTGACAATTTGCCATGCTTTGCGTTTGTTGGTGGAATCCAACTTGGCTTACAGCGAAGGCGCTTTGGCAGACGACTTGTTGACTCAGCAAGAAATGCCAGTCTCGCAAGCAAAAGACAACTTGGCTTATCTTTCGACCAAAGCGGCCAATCTTTTGTCTGTGTTGTTCAACGTTTTCTCCTCGACTTTGCCCGATTCGCGTGGCTTTGTTCTCGAGACCATCGACACATACTTGCAGATTATTCCGAAAGCCGATTTGGAAACTACTTTCAACAAAGTTTGTGGCTTGTTGAAACAGGCCTTGGACGACGAGGCTGCAGCAGCAGACAAACCGGGCAAGAACCAGAACAAGAAACAGCCGCCACAACTCAGCGTCACAATGATGGATCTTGTGGTGGCCATGGCCAAATATGTTCCCGAATCATCGTACAATGCGCTTTTCTCCATCTTCTCTTCCACTGTGGCCATGGACAAGAACGCTTTGATGCAAAAGAGAGCATACAGAATCATCTCCAAGTTGAGCGAAAGCGAGCTGGGAGAACAGGCCATTCGTCGTTTCATTGGTGACATTGAAAACGTGTTTGTCCAGTCGACCGGAGCTACTTGCACGTCTGCTCGTGCAGCCCGTTTAACTGCTTTGCAAAGCGTGGTGAAGCTTTTGCCCCCTACCGACTTGCATTTCATTCCTTCTGTGTTGCTGGAGGTGATTATGTCTACAAAAGATGTCAATGAGAGATCGCGTGAAGCGTCGTATGCTCTTTTGATCCAAATGGGCTCGAAAATGGCCGAGGGCGGAGTTGTTGAAAACAATAAAGTGCCAGGCTTCGATCCACAAGCCGAGGCTTCTGAAGCATCCTTGACTACTTTCTTCACCATGGTCAGTGCCGGTTTGGCTGCTCAGTCGCAGCACATGATTTCTGCTACCATCACGGCCATTTCTTGTCTCGTTTACGAGTTCAAGGACCAATTGCCGCAAGATGTGTTGATCGAACTTGCTTCCACAGTCGAGTTGTTCTTGACTCACAACTCGAAGGAAATTGCCAAGTCGGCCATTGGTTTTGTCAAGGTTGAGGTTTTGTCTTTGCCTGAGGATCTTGTGCGGGCCAACTTGGGCGAATTGTTGACCAAGTTGATGAAATGGTCGCACGAGCACCGCGGTCACTTCAAGTCTAAGGTCAAGCACATTTTGGAGCGTTTAATTCGGAAATTCGGCGTCGAGGCTGTGGAACAGGCTATTCCAGAAGAGGACAGAAAATTGGTGGCAAACATCAAGAAGTCCAGGGCCAGAGCCAAGCGGAAGGATGCTGCTGGAGATGCGGAAGCTGAAGGTAAGCAAGAGAAGAAGTTCATGTCTGCTTACGAGGAGGCCGTTTACGACTCGGACTCAGATGCTTCTGAGGACGAAGAAAAGAAACCAGAAAAGTCAAGAAGAAAGAAGGGCGAGGACAAGTACATTTTGGACACGGGAGATGAGCCTTTGAACTTGTTGGACAGACAAACCTTGGCACACATTTCGTCATCGAAACCGAAAAAGTTCTCCAAGAAGGACATGGAAAGACACAATGTGGAAACGAAGAACGGCAAGATCGTCTTCAAAGACATGGTGGGTAAGAACGACGATCCGTTGGCCAATAAATCCTCCGGCATTGATGCCTATTTGGATGCCGTGAAGCAAGCACCAGTGAGAGGCCAAAAGAACAAGTTGAAGTTCAAAAAGACCAAAGACGAGGACAACTGGTCCGATTCAGAGGACGAGGCTCCAAAGAGAAAGGCAGCGATTAAGGAACTGGCCAGGGGTAGAGTGGGCAAGCCCAAGCAGAAGTTCAAGGCCCGGAAAAAGCTTTGATTTGTATAATACTTTTAGCCAATGAGCACTATGTACGCATATTTTGTAGGCCAGAATGGGGAGACAGGCTAATAATGGTAACTACGGCAGAGAGATTAAAGAAATAGTTAGAAGGTGAAGACCGATACAATCTCTGATAGAATGAGAGTAAAACCATGAATATTTCTACAGGAAAACAGCAAAAAAAAAAAAAAAGAAGAACACCAAATTCCATGAAGCTATAATTCGAATACGAATCAACAAACCTTTCTGGTGAATCTTTCTTCTTGTTGTAAGGTGATATTATTCTTCCCCAGAAATCTTCTTGTAGTGCGCAGCCCAATGAAAATTTTGGCTCACTCAAGTTTTGGTGATTGCAAGTCCACCTTAGGATACAGATACCATGCCTCCTAAAACGCCTATAAAAATCCGGTTGGCCAGATTCGGAAGGAAACACCAGCCTCTATACAACATTGTTGTTGCCAACAAGAGATCTGCCAGAGACTCGTTGCCCATTGAAGTTCTTGGAACGTATAATCCTGTTCCGATTCCCTTGGGCCCAGAAGAAAAAGCAAAGGGTGTCAAGCCTTACAAGCACATAGAGTTGGACTTTGACAGATCCAAGTACTGGTTGGGTGTTGGAGCCGATGTTTCTGACCGCGTGACCTTTTTGTTCAAAAGAGCAGGTTTGCTTCCAGAGACGTGGCCAAAGGCCAACAAATTGACGCAGATGGTGGAAAAACCAGTCAAGGAAGATATCAAGGTCGAAATGGAAGAGCCCAAGGACTTTTTCAGACCCCGGGACTAAGAATCTTCCCCTTCATCACCTCCGGGTGTTCTTTGCATGTACTTTTAACAGATTCCGGCGTTTCTTGCCGTCATGTATATATCCTTATAGCCAAGAAAGGGAACGACAATGTGCTGTAGAAGAAAAATGTATTGGTGCAATTTTCTGGAGGTTGTTCTTCTACTAGCTGATCTTGTGTTTGTGCCACGGGATGTATTTGCACTTGAAGCACTTTACCTCGACTTTTGGTTCGAAAAACACTCTATTTTCAACGTGCTTTTCTTCAAACTCCGACCGCCGTCCTCTGACCTCCTCGGCCACTGCGTCGTTCAAGTGTGAAATGTGAAGATGCAATTGACTCGCAGGAACCGAATCAACAGTGGAAGCAGTAACCCCAAATCTCATTTGGCGTATGTCTTTTTCTTCAAAGCTACGGAAGGGGGAAGTGAAGCCAACAGAAATTCCTGGGATGGGAGAACTTTCTTCTGGATACGATTCAGAGACAGTTTCTGATAATTCTTCGTCCTTGAAGAAATTCACGAAGTCAGGAACCGGAACTGCTTGTGCCTCTTCGAGGTATTTTTTGTAGTGGCCACGGTCCAAGGGCTGGAAATATTCCCTATTCTTGATCACCGTGTACTCCTCTGAATCGTCGTCGCCCTGGCTTTTCTCAACCGAGACTTCACTGCCGTATACCTCGTTGTAGATGTCAATGAAAACCTGAAGGTAATTGAGAGCCTGTTCTGATGTGCACCAAACAACGGGGTAGGAGGCATAACTTTCGATCATAGAGAGAAAGTGGTCTTTGATCAAGCTTTTCTGATGCTCAAACAAAATAGGGCGTGATGCCTTTATGGCCAAATCATTAACTGCGGAGAAGTGGGTGAGAAACTCTTCGAAGTATTCAAAGTCAAGAAGAGTGAAGTTGCCAGACGCTAGCAAATCCTTATAGTATAAGAACAAGACACTAGTTGGGACAGAATTGGTGATGACAGTGATAATGAGCCGGGATACTAGGTCCAGCGACGAATCTAGAGAAGTCATTCGGGCTTCTGCTTCCACTTCTGAATCCACATCTTTCGCAGACCCATCTCCAAGCTGTGTCGGCTCTTTCAAGTTCTGTGAACACTTGAACAAGGCTTTTTGCACGTCGCGTGCCGTTTCGAGCAACAAGTTTGTTTCCAAACTGGTGACGTTGATTCCATGCGGACTGGGCAAACTGTAATTGTCGGTGAGAATTTTGGATAGTTTCAAAGGATTGGCAAACAGATAAACCAACAACACTAGCGCATAGGCCTCCCGAATCACACTGGAGCACGTCGGCGTGCAAATGTGGGCCAAACAGCTTCTCAAAGCAGGAACAATCAACTTCCCCACTAGGAGATGGGTTCTCTTCAGAAACGCCTGGATGTAGTCTGTGCACAGCTCCTTGTCGGCATAAAGACAATGCAGCAACAGGTTTACAATCTCCTGCCTTAGCCTGTAAAGCGTTTTGGGCGTACTTTCAAACTCACCCAATCCGCAATCGGTTAAGAAGGTAATGACCCCCAAAGATGTGGAAAGAGCCGAATCGGAAAATTGCGCAGGCGGAAAGTTCCGTGTGCTTGGATAATCGGAATAGACACGAGAAGTGGAGTATGCTGAACTGCCTGAGTCGGCGGCCGGATAAAGTGAGCCTGACATTATGGAGATAGGAATAATGGGTGCAAATGGGTGCAAAATGCGATACAAAGGTCGCGCAATGTGCACATCATGACAGGAAGAGAATAGGACAGTTAATGGATGGTCAACTAGGAAGTGGAAATGACAGAGCTATCACAATTGTGTTTGGATGTCAGTAGTTCTTTTTCCAGTTTGTGCATTATTCCCACAAATCAACAGAAAGTAGGATCAACAGTTTGAAATCAAAGTGTTCGAACAAATGTTCGAACAAATATTCAAACAAATATTCAAACCAATCATTGTCACTGACCTTCGGTCAAGTCGATAAATTATAACTGGCTTGTGGCAGTCAAGCGTTCATGGCGACATTGCTTTTGATTCTTCGATGTCGGATCTATTGGCTAATACGAAACAATCTAGCTTACCCATCTCCTCATTAACATTCTCTTAGTACTAGAATTGTTCAAGGAGTCAACCCGAACAATCCGTTTTGTTATGTGAATGCGGGACCTGATTATTACGTGGTGCAAATACAAAAAATTATCCATATCTGCCGCTTGAAACACAGTTATTGCCATATAAACCTAGTATTTTGAGGGTTTTGTTCAGATTAAGCACCGATGGGACTTACAGGTCTGTTCCTATCACACTATCCCAAGCTCAGGGACTACAAGCCATTGATGACCAACGTAAATTACCTTACATGATAGTTATTTCAGTTCAGCCAGTGGCCAATCATCATTCCAGTCTATTCGCAGCCTAACGCTTAGTCAAACAAACCGAAACCCATGTCGTCGTCAGACTCCTCAGCCTCTTCAGCTGGAGCCTCTTCGGCAGCAGCCTCAGTAGAAGCAGCGGCAGCGGCAGCAGGAGCAGCAGCAGCGTAAGCCTCTGGGTTGGCCAATCTGTCCTTGACAGCCTCAGAACCTTCGAAGGTGTAGTCAGTAGCCACAGACAAGGCCAAGACGTTCTTGTAGTGGTTGATGACGGAGTGGCCGACAGATGGCAAGGTTGGGTAGCCAACAGCCAAGGAGATGGAGGCGATGGTGTTGATGGCAGACACAAAGTGAGCAACCAACTCCTCGTCGGTGATGTCCAAGATGGAGGCTGGGAAAACCTGGCCGTTGTCGTACACCTGCACCACAGTCATACCGTAGGTGAATGGCGAGATGTTCAACAAGTTCAACAAGGAAGCCTCGGATGGACCGACCTTGGTGCCGGCCTCGACAACCTTGACGTCGGAGACAATCTCAATGGTACCTCTGGCAATCTTGGTTGGGACACCCAAAGCCTGGAAGAAAGAGGTCTTACCTGGCTCCATACCGGTGTTACCGGCTGGCACCCAGACGTCCTTTGGAGCAACGGCACCAGCTCTGGCTGGGGCAGCAACAACGTTGGAAGTGACAACTTCTCTGATGGACTTCAAGTCCTTGTTGGTGAAGATGAAACCAACGTTACCTCTGACGAAAGGCAACAACTTCTCGTACTCTGGCAACTCAGTCAAGAAACCTCTGATGGCTCTTCTGACCATGGTGTTCTTACCCATCAACACGGTAGCGTCACCTCTCAAGGCCTTTCTGATTTCGTGCATTTGTTGAGAGGAAACATTGTCGACACCAACAACGAAGATCGACTTGTATTCGGTCAACAATTCCTTCAACTTAGCGAAGTACTTAACTTTGTTCTCGCGAGATCCACCCATTTCGATTTAATTTATTCGTTAGGAGTATTTAATGGTCCTCAAATAAAGATGCAGAAGAAGATTTTTCGTGGCTTGAGTTTTTTTTTCGCACACTGGCCGCTACTGTGTGGCACGTGACACGCACCCACTCAAACCTGGAAAGCCCTAGCCCTATGGCCGCGCACGTGACATAATAAACCACCTCCGTTTCCCACCAGCTAGCCGCTAGCCGTAGCCCTTGTGCTCGTAGTCAGAGCTGACGAACGTGTGCTTGAGGTACGTGCGCCAGAGCCGCTCCAACTTGGTCGTGTACTTGGGGCTTTTCGTCTTTTTCCGTTTTCCCTTCACAGGCTCGCCCAACTTGCGGCCCAACTTGAGCCACTCGGCTGTGGTGAGGTCCTTCATGTTGTAGTTCTTGTCGTCTGTGGTATACTCGATCTCGTAGTCGAACTCCTTCTCTCCTGTGTTGACACTGGCCAAGTCTAGGTAGTACTGCACATAACGCTCGGGTGTAAATAGTTGCCGTTCGAAACCTGGGCCCAAGGGCAAGTCTTTGGGCATTTTGGGCGGGAACGTCTTGTCCTTCTTCAAAATCTCCACCTTCTGCTCAAACGCCGCAAATTCATGGTCCAAGTCTGGGCCGGCCGACTCTTGTTCAAGAATCTGGTCAATGCGCGAGAAAAATTGGTCCCACTTGGGCACTTCTCTATAGTAAGCCGTGGCATTTTCTAGCTGGGTGATATTGTATTCCCAGATTCTGATTCCGGGATTGAATGTAGGCACCACACTAGCAGAAACGTGCACGATCGAGTACCGCTCGCCCATGTCGCCGCTCTTGCTTTTCCTCTTAATGTCTGCGTAATACGTTTGTCTGAGTGTTTCCATGTACCTGACTTTGCCATTGGGGATTCCGCCTTCCGTCCAGAAATCGTTTTCTTTGTTGATGTTGCTGGCGAGATCGACGTGGAAGTCGCTGTTGGCAATGCTGTCGTAGACCGAGACATTGTGCATCTGGTACAATTGTTCGAGATCGAGGTCGTCTTCCAACTCGTCGTCAAGGTCTAACTCGTCATCAAGGTCTATATCTTTTGTTTTTTCAAACTCCTCTTTTGCTTGTTCAAACTCCTCGTTGGCCATACTGTGTGTCTCGAATTCGTCCTCGTACTGGAGCCCGAACTTGCCGAATTTCTTGTGGAGCGACTTGTACGCCATTTTCGAGTCCAAAGGAATGAAGTGGTCTATGTTCATGTGGCCATACAAGCCTCCAATCACCACATCTCTGTACTCGTGAGACCAGGCAATGTACTTGCGAAGACAAGAAATGTCATAGTTTTTGGCGTTGGGCGGAACATGGCCAGTCAACCACACCTTCATGTTGCGTCTTCTCATTTCCTTCAAGACGACGCCTAGCCAAAGGAAAAGCTTATGGCCCGGGTCCTTTTTCCTGTCGCACGAATCCACCAACGGGTTGGACTGGAACAAATAGAGCGTGTTGATGGAAAGAACCGCCAACTGGTTGGGGATCACCTCCTGGAAAAAGTAAACACCGTTGCTGAACGTATGGAATTGCAGCTGGGGCACAAAGGACCGCCAGATTTTGAAAAACTCTCTTGTTTGAAGCGTTGGCCCCGGCGCAAAAAGATTATGCGGGTACACATCATTGTTGCCCAAAGAAGGAACAGGCAAGTCGCCAAAACGCTCGTGCATCTTATCGGCGATTTTCTGGTTCATTTCCATAATGTCCTTTTCCGTTCTGGGAAACATTCTGTCGTTGTCGTGCCTCATGTTGTCGCCGGTCCACACTATGAAATCGATCTTGTCCTTCAAGTTGTCGTCGATCCAATCGATGGTCTTGTCGACCAATTCCAAAGGCGAGTCGCATCCCAAAATGGCGTCTCCGTACTTGCCTGCGCTTCCTTTCCCCTTGTGGCACATGCGGCTCACATCGGAGCCAACTTTGTAGTACGGGTCGGGATGGAAGTCGGTCACATGCACAAAGCGGCCGTGGATGGTTTTCGTGGTGCCGGTAAGCGAGTCGGTCACACGGACGGATTTTTTCGGCGTCAAGCCCAATTTCTTCAACGATTCTGCTTGGGCCTCCGACATATCCAAGGTCTCATAGAAAAGGGTGGTAGTTTCCTCTTTGGGAAACGGGATGTGGAGGTAGCATAGCCAAAAGGAAACGGCAACACTGCTTATGATGGTCAACCACACAATCACCAGTCTGCCATTTTTGGACATGCTTTTGGTGGGTCACTTTAAGCTTGGAGTGGATAAAGTATTGGCCAATTAATGAGCGGTCACGTGACTCCCCACCCACCAAAAAAAAAATTAATTAGTGTCCCATCTGTCCCGGCAGTTTCCCGTCTCTATTCGCAGCTTGTGAAGCTGGAGACTACGGCTTACGAGGCACGTTGGCTGGATTTTCTCTGTAGGACAGAGATGGTGCCATATAATTGCCTAAACGGGAGACCCAGGTCAGGTTCGAAGGAGAGCCATATTAGCGTGCCGCAGGCTTTAGTTCAGACGTTAGGTTTCCTAATTGGGAGCGCGCAGAAGGCAAAAAAAAAAAAAAAAAGCGAGCGAACCAAAAAAAGCGAGCCAAAAAAAGCGCCAAAAAAAAAAAAGAGCGAGCACAAGAAACACTAAAAAGTCTAGAAAATAAACTTCGGAGGCACCACCCAAGGCTATTAATAACAACGGCCCATGGTGCTTGAGCCGTCCAACCCGGCGCATGTTTGCTTTTGCGCCGACTCTTCCACTGCCCCATTGCTTTTTTCCATTCTTCTTTTGTTTTTATTATTTGCGTGTCTCTTTTCTGTCCACTCCAATGCACGTACTTAAGTCAAACAAGCATATGGGCCTTCCTGCCTAAACAGGAAAGCAAATCGCGGAACACGTTAAAGTGGTTTTAGCGCGAAGTAAATAAATGTTCCATGACTCCAGTTGGCCCAGGAAGGCGGCAAAATCAACAGACTAGCTGCTGCCAATGTCATTGTCCACCAATCTGATTTTTTTCTTTCATCTTTTTTTTTTTTTTCATCTTTTTTTCCGTCTTCTCTGCTCTTTATTGTCCTTTTTTTTATGGTTCCTTGTACCTGTTCGCGTAGTCGCGATACCCTGGCGACTCGCGCCAATGTAAACAAAAAAGAAAAACAGAGGATAATTACGTGCATGGTGTCTGCAGGAGGCCCTTTCGACAGCGTGATTTGCTATATAAGCAAAGCGGTTTCTTGATCCACACCATCTTTCCTTTTCTTGCAGTCGTCTTTCTTGCTCGACTTCTTTGCTTTTTTTGGTCGCTCCTTTAGCCGTTGCTTCTTCCAGCGTCTGTCGTTTCTTTCCGTCCTACAATCTTTAGTCTTTAGTCTTTGTCTTTTGTCTTTCATTTTTCATCTGTCTTTCCATTCCTTTGTCCCTCCTTATGCTTGTCACAACCCCCGAAAGACAACGGTCTGCCGCTCCGCATTTGGCCTCGCGCCCCAAGGGCCTGCCTCGCACCTTTCTGCTCCCTCCGTTGTCGTCCATTTTGGCGTCCGAGACGCCGTTCAAGCCGCAATTGCCGTCCATCGCCACGTTTGCAACGCCGCAGACCCCACGCTACGTTTTGCCGCCAGCGTCAGACCCCCGTGCGTTTGTCACGCCGCTCCCAGCCAGTGCCCGGCCCCACATCTCTGTCAGCGTGCCTGCCGCAGACCCAAAACAGCCCAAGTTGGTGCTGTCGCCCACAGACAAGGACTCCGACGCAGACACCTCCATGAACGACTCCATGGTGCGCTTGTCCTCCAAAAGAAAACACTCGACCACGTCGCCCACGCGAGACTTTGCCTTCATTTCTCATTCGCCCGCCACATATCCCTCGCAGGAACCTTCCATTGACAATGCATCGTTGGCGCGCCGCAAAAGAAGAAGAACGTCGCCGCATGAGTTGGCCATCTTGAACCAGGAGTTCCAGGCCGGCTCAACGCCCAACAAGACCAGGCGCATCGAAATCGCCAAAAAGGTCAGCATGACCGAAAAGGCCATCCAGATCTGGTTCCAAAACAAAAGACAGTCTCTCCGCAGGCTCCGGGCAGCAGACAAGGAAGTCACAGAGCTTCCGCCTACGCCAGACCTGTCTGCCGACCACGTGGCTACTTCTACCGTTCTTGAGCTTACTCCTCATAAACCAGGCTTGGTCAAGTCTCACTCGCAGAATTTTGCCGTCAGCCCTGCCATGGCGCAGCTGTCGCCCATCCGCTCGTTGTCTGTGTCCAATTTGACCCACATGGACCCTGCGAACAAGGCTAAGGACTCTCTTCTCACCAAAATGCTAGCGGCAGACGAAAGCGGCTCCAAGTCGCAACTGAGCCTCGTTCTAAATTTGACAAAGAAAAAACAGCCCGAGTTTGCCCGCCAGTCTCCTGCCGTGTCAACACAGGTGATGACTTTCCGTTTGGCTCCGTCAAAGGAACGCAAGCCGCTTGCCCCGCTTGACCACAATAAAAACAGTAACTGCAAGAGCACCAAGGAGCTGCAATGCGTGCAAAACTTGCTTTCGTTGAAAAGCGCCAGCTACTAAATATCCAGCATTATTAATGAATGACGACTTGTACTTGTTGTAGACAAAAGACGAATAGATCTCAAGTTAGGCACTAACTTTCACGGAGAAATTCCAAGCCTATCTTACGGTGCAGAAACTTACATGTTACTGTGACATCTGCCTTGAACATCTCTCTTGCGAAGGGAAGTGTGATTTACTGGCAACTTTCATGTCGTTAGATCATTAAAAGAGCAAAAAAAATTGAAAGAGAATCTCACTCATACTGCAAGTTGAAGTATTCACTTCATTTCGGTGAGAAATCTGGTCTACGAAAGCTTGGATCAAAGTGAAATTAAAAGGAATTGAGGAACAGTACTCTAATTCGTTATGATGCATTTTCATGTAGATCTTGTCTGCTTATCTAAGAATTGCTCAGCTTTGATCGGCTTAGCTTATTAAGGCAGACGCATCTTTCATCCATTTCATCAACGCTCTTTCAATGTTTCTTCCCAATAAGATCAACTTTCCTTTGAAGTGTTTCTTTCACCAACTTTCTTCAAATGGTTCTCCCCATACAAGATTACATCTCTCTATCGTGGTTTCTTTTCTGTCACTGCATTGTAGTATACATCCTAATTAACAGCCTGGGCCTGGGCCTTGACTCTCTCGGTTCTCTCAGCATCAAACTCAAAGTCGTAGTACGACTTGTCAAAGTAGTGTACTCTGATGAAACCGTCTTCTCCTCCAGAAACATAGCCAGTTCCGTCTGGGTGGATGGCCACGGTGTTCAAAGGACCGAAATGACCCTTGACACGGCCAATCTCGTCGACAAAGATCTTGTGGTAGAATCTGGCCTCGAACTTACCTTGCGACTCGGCAGTGGTGGTGACATTCCTGGCCTCCTGACCTCCGCCCAAAACGACAAAGTTCTTCTTTGGTGTGATGGCAGCAGTGTTCATTGGCGCATCGGCCTTGTACACCTTTAATATTTCAAACGTGTCCACGTCGATCAACGTGGCGTTCTTGTCTTTGGATGCTGTGATGAAGTACAGTCTGTCCTCGGGAGCAAACTGGATATCGGTGATGGAAATGACCTTCTCCTCGTTGTGGATACCGTGCGCCTGCACCGTCTGGAGAAACTCGCCCAGAACACCGTCGTACTTGCTCACGTAGCCGTCCTCGTGGCCTGCAATGATGTACTTGCCCTCGGCAGACCAGCCGGCAATCGTGACTTTGGTGGCGTCGGGCCGGGTCTCGATCACAAGACTGGGCTCGCTCTTTTGCGCCGTGATGTCGTCGTAATTTATGTCGTACACGGAAATGGCACCTTTGCTGCCCATCACCTTGTCTGTCACTGCCAACAACTTGGTGTTGTCGGGCGAAAACGCCACTCTTCTCACGGGAGACGCCGTTTCCCACTTGTAAACACACTCGCCGGTCTCGGCCTTCCACAAACGGATCGTGAGATCAGCGCTTCCTGTCGCACACAAAAGTGTTTTCAGGTCCACGTCGATCGACCAGATGGTACCTTGGTGACCTTCCAAAGTGCCTAATCTTTCTCCGTTGGACGAGTACCATACAGAGGCGGAGGAGTCTTTGGCCACAGAGAAAAGGAGGTCGCCCTCTCTGTTGAATTTGACTTGCGTCAACGAACGCTCGTGTCCCATCAACTTAATCGGTCTCATTGTGGGTGGGTGATGATCTGGTTTGGGCTTGTCTTCTCAAAAAAACTTTTCAGGTGGATGTGTGTCGTGTGCGCACCAATATTTTGCAGTCTGGCTACGAAGGCCCCAGGTTAAAGGGTGCTGGCAGAAGGGTGTGAAAAGAAGAGGAGGAATACAAGATCCTTTCTATTTAGCCGTGGTTTCTTTCTACTTTGGGTTGACTTTGCGAGCCAGTGCGAAATGTCGAAGCTGATTTCGCATTTTGTGAATTCGCATCCTTGTATCAGTCTAGTTGGACATTTTCTGATAGAAGTCAAGAAATTGAGTTGTGAAGGTTGAAACTGAATGAATTTTCGTAGTTAGAGACAAGTTGAAGAGCTTTAAATTATCACTTCTTTTTTTTTCTCTGTCCTGGCGTTGATTGCATTCCATTCCATGCTTTAACCAAAGTTTCACGGCCCATGCTCATTTCTGTATTCTGATGTAATGGTTAGTAAGATTTTTCGAGTTATCTGTTCCTAATCGATTAGTTACTTGAAAGATAGCAGCCCTAATTAATTTGCTTCTCCATTTGACAATTCAAATAACATAAATCGATTGAGACTGGCGAGATTATTGTACTTCTTGTATTTGTCTACTCAATCATATCGTAGAGTACGTTTTATTGATGACGGGTAATTGATACTATATCTTCCTTCTCTTTATCTTTCTTCATGCCAACTTATCTTTCTTATCTATTCCCCATACCAATGAGTAAAAATCAAAAATTCATGAGTAATACTCCCAATCCAAAGAACTCGGCTCACTTATCTCGTGACGAATGGGGCAAGTGAAGTATACCAGACTGTTCCCTCCGGTTTTACTCTTTAATCTCCAAATTTCTTTATATTTTATACGTTTTTTTTTTCTCTTTTTCTCTTTCCATTTCTTTCTTTTCTGTATCTTTTCTGTTTGTCCTAGCAGACGTGTTCGATTTCAGCCGCCACACCATCGTGGTCTCCGTAATCCAACTTCAACTTGCGGTTGAACAACTCAAGCAACCACTCAAAACACAATTTAGTAACTGCCGGGTCGTATCTATCCTTCGAGGACTCGTCCCGGATAAAAGCGTGCTGAGCATCGTTCACTTCGATGAAAGTAAGCTGAACATTGTTCTTTCTCAATGTGGCTCTAATCAAGTCCCGGCCTTCCAAAGGCACGTGGGTGTCCTTGTCTCCGAAGACCATCACCAATTCGCCCTTGATTTCGCCGCTTCTTTTCAAGGAGTCGTCGTTCTTTCCCTTGCCTAGAGCGTGAATGTGGATATCGGTAGCGAAAAAGGAAAAAGCGGCAGAAACCCTTGGGTCCAACGCAGCTCTAAAGGCCAAATGTCCACCCAAACACATTCCTGTGGCGCCAATTTTGCCTGTGCAAGTGGGCAAGCTTCTCAAGTAGTCCACACACAAGGCATTGTCCTCGTCATATGACCGAAGCTCCTTTTCGATCTTGTAGCGGTTACCTTTGTCTGTGCCCTCAGCATCGTAGGCCAAAGGCTCAGGGGACTCGAAGTTATGGTAAATAGAGGGCGCAGCAACAATAAAGCCTTGGCCGGCAATGTCTTTGGCAAATCTGGCCACGGGACCTGTCACCTGGTAGATTTCCGAATAGGCAATGACGGCAGGGAACTTGGCCTTGGGATAATTTGGAACCACAGGGTGGAAAACAAATATTCTCATGGTCGTGCCATACGACGTCTTGACATCGTGGTAGCTTTCTTTGATCAACATTGGAGCGACAAGTGTTTTGGGGAGAAAAAACTGGAGGAGTGGGGAAAAGTGTCTCGTATAATTTTAGTGAGCTCAGGTGAGACATGCCTCTATATAGAAGATTGATGCAGAAGAATGTCAACGAGGAGACTTAAGGTAGACGAAGAAAAGAAATAACATTGGCCTGTAAAGGTGGCCAAATGGCCATAGATGCATGATCTATGGCAAAGTTAAGAGGAGGTAAGAAGAGGTATAAATGAACTTACCAGGTGATCGTCAAACGTTTATTTCTACAAAATCGGCAATAACCAGCCAGCCAATTGGATTTCCCGTTTCATTTCATGGCGGCCTTTCTGGCATCCGCTAGCTTGCTTAGTATTGGTTTCTACATCTACACTATGTTAACATACCTTCAGCTTGTTTCTTTCTCATGCGATCGGCGTCGGTCTCCATTCGTTTTTTCGGGTCACCGGTCTTCTTCTGGCCCTTTGCTGCCTCCTGCTGCTTCTTCATGTTCTTGGCACGTGCCAACTCTCTTTGGTTTCCTCGTGCCATGGGAATCGCTGAAGAAGAAAAGAAAAGTTGTGATCGCGGACCCCACGGACCTATAACCTCTGGTCACGTGGCACTCCAACTTCCATATCCTTCTTTAGTGACGGAACCAAGATGTATAGATTTGGTCGATGTAGTCTAAGAAACTACAATGTATAGATTTGGTCGATTTAGTCTAAGCAATCGAATCAGAATCGGATTCTGGTTTATGAGATTCACCGAAACAGAAGTCATACCGATTCGAGAAACCTTCAGAAGTGAATGAACACTTTTGCAGTAGAGTGTACGTTTGCCAAAAGACCTTCAATATCAGGCTAGTACTAGCTCAATCTCTTCAACTAGACTCAGTTTACAGCTATTTTGGAAATCTTATTGTAAAAAGGAGAATATATTGCAAAATGTGACAGTCAAGTCTATAATATCCCTATCAAACCAGGAATTGATCATTGACCGGTCAATTTGCTAATGGCTGAAATATGCAAAAACTGGAAAGTCATTGATAATCTTCAACTTTAGCTGTTTGAAGCGTCTATTACTGATGGGCAGACAGTTCCAATAATTTGAGCCTGGTTTATCTCATTACTCAGACATTAATCAAACATAGTGCTCTGGTTAGTAGAGTAGTCGTATTAACAATAATTGCTCTCTTCTCTATAGAATACCTCCAACATGCAGACTTCTATTTCGCCTCCTCCAACTCGAAAACTAAAGCCTTGTCAACCTTTGGATCATATGGCTTCAACAAAAACTTGGAGAACTTCTTCAAGTTGTTGACGCCACGAATCTCACTGCCGAGCAAAGGCATTTTCACCAAGTGGTAGTCTTCGTACAACTCACCCATCTGGTCCAAGTACTTTTTCTGCATTTTCCACCGGGACTGGCACCGCTTGCAGTCGTCCTCTTCGGCAAAAAGCAACTGGTTGACCACAATGGAGTTGACATCCATGTTGTAGCTCATCAATTCCTGGATCATACGTTCCGTTTCGTAAAGAGACAAGAACTCGGAAATGCACACACAAATGAACGTGGTCATGTCTGGGTTGGTAAACTGCTCGTTGACTTCGCTGACGCTTTTCTGGATCTCGTTCATTTTCGAGAAGATATCTTGCTGCTGGTTTGTACCACCGCCCAACATGTTCAACATGGGGCCGAATTTTCCCGACAAGTCCTTGAACTTGGCCAACAATTTCTCCAACGTGGCAGGCAACTGCAAGAAGCGCAAAGTGTGGCCTGTGGGTGCCGTGTCAAAGATAATGGTCTTGTACTGGATGGCGTTGGATTCAGACCCGTCGTCGGCGGCCCTCTGGTTCTTGATGTGCTTCAAAACCTCCATAAACGACAAGGCCTCGTCGATACCGGGAATGGAGCCTGTCATGTCCGACATCATGCTCTTCAAAGGATCGTTGGGATCGTTGTTGTATTGTTGGGCCTGGGTCTGCAAGTCCGACATGGCTGCATCCGGGTCGATTTCCATACACGAAAGGTTGGACAAGCCTTCGACCTTGCGGGCGTCCTTGCCAAACTTCTGGCAGAAAGCATCCGACAAGTTATGGGCTGGATCGGTGGAAATGAGCAAAAACTCATCATTTGGGTACGCCAACGCCAACTGGACGGCAACAGAAGACGACGTTGTGGTTTTGCCCACGCCACCTTTTCCGCCCACGAAAATCCATTTTAACGAATCTTGGTGGATGATCGACTCGAGAGTAGGCTCTAATTCAAAGTCCATAGTGCTGTTTGGGAGAAGTTGCTGAGGTGGAGAAGATGAAAGTTCGCGCGCTTCTAGGTCCTTCCACTTTGGTGACTTTACACGAAATGGAGAAAGAGGCGGATGGTCGGTCAGAGTAGATAAGATCAAGGAATGGGGTTTTTGGGAAGGGAAAGGAGATAGAGGAGTTAGAGGATGACTTTGAGTATTTTGAATTTTATGAATTATTATGAATTGATGAAGACACTGAATTATTATGCATGGTATGGACTATGCTCGATTTACCTATTTCGACCTATTGTGACGAGTAATGATAATTATATGCTTAAAACTTGTTAGATAAGGCAAGCTGGTCTAGCCATCCTAGTCATTTTACGGATTGGGGTGTCTATATACTTGTGCATATCAGAGCTAGGATAGTCAGGCTGCTCAGTTTGACACAACATGCATACCATACAGCTTCATGCTATAGCCAAAAAATGAAGACTCATCTTTTACTCGCCACACTCCAGTTTCTATGATTGTTGATTCTTTTTGATACAAGACCATTCTATTTCTTCTATAGATAACGTTGAGTCTAGTGGCCGTCAGGAAGTCTTATGAGTAACAGAATGGCTTCATTCAATATGGTTACTCATCAACTCAAAACAGCAACCAAGTATAGGCATGCCTTATGTGCTAAAGATCAGAAATATTACCGTAAAAGTTTTATTGTACGAGCAATCGTAGCTTAGATTCACATATATCAATTGAGACATAATTGCAAATAAGGTCTCTAGCGGAGTGGTTTCTTGTGCCTATTCACAATATCTATACGCAAAAGCAAAGTTACTTAGGAAACAAGAAATGCTTGTCTCTTTCATTTGTGCAATGCAAAAGGAATTTTTCTTTAGGTTGGCCCCTAGTAGAGTACTTACATTGAAATGTTAACGATGGATTTTATTCAAACAGTTACCGTTTCCGCAAACATGTAATATTAGATCTAGTACGATTTTTCTATTGTCTCCTTTCTTTCACCTGTTAATTACGTCGACCAAGTTACCCAAGCGGTCTTTTGCCTGGTCCAGGTCCCAATCACAGATCCCAGGAACAAATGTCTGGCTTACGCAAGAAAGAAAAGGAGCCTGGGAAGTAAAAACCTCCAGGGTCGAATTTCGCCAATCAAACTTGAAAATTGGATTTTTCCTTCTCAAATCAACCGCCCAGAGACGGTCCCGTACAATTGCTTTCATTGTGGAAACCGAAAGAACAGGTCGGGTGAACGTTGAGTTGAAATTGCACAGGTGATCGAGAGAAATCATCTTTGAGTTGGTGAATTCGCTAGATGTTCCGTACAGAGCCAGAAGCCATGGAGTTGACCATGCTATGCCGTACGAAGAGCTGCCGGTTCGTCCGTAGAAGATCGAAAGAGCAATCTCCGTAATTCCGCTTGTGTTTTTGCCAGGCAAGCTTACACAAGATGCCAAGGGAAACCTGAAATCAGACGTATCCTCGGTGGTGTTAATGGCGACTTCAGTAAAGAAATACTTTCGGCAACCTTTCTTACCGGCAATACAAGGCTTGTATTTTTGTGGAACGCCTTGTAATTTATCTGCGTAAAGATCTTCATTATGCTGAGCAGGGTAGAGAACCGTCTGTTCTTTTTCACACACAAGAACAACATTTGGATAGTCACTCACCAAGTTCACAAGCTGTTTTCTGCTTATTTTGCCACATTCGGCGGCCTTGAATCGAGTCGCCGGAATTGGCTTTTCACTCAAGTATATTTGCTGCGATACCTGGGATTCGGGATTACGTTCTCTTCTGACGAAACTGAAATCGTGTGCCCACGAAAGCTGCAAGAGCAAAAGGAAGCAAAGGAAATGCATTTGCCTTACTGGCTTTTATCTTTTTTTTCCCATTTTTTTCTCTTTATCTACTTTGATGGTATGTTTCTGGTCTGCCATACCGAAACCATTCCGTCGGGCAGTAAAAAAAAATGCAAACACTCTCTGGAAATTGAAAGATATTTATTACTTTTATCTAGAATCTTCAATTTTTTACGTATTGGCGGCGGCTTGACGGGTATATTTAAGTACCCTGTCTTGGTTTACCACCATTATTATTGTTTCATCAAGTCCGATATAGTGTAACGGCTATCACGGTTCGCTTTCACCGAGCAGACCCGGGTTCGACTCCCGGTATCGGAGGTTTTCTTTTTGCAATTGAAACGGCTGAACCACGTGTGGCAACCAAAAAAAATATAGCGCATATCGTGTCACAGCTAATGTCTCAAAAGAAATTTGACTGTTTGACACATTACAGTTTTGACGGTGAGACATTTATTTTTCGTCCGTTTTCTGTGCTTTCTTCTTGCTTTCATGACACTTTAGGCACTGGTTTATTGCCGTTGCAAAGAAAACAAAAACACATACAAAACCCTCCCGGTTGCTATTGTTTCTTATCGCTCTTGCAGAGCTCATCGCAAACATTTTATAGTATGGAACAATGAAGTTTGCCAAAGTTCTCCAGCAAACATTAGTGGAAGAAAATCTTCCCGAGACGTGGGTGGAGGCAGCCATCCAATACAAGATGTTGAAAAAATACATCAGTAAAGTTGTGGAGGAGTTGCAGTTTGTGGGCTTGACCAATACGGATTTGAAGCTTTTGCTTCAGAACGAAGACCAAAAGAAAACAGTGGAATTGGACAGAGAGGAGGCGAGCCCGACAAATCCCATCATGGCAAAATACATGTTGACCAAATCCCGTGGCTCCAACAGAATTGTGCCTTACTTAAAGATTGTGCTTAATGACACCGATAAGCAAAGTTACACCCAGGACCATATCCAGGAACTAGCGCAGGAAATCCGGGAGAAAGTGGAGAAGGCCATGTCCACAGATGACGAGGACCAGCACGTGATGGAGATTCGGGAGCAAGAAGATGGCCTAGTGCTATCCCCCACGCATACTCGAAATAATGAAGAGTTGGTGAAGGTCCAAAACAATAATGAAATAGTCATCATGCTCAAGTCGGACCTGAAGTTTTTCCGCATGCTTAATGCCGAGTTGGCTAACCTCGACGAGATCCGCCAAAGCGAAGAAAAGACTCTCATTACCGAGGTGGAGCAGATTGGCGAGATTGTGCATCTGCTCACGCAAAAGCGGGCTGATTTGTACAAATGGCGCGAGCTTTTCCGGATTTACCTTGACTCGGAGGTGTTTTTCCGCTATAACGAGACATCGAGGCTGCAGTTGGAACGTAGCTCGGATCAGATTAAGCGCAATTTGCAAGAATTTACTGACAGGGTGCAAAAGACGGACATTTTGGATACGTTCAAGCAAAAGAAATCACTTGTAGCATACCACCAATTTGTGAAAACAAATGAGCGGTTGCTCAAGATCATGCAGTTTCAGTCCATCAACACAACGGCGTTGCGGAAGATTTTGAAGAAGTTCGACAAGCGGACATCGTTGAACATTTCCACAAAGTTTCCCGATCTCATTTCTCAGGACCATATATTCATCACCGGGTCTTCTTTGGCACAGTCCATTTGCTTTCTTATGCAACACCGCCTTCTCACTCTTGTTCCACAACTTGAGGATTATCTGTGTCCAATCTGCATGTCGATTGCGTATAAGCCCATTCGATTAGAGTGTGGCCACATTTTTTGCGTGCGATGTTTGGTAAAGATGAAGAAGAGAGGAAAGACGGATTGCCCGCTCTGTCGGTGTCAAGAAGCAATCTTGAAGGCCGATTCGAGCAATTTAGATTTAGAGATTATGGATTTGATCCAGCGCTTTTTCCCAATGGAGGTCAAGGAGAAAATGAAGGAGATAAAGGACGAAAAGTACAAAGAAGTGGTTGGAGAGCACAAGAACTGTGTTATTATGTAATGTTGAAGTAGTAATTGGTAATGTGGTCATTATTGATCAAACTTTGTAGAAGCTACACTTAATTTGTAGAAGCTACACTTTGATGGTACACTTGGAAGTAAGAGAACTTGATCGATTAGGTCGTTTTCTAAATTTAATACTTTTTTTTGTGGTCTTTGGTAATTTTGGTGCCTCTTGTTCTGTATCTATCGCACTCCATATTACCATTTTCAATCACCATGCAAATAGATAAAAACACAAAATACGACCGGCAAATCAGACTTTGGGCCACCACAGGGCAAAGCCGGCTTGAAAAGTCTCATGTCTGTGTGATCGGAGCCACTGCAACCGGATCAGAAATCCTCAAAAACCTCGTTCTTCCGGGAATTGGGACGTTCACCATCATAGATAGCGCCATCGTGGCCGAAGATGATCTCAGCGGCAATTTCTTTTTGCAAGACGACGACTTGGGCTCCGAGATTGCTCCTGCAATGTGCAAAAGCCTTTTGGATCTCAATTCGGACGTCAATGGACACGCCGTCACCCAGCCTATAAGTGACTTGTTGGGAGCTCCCGACTTTTGGGACCAGTTTGCAGCAGTAGTTCTAACAAAGAGGCTAGACCCGCAGGTCTACCTCGGCTTGAAGCAAAAGCTATGGGAGAAAAACGTTCCGCTTTTGAGCGTGGCCACTGCCGGTTTTTATGGCATGCTCCACATTATCAGCAGAGAAACCACCATTGTCGAGACACACGATCCGTCCAAAGTTTTCGACCTACGCATCGACTGTCCATGGCCGGAACTCCAAGAGTATGCCGACTCCTTTGTTCTAGAAGAGTTGGACTCTACTGAACATGCACACGTGCCATATATAGTCATTTTCATCAAAGCCCTACAGCGGTGGAAAGCAGACCACAATGATCTTCCACCGCAGAACTATGCCGAAAAGAAAGAGTTTCGATCTGCCTATGTGGAGAGTATGGCACGCAATCTTGCCACTGAGACAAACTTTCTTGAAGCATCGCAATCGATCCATCGGGCATTGCAGGTTACCAGAATTCCGGAAGCGGTAAAGCAACTATTCAATGCTCCGGAACTCCAAACTTTATCTTCGTCTACCTCGCTTTTTTGGCTTTTTGTGGCGGCATTGAAGGAATTTGTGGCCAGAAACGATAACAAATTGCCCCTACCAGGAAATCTTCCGGACATGACATCAAAGACCTCCAACTACATCAGGTTACAGAACATCTACCGGAAAAAGGCCGCTGTTGACCAGCAAGCGTTTTCTGAAGCACTTTCAGGTATTTTTCACCAAGTCGGTCTACATGAAAAGGACTTGAACCAAGACATGATTGCATCCTTCTGCAAGAACAGCGCCTTTCTCTATGTGTCGAAGGGTAGTCTTCTTCAGTATTCCGAGCCACTCTTGAATGAGTTGAGGTCCTTATGTGAAAAGGAATGTGAAAACAATACGTTGGCGATATATTTTGGTATACTTGCTTTACACGATTTGTTAGACCACGGAGCTATCAACGACTTCGACTCTTATGTCCAACATTTTAGCCAATTGTTTCTACTTTCATCATCTATTTCACTGGGCGTTTTGAAAATCTTAAAGGAGCTTTTCGTCCATTATACCACTAACTACCATAATATCTGCAGCCTTATGGGTGGTATTGGTTCTCAAGAGGTTTTGAAGATTGTAACTCAGCAGTATATCCCTCTCGATAACTTGTATGTTTTCGACGGCGTCAAATCTATCAGCGATAAATGGAAAATCTGATGAGGTACCCGCGTTCCGAACGCAAAAGGCGCCGAATATAGAACTTTAGATAATGCTTCACATATCATCAAACGAACCTTGCATATTTGAGTCTCCTTTGCTCTTTTTATTCAGTCGGACCAAATCTTTCCAATCTTGCTGTGTTTCTTCATCGTCCGAGGACTCCTCCATGATCTGTTTTTCAATGGCTTCTCTCTTTCTTTTATTTTTCTCCCGACGTACACTTTTCGACTCTTTCGTATCCACCTTCACAGACCAAGCTTCATTTTTCTTCTTGAGCAATTTACGGGCTTTGGCATCTTTGATTTTTTTCTGCTTTTCCTCTTCCAAATGCTCCAACCGTGATTCTTCCTTCGAACTGTCGGCATATGCGTATTTATCCATGTCCAAAGGTTCTGGGATCAACCAGCCGTCTTCAGGCATTTTTTCGGCGGGAATATACTTTGTTTCGGGCATTTTAGGCAAACGAAGCAATCCGTACATTTTCGCCAAGCCCAAGTAATCTATCGATTGCATTCTGAAAATGGAAGATGCAAGGTGTTTCTGGTAATATCTCATAAACCCAACATAAGACTTCACAGCAAGCTCATGGCGAGCTCTATCGGCTAGCATAAACGCTTTGGTTTGCTGTTGAAACTCTTGATGCAATTTTTCATCTTGAGGCACATTCATTTGGGACATTTCAACACCTTTCACTTCCATAAAATCAACGTAATCTTCTTCACGAGAATTAATATTAAGCATCACTAAGGCACGGCCGACCTTATTGGCTCTTCCGGTTCTACCACACCTATGCAAGAAAACGTCTGGATCAGTAGGAGGATCTAGCTGAATGACCAAATCAACTTCGGGAATGTCTATACCTCTAGCAGCAACGTCTGTGGTCAACAAAATATGTTTCGACTCAGCGGTGTCACCTTCAGTGAAATTTTGAAGCGTCTTCAATCTGGCATTGGTGGAAAGCTGGCCATGCAACGAGTAGAACTTTGCCTCAAACAGCGTTGCTTTCTTCCAGTTTTCAATCATACTGTAGAAAAGCTTGATGGATGTACATGTGGGAAAGTACACAATACATTTTTTGAACTTGTAGTCTGCAGCTAACTTGAGCATTGTCGTTAACTTCTTCTCTGCATCCACAAGCATATACTGGATTGTCAAGGACGTGGGAGCTGCCTTCTTTGAGTTTTTCGACTTGACAGCTACTTTCACTGGATTCATCATTCCCGTGCGGAAGATTTTGTCACCAGCAGCGCTGAGGGTGGCAGAGAAAAGCCCTGTTCTTCTTTGTCTGGGGAGCTGTTTCAAAATGGACAATACATCAGTCTCAAAAGACATGTCCAAAAGTTTGTCGGCTTCATCCAAGACAGCCACTTCCACCGAAGACGTTTTCACTTTTTCGGACGAGAGCAAGTCAAGAAGACGGCCTGGCGTGGCAATAACAATGTGGCTTCTCTGCAAAAGAAGCGTTTCCAAGTCTTCTCTCACACTACTGAGCGAGCCAACAACAAGTTGAGTATTAATCTTCGTTTTCTCCTCGGGCAAAAAGTCAAGAACGCTATCGAAAACTCTCTGGATCTGGCTCGCAAGTTCTCGTGTCGGAGACACCACGACGGCCAACATGTGGCCCTTTTTCACTGGTTCAGGCTTGAAATCTGCCGCACCGTCAACTGGGCCCGTAGAGTCTATTCGACACATGCTGCAACACCGGAAGAACGAAGGCTAGGGTTTTTCCGGAGCCTGTTGCCGACTCGACAACAACGTCTTTGTTTCCGGCAAAGAGGGGGATGGTGGAGGCTTGCACAGGCGTCATTGTGGGGTATCCGAGAGAGGTGATGGCATCTCTGATCCAAGGATGGAGCTTGCAGTCCAAGCTGTTCCACAGTAGAGAGGACATGGCGATATTATTGAGCAAGCGGAACTGATGTTCAAGTTCAAGCAAATATCAAAAAAGGAAGAAGAAAAGTATGTGGTGTATTTCCTAGGCTTATACAATTTTTCCGCAGACGATGATCTTCGCATTCGCAAAAGCATTTCTATAACTCCATCTGCATGTTCAAAAGAGTGATGAGCGTTGTCTTCAACGCAGAGAAAAATGCCGCTCGTGACTACGAAAGTTGGCTGAAAACACAGCTCATCAAGAGAATCCAGGAGCTTGAAGCGGGCGAAAATGCGCCAAAGGACGAAGACCCACAAGCGGCCAAAGAACCATCCAAGGAGCCACAACCAAAGACCAAGCCGGGCAAGACGGCAGCCGCTGGACAGAAAAAAAGAAAGTTCGACTTCAGCAAACACAACACGCGGTTTGTGGCCTTCCGCTTTGCCTACATGGGCTGGAACTACAATGGGCTCAACTTCCAGAACGAACCTACACCTCTCCCCACGGTGGAAGAAGAAATTCTCCAGGCCATGACCAAGGCAAAACTTGTACCTGAGGCCGACCCAGCATCGTGCAACTTCAGCAGATGCGGACGCACAGACAAGGGAGTCAGTGCGTTGAACCAGGTGATTTCGCTAGATGTGCGCTCGGCTTTGCTGAAGGAAGAACACGCAGACAAGGAAAAGGACGTGAAGGAGTTGCCATACTTGACGATTCTAAATGCGCTTTTACCTCCAGACATTCGTATCACCGCTGTGTGTTTGCGTCCGCCGCCCAACTTCAATGCCCGTTTCTCGTGCAAGTACAGACACTACAAGTACCTTTTCAAGAAGACGGACTTGGATGTTGACCTCATGCAAGAGGCGGCGCTTAAGTACGAGGGCCCCCATGACTTCCGCAATTTTTGCAAGATCGACGGCTCAAAGCAAATCACCAACCACTGTCGAGAAGTGTATTCCGCCAGAATAGAGCACTTCAAAGACGACTTCTACGTCTTTGACTTGAAGGGCACAGCGTTCCTTTGGCACCAGGTGCGCTGCATGGTGGCGGTGTTGTTTCTGGTGGGCCAGAAATTGGAGCTGCCGTCGATAGTCGACGATTTGCTCAATGTGAGCAAGTTTCCCAGCAAGCCCATCTACGAAATGGCAAACGACGTTCCCTTGGTGCTATACGATTGTGTTTTCCCAGAAATGGAGTGGCTCACGTCCGCAAATGATTTCAATGGCACACAGCGGCCGAAACTTGCCAAAGAGCATGGCCGTTTCAACTCATTGTTCCTAGAGTACCAGCTTAAAGCTAATATTGCCAGCATGGTGCACTCTGTTTTCATGCCCGAAGAAATTAAAGACAACCTTCTTCAAGGTGCCGGCTACATCAATCTCGGCGACGGCAGAGGCAGAAACTTCAAGAAGTACGTGCCTATTGCCGAAAGGGAAATGGGTGAAACTGTTGAAGCTGTAAATGCTCGGCACCGCGAGAAGAAGAAGAGGAAGATGGACAACAAGGCTGAACAATGAGATCTCACGTGGATATCCATGAAGGCTCCCAGTACTGTTTTTCGCCATTGGGGCCCTGATTGTCGATCCAAAGAAACCCATTCAGAATCATCTCATCAATGACGGTTTTCAGCCGCGCAGCGTCCCAGTTGAAGTTGTCCCTTAGTAGCCGATGCGTGACATACCCTCCCATGAATTCACAAAGCTCATACACTTTCTTTTGATTGGTGGATATGGAGCCCTTTTCCGACGACCCTGTAGACCGGATCCATTTGCGCCTGTTGATGTCCATAAGCTCGTACCCGTTTCCTTCGCTGCCCAAGTACGCCAAAGACTTGACGATGTCTTCTTCAGACGCCGTCACGGGCGCACTGGAGTTTTCCTGTAGTCGGGAATGTAGCTCCTTCAAAGAAATAAGGCCACCGTTGATGTCCCTCGTCTCCTCGCAGATCTCCACAACACGGACAGCTAGACCCAAGTAAAAATTGTCGCCCTTTTTCTTCTGCGACTCCAGAAAAAGCATCACTTCCAAAGTGTCCACGCCGATCAGATGGCACATTTGGGTGAACTTTCGGCTAAACTCCGGGTTGTTCTTGATGGTTTCGCCATGATCTCGCGCAAAATTGACCAACGCCGATTGGTACACTGCTAGTTGCGTGGAAAGTTCATCCGAGTGTTTCTTCGTAAGCGTCTGGCCCAACCGGAGATAAGCCTCTCGATCTGCCCCTATTCTGTCCATTGGCAAAGAAAACGAGTACGATAAGAATTGATGTCTGTTTCTGTGTGCAGGCCCCAGATCTTCTACATAGCCTTGTCCTGTCAAAAGTAGCGCAAAATTCTTGGAAATGTTACATTTTTCCGACGCAGCTGTAGATCTGTCGGTGGAAAATAGGAGGCTTCTCCGGCCAGGTATTTTTGGGGATGTTTTGTATTTTTTAGCTTGCAATGTACTTTACGCAATTTGGTGTTCCATGCGCCCTAAAATTACGAATGTCATACTTTTAGTCGTATTACAAGTAGAAGTTTTGTCACAGCGAACAAAATCATACTTTGGCCGAGGAAAAAAGATAAGTTGGGAATGTGACAAGACCGAAAAATTCTTGGAAGCTTTGACCATTTTTTTTTTTTTTAATTTTTTTCCGTAGATCCTTTCTTGTATAAGACCCCACAGTTCGGCATTTCGCATGCGCATTGTAGACCGAGGCCCATCGATACCTCTTCTCTTTCCACCAAAACACAATATGGATATAGAAACATCAGAAGATCGAACCACCGGAATAGGAGACACCGAACCACCGAAAGAGATTGAAGTTCGTTTTGGAAAAGGTGTCACGGGAACTTTGGCATTTCCTCATGCTGAGACAGATCCGAATTATCTTCAGAAAGGATATGCGCCCGCCACCACCAAAATAGCTCTTCTTCTTCATGGGCAAGGCGGTCACAGAGACTACTGCTACCAAAAGATGCTTGCGCATAAATTGGCTGCAGAATTGGGGATGTACTCGTTGAGAATTGATTTTAGAGGATGTGGATGGCTGGATGAGAACGCCGATCCTAATGTTGGGCGGATTCTCGAGCAAGACGTGGAAGACATTCAGGCGGCAGTGGATTATGTGACAGATGGCACACGGAACGAGGCGAAGACCAATTTTTTGCTTCTGGCCATGATTGCCCATTCCAGAGGAGCCGTAGCGATGTTTCTTTGGGCTTGCGAGCAACAGAAGCTTTTGGAGTCGAATGCTACGGCCGCCAGAGCTGTGGTGGTTCCAAACTTGATCAATTGCTCTCTGAGATTCCGTTCTCACACCATCCGGTCCCGCTACCATTTTTTGGACGACCAGGATGTGGAGTATGTGGTACAAAAGGCGCTTCGATTCGGCAAGTATGCCGACACTCGCGTTCCTAGGCTAGAAATCCGGTCCTTGGCCAATGTAGACTTGAGCCACATTGGCCAGTTGTCGACCGAATGGTCTGTTTTGAGTGTTTACGGAACAGAGGACCATATCATTTCCAAAGAAGATTGTGCGTATTTTGCCAACACCTTGAACCGTGGGCCATACTCGCACCATCTTGAGCTCATTGATGGGGCGGACCATAACTTCTATGGAAACAAGGCTATTGAAAACGAAGACGACAAGGAGGACTACAATCCGCTAAATCTTCCGCTCACGAAAAAGAACACCGTCAACTATAACTACTTGGTTAGTGCCATCGTGGCCAAATATCTCAGGTATGACCAGGAAATCATGAGATTCAACGCTCGCTCCAAGACCATTGGCTGCGTCCCCAGGTCAAAAACCGTCGACGGGGTCTCGAACTTCAGAGATGTAGGAGGTTGGCGAATTGACCAGCCTACCTTCAAGGTGACCAATAGTGATAAGGCCAAATATTATGTTCGGCCAAGCTTCATTTTCCGATGCGCTAACACGGCCCGTCTCTCGAAGAAAGGTGCCCAAAGCATCAAGGACTTGAACATCGGCACAGTTTTCGATCTTCGGTCTGTGGAAGAATGTGCAGCAGATGGTTCTCCGCAAGGCTTTTTGGAGGAAGTGGGCGTTAAGCGTGTACATGCTCCGGTGTTCAGACATGAAGACTACTCACCAGACCAAATAGCACTTCGTTTTGCCAACTTGACGATCTCCTGGCACACATATGTGCATGTTTATGACCATATGCTTTCAGCAGGACACGAGCTGTTCAAACAGATGTTCGAGTACATCAGAGATCACCCTGACAAGCCATTTTTGTTCCATTGCACTGCAGGAAAAGACAGAACAGGTGTGTTTGCCATGTTGCTATTACGGTTGGTGGGGGTAGACAGGCACACCATTATCAAAGAGTATGAGTTGACTACACTAGGATTGAAGCCAGACCACGAGGATTTACGTAAGAAATTTGTTGACGGGCTTGCAAAGGCTAAAGGAAAAGAGATCGAGACTTTGACGGAAACCATTGTTCAGGGAAGAGTGAATTGGACAATCGAAAAAGACGGATTTGAAAACTTGGTCAGTTCAAGAAGCGAAGCCATGTTGGCCACCTTGGAACTTTTAGACAAGAAGTTTGGAGGGATTCTTAACTACATGCGGGAATACTTGAAATTCTCCGACGCAGACATAGAGACGATTTTCAAAAATTTGGTCTATGTTGTGGACCACGATGTGGCTGTGGATGCCAGCTCCAATAATTTCCGTAGCCGCATCTCTAAATTCTGAAATTTCTGATGCTCAACTTGGAAGGTAGCAACGAGGTTACCGGACATTTAATGCAATTAAGTTACGTATCCAATTAATGTATTCAATTCATGTATCTTATGCTTCTATCATGTATACGCTTCTGTCGAATAATTCTATGAAATATTATAACGTTTCTATCAAGTATTTTGATCAACGTGTCTATCAAATATATTTATTAATGCTTATGTATGCTCATACGCTTCATGGATCTGCGAGTTCTACATGATCGGAAGCGGTCTCTGTTTGAAGATGATTTTCTTGTATACGAGGTCAACAAACTTCATGTTCTGTGTTGGATTGTCCCCCGTAGGAACTCGGAGGACACCTAGCGGATCTTTCAAAGTCACAACTGAACCTAGAAGTCTTTGGGATTTGCCAATGAACAAAACGGCCTTTTGTGGATCCTTCTCGTCGAATTCCAACCGCCCAAACTTCACAGCCTCGTAGATATCATCCACCTTAGCAAAGTTGCGTACGTAGTCTGGATCTAGGCCCTCGGTCTCTGTGGGGGCTGATTCTGGAAGATTTAGTTCGCCTTGGATTTCTAGAAGAGAGAGGCCAAAAGGCGTCGATATTATGCAGCCATTGGAGTTGGTAGTCAAGGAGTTTGAATTCAAGGCTCTATGTATATCTTTGTAGTCGATGGGAGTACTAGGCATGTTCCAGTTTCTTCAGCTTAGTAGTTATTGTGGTTTTGTTCATACAGGACATATCATTTGTGGATGGATAATACAGATGGGAAGAGTTGACCGGAAGAAGCCAAGAAATAAAGTAAGAAGGGAAAGAAAGAAACTAAAGAAAGAAAGAAACGAAAGAAAGAAACGAAAGAAAGAAACCAAATAAATGGAAGAAAACGACGAAAGGCCATGCACACCAATACGAAGCAAAAATATCAAGATTCATAGAATCACAATGACGGTCCTCTTCATCCTTTATATATTTAATTGCTATAGCAAACAGGATCCTAAGAAGATTGTAAGAATAAGTGCTGCTAGGGAAAAATGTGGTAGTCTGGACGATAAGGACTGAGATACCCAGGTTCCTAAAAGAGTAAGAAATCAATGCTATGCGACTACCTTCACTTACATTCGCACGTTGATACATTTTGCGCTTACATGCTCTTTTATGGGAATCAATCTTTTGCTTCGGCCAGACACTGTACAAACTTATTTTAACTTTTTTTTTCTGTGGGAACATTCAGTTCAGGTTTGGGTAAATTACATTGAGACGTTCTTGCCCATATAAAAGTTAGCCGCATTAGGAAAGAAGCTCATACAGTATTTCCTAAACGGGGCATGGCCCATTTGGGTGCGAAAGAGACGAAGAAATATAACTACGGATGCCACGCCCATAAGGAATTTTCCTGCTAACTGCTTCTTTTTCTTTTCCTGACAACACTCATACTGGCCAAAAAGAGTATGGATAGCGAGTTTTTCGAGCCGCAAAACTTTGACGGATACCCAGCAGTGGTTGGCCTTACAGACTTCATAAAGTGCCTTCAGAACTTCAATGATGGCACAGGCATTTCTTACTTGGTGAGGTACGCCAAAAACTTGAACGGTAAAAATATTGCGCCAACGCTTTTAAGATATTCCGTGAGCATTCAACAGAATTTGTTTGGAAATTACCCCACCGAAAGTGATGTGGTGCCCAGTTCGATTTTCGGAGCCATTTTCGGCCTTTTGGGTTTTATTCATCTAGGCATCTTCATTGTGAACTACAGCCGAGGCCATTACTTCTGGATTTCGTTTGTGTGGTTTGTCAACTGCGTCATGAGAATGATTGGTTTTGCCCTTAGAGCCAGATGGGGCCATGATATCAGCCAAGTGTCGACCGGTCTAGCCAGTGAGGTTTTCCTTGTCATTCCCTCGGTGATTCTCGTGTCCTTTGACTTGATTCTTGCCCAACGGTTGTTCACGTGGAGACACCCTGTCGGAGGGTCAAGAAAGCTTTTCTGGGGTTTCATGTTTGGCATGTATGGCATTGTCAGTTTGCTTATTGCATTGACAATTGTGGCCTCGTTTGTCCCCTACATTTATTACTTGAGTGAAAAGTCATATAAAGCCTGGAAAAACGTTGTCAAGGCCACGTCGATTTTTGTCATTTTGTACTCCTTGACATCCATGATATTGATTGGCTTGTCCTATCTTTTCCCACCCACGGCCAAGGATGAAAATTTATACACTTATCAGCCGTGGTGGATTGAATCGTTCTCTCCCTTTTACTTTGTCCGGCCTGGCGCTGCTCAAGAGGCCGAGGAGACTTTCATGAAGAGAAACCACAATCATCGTCATGCCATAAGAGTCATTGCTGCAACTCACCACCACTACAACATGGTTGAAGGGTTGACGAACCAAAGAGGCGCATTGACTCATAACGTTTCAATGGCTCTCATCTTCACGACCACCATTTTGATTTTCATTGGTTCTCTATTCCGCTGCATTGTGGTCTTCCAGGATAGAATTGCCCGCCACCTGAGTTCTCTTTGCAAACCCGTGGTGATGTATATATGCTGGGGTGGCTTTGAGGCACTCATAAATTTCCTCTACATTATTGGAAGGGTGGATCTCAGGTTCTACCGCCCAGACATATTACCAGCGAAAGTTAGAGCCATTATCACTGCTGAACAGAGTTATTTTCCATCGGACAATGAGGAGGAGTTTGAAGATGCTTACTCGGTGGGAACTCATCTGGTCACGCCAGAAAAAGACCGGCAGTCATTACCATATCCACATGACGATCTTGGCGAAAAACATTTGGGCGAACACGATGATGACGACGACGACAACATTTCAGACTTTCATTTTTAAAGTTTATAGCAATACAAACATGGGACGGCAAAAAAAAATAAACCCACGCCGGGACTCGAACCCGGAATCTTTTGATTAGAAGTCAAATGCGCTAACCATTACGCCACGCAGGCCAATTTGACGGAAAATATTGCTGCTTTAATATGAGCAGACAAATGTTGATATGACTAGCCATATGACTGTCTACCGATGTTGGGATGTCTTTCTTCTATACGAATTTTTTACTGCCCATTCTAATGGAGTAAAATGGCCGCCACAGGCCTCGAAATAAGAATATCAATTAATAGGAATATAAATACGCTTTAAGCGGATATATCTATAGGGCAACAAAGACTACTCCTTAGAGATGTCTCTGCCAAACATACCAATCTTGAGCCAGTCCAAGACAACCAAAATTTGGTTCTTGACAGAAAGACACATGTAGACGTAGGCTGATCTCCACACCAAAAAGGTGAAAGTACCACCAGAGCTGACATTAGACCAGTCACCCCAAACCAAATCAGCAACAGCTCTTTCAGAACCAATGTAAGCCAAGGAACCTTGGTGGTTGTATTTGAATGGCTCCAAGTTTGATTCCAACTTGGCCAACTTCTTTGTCAATCTTTCTGGGTGCTCATCAGACTTGTCGTGAGCAATCTTGTACTTCAAGGCATCAATTTCTTCCAATTTTTCCAAATGCTTGGCCAAAAAAATACCCTCTTGGAAAGCAACCTGGGCAGTAGGAGCAAACTTGGTGAAAGAACAGTCACCCAAAGCAAAGATGTTTTCAGTTCCGTCAACCAACAATCTCTCGTCAACCAACAAACCTCTTCTAGCGTTCTTTTGTTCTTCAATCTTGGAGGTCAAGTTTCTAACAATTGGTCTAGGTGCATTGCCTGTTGCCCAAATCAACATACCATAAGGAATCTGGATCATTTCAGTAGATCCATCTGCCGCTTTAGTTTGAGCAGTGACGGATTCAGAGTCAACTTTCTTGACCATAGTGTTGGTTTTCAAGTCGATGTTGGTGTCCTGGAACACCTGTTTGGTGTAGTCAACCAACTTCTTGTTGAACATGTTCAACACGTTTGGCAAGGCCTCGACCAAAGTAACTTTCAATTCAGAAGCAACTTCGGGCATCCAGGCGTGAATATCTTGGTCAATGTAATCCTGGAGCTCACCAGCAACTTCAACACCGGTTGGGCCACCGCCACAAACGACAATGGACAACAATCTCTTTCTTTGTGGGTCATCCTTAGGCAAGATATTGGCAGCTTCGATGAGGTCCATGAGTCTTCTTCTGATTTTGATGGAGTCGCTGACTTCCTTCAAGAAGTAGGAGTTTTCTGCGACACCAGGGATACCAAAAGTGGAAGGCTGGGCACCAACACCAACAACCAAGTAGTCGTAGTTCAAAGAGGTGACGATATCTTCGGAAAGGGTAGATTTGGCCGAACCGGTGTCCTTACCAGAGTGGCCCGAGTGGACAGTGGTGGATTGCTTGACGGTGATTCTGTGGTTGACTGGGTCGATGTCTGTGGCCTCTGCCTCCAAGTAGATAACCTCACCAGCACATCTTCTGGTGATACCTCTCACAGGCTCAATGATGGATCTGGCATCGACAGTTCCAGTGGGCACCGAGGGCAACAATGGGGTGAAAAGGAAGTAGTTACGTGGGGAAACAACAACAACGTTGTACAAGGTGGTGTCCAAGTTCTTCAAGAGCGAGATGGAGCCCCAGCCCGAACCCAAAAGAACCAAGGTTTTCTTTTTCTTTCCCGACTCGAAAGTTGGCACCTGCTTGATCTGGTCGGCAGGGTAAGACTCGTTGTAGACTTTGTAGCCAACATAACCGACAGCACCGACGGTGGCCAAAGCAGTCAACCTTCCAATGGTTTTGAAAGTTTTTCTGAAAGCAGAAACGGGCTTTTTGGGAGCAGCATTAAACGCCCGAGCAGTCGACGAGAACAACCGCACAGAGGAAGTTCTGAACATGGTGTAGCACGTCCAAATTGGTCAAACGAATAGATTTCTTGGCCTGAAGCACAGAAGAAAAAGTATACAAGAAAAAAATCCAAGAGAGTCACTATTCGCTCTTCACGGAACAATTTATTATTTTCTCCGATGTCGCGATTTAATCCTTCGGAGTTTGACTCCCCGGCGGGGAACTCGGATACTCCAAACACCGACCCGCCTCCAGTTGCTACTTCCAATTGTGCTACGGCAATTGCTTTGCGCTTGTCAGAGACGCTGTTTTGCAGACGTATACAAAGCACAGGTGGCGGCCACAAAGGCCCCAACGGGGGAACGGAACTTTTCGTTCATTGGTCACATGCCGCACTTTCCCGGTTCGGCAGGTGCCACTACTTAAGAGGAACCTGGGCCTTTGGGCCGCGGGTCACGTGACTATCACTAGTCACATGAGCGGCCATGCGCTAACAAAGCAGAGCCAGCAGCTATGCAAACGCAGACTTGGCGCTTGGAGAAAGAGACTGGTGCCTGGAGAAAGAGACCGGTGCCTGGAGGAAGAGACCAGTACCGCTCAGATAAACCCGCTCACTCGGTCCTCCTCCCACCGATTCAATTTTTCCTTGCGGAGGTGGTACTCCTTGCGCTTCTGTTTGAACTCCAGTAGAAACGACGCGAGATCCAGCTCCGCCAAAGATTTCTTGTTGCGGACAAGCAGCACCGACTCTTTGTCGCTGGCTTCGGCGAGCCGGCCAAACTTAGTCCGGAGAAAATTCTGGTTGAAGTTGGAGCTGAGCAGCTGGTACTGATACGTTTCGAGATTGAGAAACTCCCGGTAGAGCTCTTCCATGGTTTTCAACTGCCGCGAGATGTGCGCCGACTTGGCCTCGTATTCCTCTAGGATTTGCACAATCTCGTTGACAAGTTCTATTTGTTGATTGGCCACATCCACAATCTGTGCTTGTGTTTCTCTGTATTTTGGTAGTTCCTCGACGAACCCTTGCACCAATTCATACAGACGGGAAAAGTCGGCCAAGAATTGCGCCGGGAGGTTCTTGAGCAGTTTGGGAAGCGGAAACGGCCGAAGGCTCGCGAGTTCAACAGGCTGGAGTGGCATTTTGTCGATGTACTAATTTAAGAAACGCTAAAGTGAGAACCTAGACTTTGCACCCGTACCCCAAAATGCTCATAGTTTATTAACCGGTTTATGCTAATGCAAATAAATAAATATATATATACTAAGCGGTGCCAAGGCGCGCCTGCTTCTTCAACAAGCGCTGCTTCAACTTTTCTTCTCTTTCCTTTTGGCTTTTCTCGAGCCTCTGGTTCGCCCACTCCCGGATTCTTTCGCCGTATTTGTAGCACAAGTATGGGAAGGGCACTCCCAAGAAAAGGGCAATGATGGCACACATGGTGTTGGCCCATCCGTAATCAAGTTTGGCGTACATGGCCGGAGCGAAAAGCGGGAAAGAAAAGCCAAAAAAGCATCTGAATATGGCCGCGGCCGCAATGGAAGACGCCGCAAACTTTGGATTCATGTCAATTAAGTAGGCTTGCAACGTTTGGAAAACGCAAACCAAGCCAAATGCAAATAAGCCGGATCCGACACAAGACATCATCCAATGAAGCTTCTTTTGGACCGACCAGCCGTACCACAACAATCCAATAGGGATGATTATGGCCGTGACGAAGAGACAAGGAAGACGATACTCTGGTTTGCTGACTCCCCCATTCTTCTCAGTTAAATGGTTGTAGACGGCACCCAAGGCATATGTCCAAAACAAGACACCCAACAAGAACCCTACACCCAAAGACAAGTACATCAAACCCGCTGTACTCTGGGAAAAACCGTACGATTTCTCGTACACAGAAGGAAATGTGACAATCATCAAGTACAAGAAGCCGTAGATGAAGGCCATGAAGGAACCCAACCCGACAATCATTGGGTGTGTGAACAAAAGAACAATTGGACGAGTCACTGTGCCTTTGAGTTTTTCCAATGTCGACTCGTTGTTCGACATTTCGTAAATGGTGTGCAAGTTCTGATTGCCCGTGGCTTTCCTCAACTTGTTAGCCTTCTTCTTAAGCAACGCAGGAGAATATGTCTCCACATAGAGGAAAGTTCCCAAGAGGGCAACAGTGCCGTTGATAATGCTGAGAGTGTAAAGAACCCATCTCCATCCTTTCGCCTGTGCAATGTAACCACCGACAATTGGAGCAATGGCTGGTCCCACAAAGGGAATTAAAAAAACACCTGCCAAACTAAGGTTTCTGCTTTTAGCATCAAACAAATCACTGACAACTGCAGGCGAAACATTCAATGGAGTAGCACTGAACAAGCCAGAAACAAATCTCAAAACCACAAGCTGCGTAGTATTTTGAGAAAGAGCACAGCCAATATTGAAGGCGAGAGATAGCCAGCAAGAAACACTCAAAACGGTTTTTCTACCCAACCTGTCATCCTCGCTTAGCGGAGCAATAACCAAGGGCCCAATGGCCCAGGCAAGAATGTGGATGGAAATCACAAGCGCCTGAATTACAGGGGACTTGATGTTGAATTCGGCAGAGACTTCTTTCATTGCTGGAGACAAGATGGAAGACGACATTGGCGAAATGAGAGTGTAGAATGAAACAAAGATAACAACATAAATCTTCTTCAGAAGGCGCCAGTTACGTGGGTCTTCTGGATTGTCAAAACCCCACGTTATAAGTTCCGGGTCTATTTTGGTGAATTCCTCTCCATCGTGGTCGATCGGCAATCTATCTTCTTCAATGGCATAAGTGGACACATCACTTTCGTCTTGGCGAGTCACAATGCGGTTTATGATGGTGTTTCTTGTATATTCTCTGCGAAGTTCAAGCTCGGCGCTGGTTAAATCGCCTTTAATCTCCTCTTCGGTGAATCTTTTTATTTCTTCTTCGTCTGCCTTCTGTGAAGAGACTATGGATCTAGTAAGACTGGAAAAGGAGCCTCTCTTTTTGTGAGGCACAGGCGTTTCAGGGTTGCCTGTGAATTTGACAGGAGAGTCAACCGATCCAGAAGAGCTGCTACTAAGCACTGACAATTTCTCATCCGAGTCCATGATAACGAATTGCAAGTGTCTTTCAAGGGTAGATGAAATGAAAACAGTAAATCTAGAGTGTAGGTAGAGAACTAATATGGAATAGTAAAAGCAAAAGGAGACAAAAACGAAGGGAAAAAAAAAGTAGAAAAATCGGTTGGTTTATGTATGCATGGTGAACAGAAGTCTGCAATACCAGATTCCGGGTGCAAAAAGATTTTATGGTGTACCTCATAGTAAATCGCACACCTTCGGTTAATAACGGCTGCACGTTTTTCTGTTTTTTTCCATTTAACGCGCGCTTTGGCAGGGCCTTTCTAATCTGCCGGCATATAACGCAGTTCCCGCGATGGTACGGCTAATGAGTTCGGTTAATTGTGGCTAAAGTCTGGCGAAAGCTGAAGCCACAAGAAAGAGTATTTTTTGAGAAATGAAGAGTTTTTTGAGACATGAGTAGTTTTTATGAAATGAGTAGTTTTTATGCAATGAGTAGCTTTTTGAGAAATGAATAGTTTCTTTTGAAGATAAGAAATTTTTAAGAAAAGGCAGCTTTACTTGAGCCCCATAACCTTCATTAATTATACATTGGAAGTGCCTCGGGAAAGCGATTGCTCAATAAGATCAATGGAGCTTTCCACCTCGGCAAACGTCATTCCACAACTCAAAGAAATCAACTTACAGTACTTGTAAAGCTTGTCGTCGTGCGGGAAAGTAGCGATTGTAGACGTTGTATCCTCGTGATTTTGTGTTTCGGCATCGTCTTTTTCTTCTGTGGTGTCTGACGGACTTTCCCGCTTTGAGTCTTGATTCTCTTTAAACTCTTCGGGATTTTGCACGGCCACCGGCGCTTTTATCTCCTCATTATAGAGCAACAGCGTGATTTCTTTCCTCTGTATGATTGCCTTCTGCAAATCAATGGCGTACTGTAACTTTTCTTTGTTTGTGCTTTCCTCTTTTACCACCAGTTCTTTCTCATATTTGGTCAACGTGCTTGCAATAACCTTCTCTCGAATATTTACGTAGTTCTTGAAAGCATCGGAAAACTCTTCTTTCGTCGCAAGATACTGGAACATCATGTCATTTTGCAATCTGTTGATCTCATCTTGAATAATAACATCCCGCGAACCGTCAATCACAAGCAGATCCGATTTGCTTTGAATGTCTTCTTCCGTTGTTTCGAAATCTTTTTCAACATCCTCGACCAAGTAGCCGAGGTTAAAGATATCCAAAATGGATTTCTGTGAATTGAACTTCTCAAACGCAATGAGCTTCAGGAACCGGAAAAGTGCAAGTAGTTTTTCATCCTTTTCACTTAGCTCCTTATCAACCACATAGGCTAATTCTGTGAGCTTTTGTGTCACGAGGTTCGCTGTTGAATTTTGCAAGTTATTCGCCAACTTGGATTTATGTAGCTGCGCTTCGAAACTTTGTGTAGTTTCAACCGCAAATTCAGATAATCTTGCATCCTCTTGTGTGGGAACAAGATTCTCCGATCCATTGTCAAGACGTAGAACATAATTGTGCGATGCTAGGTAATCTTCCACACTGCAGTTGACGAGATTGCGCAACTTGAGGTTGAGGTACATGTGATACTTGATAAAAGTTTTAACCAACTTTTTCGACATGTTGTACGCCGCAATGTGGAAGGCAGTGTTACCCTCATTATCCTGATGATTGAGGAACTTAGAGATCAACTCTTTCTTGTCATTAGAGTTCCCGTTTTGGTTCCCTTGCAGTAATTGAAACTCTGGAAACTCAACGATCTTGGAAAATAACACCTCCATATAGTATTTTGCAAATCTCTCTTTCTGTGTGTCCTGCTCAGCTGTCGTAGAAGGCAAATCCCTCTTACTTGTTTTACATGCAAGGGCAATATGATGCAAGACTGTACGACCATAATTATCAACAGAAAGCACAGAATCGAATAAAAGATCCAAGATTGTTGGGAAGTTGTTCAACTGATAGCTGTTGTTGAACTTAGTCATAAACATCAACGGCGTTTCACCGTGATAGTTTTTAGCCTCACTGTCAATGAAGTTTGAAAAGATAGAGAGAAGAAACTCAACCATAGCGACGTTTGCCATCGAGCATGCCCAGTGGAAAATCGTGTTGCCTTCATTGTCAATGGGTTGACTAATATTGATTTTACTCAACGGCTGGGGAGGGTTGAGGATCCTCTCTGGCAAATCTAGTGTGCTATTTCTGTCCTTATGTTCTCCGTCAGCATCCAGGCTGTCGTCCTCCAAGAAGAAATTGAGCAAAGTATTGAAATAGTCCACAGATTCTTGATCGCCACGAATATGACTCGAGTTGACCTGCGCAGAATACTGGTTCTGATGGTGAAATGGCGCAAGCCCATAGGTATCTCCAGAGATACTGCCATTGAGACTGAGCATTTTCGGAATATTATGCATATTCATATTCTTGGAGTTCCGACTGTGCATTTGAACAATCTTGTCAAAAGAATCTCGTGATGCCGCCATGGAGTCCCGGGAACCAAATAGTTCTCTCCCTGTCATGAGCTCATCTTCATCAGTATCCTTGAGGGCATAGTCTGCACTTCTTTTCTTCCTATTGCGACCTTCATTATTAACATCAACTTTATCGTCATCATCGTCGCTAGCTTCCGGTTCCAAATCTTCGTTCTTGAGATTTAGATTGTTAGCCATAAACTGAATTGCATCCTTCTCGGTATCCTGCCTCATAAGAGGCGGAAGTTGCATCTGGGAGAACAGTCCAAAAGACAGTTCCTGCCTGGCGCCAAATGTGCCCATACTAGGTCCTTTGCTGTCTATGGGGGTAGTTTGGCTTTGGCGCAAATCCGGTTTTCCTCTTCCTGTTAACGCTACTCTTTTGGGTCTCCCTCTTTTTTTAGGCACTTCTGTTCCTTCACTTGCGGAAGGTTTCATCCGTTTTGATGTCTGTTCGTCCTCCTCAAAACTTTGCTCGAGCCGCTGCTGCTTCTGTTGTTGCAAATATTGTCTTCTCGATACATTGGATGCAGATGCATGACTGTGTTTGGGCGCAGGTGGAGGAGTCGCTGACTTCCCTTCCACATACTGGAACTCAAAGATTGGCCGCAACTCTTCAAAAATGCCAAACGACTTGGCTATTTCCGCTCCCAAATCTAGCGGCACATACGTTCCCTGGTACTTTCCGTAGCCGCCTTGGACCTTTTCGTGGATTCCTGTCTGGACATCCTTTTCTAATATTCTGGTTCGCTTGGCCTTGGGAAACTTGGCAATCTTCAAAATGTGCGTTGCATTGATCCACGAATCAGACTTGCGGCGCATTATGGGGCCCTCTTTAGTGACGAACTCGAACACGGGCACATTGGAGTATGTGGCCGAATATATCTGGTTCGGATTGGCACTCATAGGACAAGCGTAGGATGACGGCTTTTTTGGCGATGCGCAAGAATTCGTTCGTGCGGGTTAAGTGTCGGATTGATAAGGATGGAATGGGAAAAAAAGCAACGACTAGTCAATGATGCTTGAGATTCGCCTAACCAGACTTTTGCGGCGCTCTTGTATTGTAGTAATGTTTATCCTCACTTAGAGGCAGAATGCGAGCGTAGTATTCGCAGTGTGGGCGGCGCACGTGACCACACAGTGAGACATGGATGAGTACGAGTGACTTGAAAACTACACAAACATGACTTGTCAATGTTTCTAATCATAAAACAAAATGTGGCGTCCTCTCATCCAAAGAAGACCACGAAAAACCTATATAGTACAATGATGCCGACGACGAAAAGCGCGGATATTAGGTAGAAGAGGTATTGTGGAATGCTTTGCATGGAGAGACTCTCGTTCTGGTCGCTTGTCAAGGGAATACTCACCACGTGCTCTGCGGCCTGAAAGCACACGTCTCTGCGGCGGATGATTTGGCACTCGGCTTCGTCAATGTCTCTTTTGAGAATGGCTTTCCCCAAAAGAATGTTTGTGTACTGCTGCAAGGACGGATTGACGGTTGAAAGCACCATTTCGAGAAGCTTCTCTTCTCTTTGGAGCCCGCTGGTAATGGAGTCTAGTTTGGTGAGCTGTTTGATGGCTGTCAGGTCGAATTCAGTGATGGCCCCAACCTCGTCGGCAATGGTAGTGAGGCCAAATAAGAAAATGGCCCCCGAAATCAGCTTTTGGATGATCTGTGTATGGTTCAAAAGACAAGGTATGAGGAGCTTCTTCAAGTTGTCGAACGACAGGAAAAACACATCGACACATGTGAGATTCTTGTAAATGATGTCAAACGACTCGTTACAGCTCTTGAGAATCAACATGGCAAGTGGCTTCACCAGCTTCTCGTAATGCTTGTCTTCCCATCCTCCTGCGGCCGCATGCAAGTCCTTGCCGAAGATCTGGTTTAAATCCTCCTCCAACCGAGTGAGGTTCGCTCTGGTCTTATTGGTCATCACAGTCACGTCATCGTAATTGGGGATTTTGGATAGAAGCGTGCTGTATATCGTGACAACGTCGCAGTAGAGATGAATGATGTTTTTGATGCTGACAAGATAGTTGTAGGTGGTGGAATTTAGGCATTGCTTTGCCATATGGGGATGAGCTCGGAAAATGGCCTCTTCTTCTTCCGTCAACGACCTCCCGTTCATAACGATCGTTCGATCTCCTATTAGGTAAGTCATGGTGATATGCAAGGGTTTTTTCTTTCTAAACTCGAGAGCAACGCTATGTTGGCCGGTTGTACTCGGAGATTTCTGGTGAACGTTACGACTTTTTGTTCCTGTGCACTACTGCTGATGGGTGCGAAGGCGTATCAAGAAAATATTCCGCTCCAGCCACTGAAGAAGAAAGTAATGCAAATGTGGCTAGCCGGCGGAATGGCCTTGCCCTGACTCCCATTTAACCGTAAGCGGCAACACCAACCCCTCGCTTCGCATGTTCCAAGCTTTATTTTTGTTTCTTCGCTGATTAATTGTCTAGCTTATTTTTTTGATGTCTCGTTTCTTTTTTTCTCTGTTCTATGCGTCTCGGCAGATCAACCGAATGCTCACCCCAAACCGTTGCTGTCCTTTGGGGCAAGGGAAAAAGCAGCAGAAATTAAGCTTCGCGCCCAATTGTCTCACTTTTCTTAAATCTGTGATTCTGCTTATTTGTGGGCTAAAATTTCCGTGCATAGGACATGTTCTAGAATTTGGGGGCGCCGACTCGCTTGTTTTCCGCACGTGACCGTATCTTGGATATCATTATACTTTTAGGGGCGTCACATTTGTTTCACAACACTAACGGCATGGGTTTCCTCAACTTGTTCCAGCTGAAGCTGTTCGATCCAGACCAGTTCGAAAAGGAACTCAGCTCAATTGCCCAGGATATTTCCCGAACACGCAATAAAATCACCATCTTGGGCAGACGCCGTCATACAGCAAGCCGGAGCTTTATTTCGTACACCATCATCATTTATGTGGCATGGATAATGTATCGGTACAATGTGGCACTAAGGAATTTGGGTATTCTATCCAAGGGCCAGAGCCGACTCAACTGTTTCTTAAATGGCCAACTGTCTGGAGATTTGGTGAAGATATTTGTGCTTCCCATTGTGATTGCTGCGGTTAATTTTTTGATCAATTCCTTCTACCGTTATTTGATTTCGGGCCAGCGCAAGCGCTTGGACTCCATGGTGAAAAAGCATAAGGCGAAAATCGAAGAATTGAAGAAATTGTCCAACTACAATACAACTAATCTGCTTTTGGAGAAGTATGGAGATAAGCCTTCAAGGAAGGCACTGGGTAATCCTGGTAACTCGCCAAAGTCAAATAAGCGTCCACGCAAACCACCGCAGAAAAAGAAGCCTGGTAACGGTCTTCCGCCAACAGCCAATATCCCAAAGGCAAATCCGCTTACAGTCACACCGCCCCCTTCAATTAGACCCCCTCCTTCGCCTGCTGCACCTGTTTCTAAATCTTTCCAGGACAGGATTCTTGATTACATCATCGGGTCTGACCACAATGAAAATATCGAATCCCGCTATGCATTAATATGTGCCAATTGCTATACTCACAATGGATTGGCTCCTCCCGGAAGCACAGATCCCTTTTCCACGACGTATATCTGCAGAAACTGCGGGTTTATCAACGGGCAATTACTGGAAGGGTCTCCTCTATATGGGCAAGCGTCGAGGAATGATGATGCCCCTGAAGTTAAGAAACAAAAAATAGAGTCTAGCACTTTGTCCACAGAACAAAAACCAGACGAGGAGCCAAAAGAGCATATAAGTGAAAGCATCCTGAGAGCAAATCTGCGTGAGCTGATGTCAGGCGCTAACAACATAGAAGGCTCCCTCAGCTAACATACTACAAGCTTTATAGATAAGTATACCTTAATTATAATTTCATAAGAGAAGCGACATACTTAGGACAAGTCCATGATGGCGTTGACCATGTCACCCTTGTGCTTTCTCAAAGCAGAGACAGCCTTGGCTCTGGAAACTTGGGTTTGCTCAACAATGATGTCAATGTCGTTGCTGTCCAAACCAGACTCGTCAACCTCACCTTCTTCCTCTTCCTCCTCTTCCTTCTTCTCGTTCAAAGAAGCCTTTTGAAGGTCGGCAGTGATGGCCTCTGGGCTCTTGTCGACAGTTTCCTGTTCAGTAGAGGCAGCTTCAGCACCGCTTTGTTGAGCAGCCTGGGCCTCAGCCAATCTTTGGTTCAAGTCATCGACCTTAGCCTCACCGAAAACAACGTAAGTACCGGCAGCAGATCTGTAGACGTCAGGTTGGTCAATGGCGTAGAGAATGTTACCTCTTTGCTTGAAAGTGACTCTGGAGATGCCCTTGATTTGCTTCAAGTTCAACTTCTTGATCAATTCTCTGGCCTTCTTCTCGTTCTTGGAGATGATGTTAACTTCGGCACCTTGGGGGATTTCTTCAACAGACATTTTTGCGTGGATTTACTTTAATGGAGAATGAAAAAATGGACGTCGAAAATTTCGTCCAGTGGAGGTCGCGCGGTGACTGGATCCTGCATCTTGAGAAAATATGGTCCTCTAAGCTCTGAGGTGTCCGGGTGTTATCCCAGATTGCCGCTTGCATCCAGGGCCACATGAGAAAAAACGCATCTTTATCCTGAGCGCGTTAGTTTAGGCCTTTGGGCAAAAGAAAAAAAGGGCCTGCGCATCAGTTCCGGATATTGGACAAAGATGGTTTATTTCCGGTCGCGCATCAAAGCCCGCTTCCGACGACCCCGGTGGCCGACAATGTCGTAACCTTACACCATAACAGCAACGTAGCAATTTCCCAAGGCTATAGACGAATGTTCGAAATTGATTGTAAAAATGGGAAAGGAATTAAAAAAAAAGAAAAGAAATTGATCAACGGCACGATTGGGCCTGAAGGCACAAAGTATGCGCGACGACACTGATTCCGTCATACATCCGAGCCGCCCTCAGATACCCTGCAACACATCCTCAATTTTTTTCTCTCGTTCTTCTTTTGGTACGGACAATAACAGAGATATCCATAGCAGTCATTTGGGACAATACCGTTTGAAAACCCCCATCTGGTGTCGAAAACATACCCATTTCACCAGATTGCAGACCAGAGTCCTTGATTTGCTACAAGAAAAGGGCACATTACTTGTCTCTCTTTGGATCACTGGGTTTGCGAGATGAGAGAAGAATCGGAGTCCAAAGGCTCCGCCTCCTCGGCAGATGGCAACTTCAAGGAGGAGCGCTTGGACGGTTCGTTGAAAGGATCTCCTTCGCCCGTCCAAAAGACGTATACCGTGGACGACTTACGGGCTGCCCAACCTCCGACTTTCAAAACGAAGATGCAAGCGTACTTCTTCCGCAAGGGCTTGGCAGACCGACCAGAATACTTGCAGGAGATTTATTCGAACATGGCTCGAAAGATTTATGTGAATCAACCTCCTCCTCCGCAGATGTTAGACGAAGAGGGAAAACCCATTCTTAATTATCCGAGAAACAAAATCAGAACCACAAAGTACACACCTTTGTCTTTTGTGCCCAAGAATCTTCTTTTCCAATTCAGAAACGTTGCCAACACCTACTTTTTGATCTTGGTTATCCTTGGTGCTTTCCAAGTTTTTGGTGTGGCCAGTCCTGGTTTGGCAGCAGTTCCCTTGATTGTCATTGTATGTATCACAGCCATCAAGGACGCATTCGAAGATTACAAGAGAGGCACCAGTGACTCGGAGCTAAACAACTGCCCCATTCATCTTCTTGAAGGTGTACATAATTATAATGTCGAGAGTGACTTTGTTGGTCCTTGGAGACGCTTTAAGAAGATGTGTACTAGAGGTCTCAAGCGTACCAATAGGTTCTTCAAGAAGGCTTTTATTTCTATGTTTGGTTCCAAGACATCCAAGACCGAGTTTGCTCGTAAGCAAGCTGCTCAAAGAAATGAAGCATTGCACAGGGTATCCACTGTCGAATCTGAGTATTCCTTCCACACGCGTCCCTCGATGACATCCAAGCGCAGTAGAAAATCTCATCAACTGCAGAGATACCGGGCGCCAACGAAACGTCATCCAAACACGCTCCTCAATCCTGAGGTCCAGAAAGCCAATCTCCTGAATCCAGAGGCAAAGAGTCCTTGCTTCAAAAATCGTAAATGGAAGGATATCAGTGTTGGTGATTTTATCCGTGTGAGAGCGAACGAGGAGATTCCTGCTGATATTGTCATTATTTCATGTTCTGACATTGAAGGAAATTGTTATGTCGAAACGAAAAACTTGGATGGCGAAACTAACTTGAAAACGAAGTCTTCTCTCCACTGCGCTGGTACCAGTGACTTGAAACATTCTGTTGATGTGGGCAACACGAAATTCTGGATTGAGTGCGATGCTCCTAATCCCCATTTGTACTCCTTTAGAGGAACCATCCATTACGAGAATTATGACGAGCAAGGACAATTGGTTAATCCGGATGAAAGGGAAGCTATCACCAATGACAATGTCTTGTTAAGAGGATGCACATTAAGAAACACTAAGTGGGTTATTGGTGTTGTCGTTTACACCGGTACTGAAACAAAGATTGTTCTCAATAGTGGTATTACCCCCGAGAAGGTTTCCAAGATCTCCAGGGAATTGAACTTGTCTGTGATTATCAACTTCGTTTTGTTATTTATTTTGTGTTTCATCTCAGGTCTCATCAACGGTCTATTTTATGATAAACACAATACGTCAAGAGTTTATTTTGAATTCGCAGCATACTCTTCTACGTCAGCAGGTAATGGTGTTTTATCGTTCTTTGTTGCGTTGATCATTTATCAATCTTTGGTCCCCATTTCGTTGTACATTTCGATTGAAATTATCAAGACGGCACAGGCCTTCTTCATCTATTCAGATGTGAAGATGTATTACGAGAGGCTTGACTTCCCCTGTATGCCGAAGTCGTGGAGTATTTCCGACGACTTGGGCCAGATTGAGTATATTTTCAGTGACAAGACAGGAACGTTGACTCAGAATGTTATGGAGTTCAAAAAATGTACAATCAATGGAACTTCTTATGGGTTGGCTTATACTGAAGCTAAGCAAGGTATGGACAAAAGGCAAGGTATTGATATTGTCAAAGAATCCGAAAGATGGAATGAAGCCATTAAAAAGGATAAAGCAGATATGGTTGACAATTTGACCAATTATGTCACAAACGATCAGTTCAGGGAGGATGCTCTCACCTTTGTCTCCAACAAATATGTTGAAGATACTGTTTTGCCGCACACACGCAATGCTGAGCAGAAGAAGGCAAATGAAGATTTTATGCTTGCCTTGGCGTTATGTCACACGGTCGTCACCGAAGAAAACCCAACTGATCATGGCTTGAATGATTTTAAGGCGGAGTCGCCAGATGAAGCTGCATTAGTTGCCGTGGCGAGAGATTTGGGTTTTGTGTTTAGGGAGAGATTGAGAAAAACTCTTGTGTTGGACATATATGGTCAACGTAAAGAGTACCAATGGCTCTACACGATTCCATTTACATCTGCAAGAAAGAGAATGTCATGCATCTTAAAAACTCCAGAAGGAAAGGTTTTGCTCATTACTAAAGGTGCAGATAATGTCATTTATGAAAGATTGGCGTCAGGTACTTCGGACGAAATTTTGAAAAAGACGGCCTTGCATCTTGAAGATTTCGCCAAGGAGGGTTTGAGAACACTCTGTATTGCGCAAAAGGAAATCGACGAGAAGGAGTTCGATGAATGGCACGAAAGAGCTAAAGAAGCAAATGCCGTTATTGACGATTCAAGAGATGCGTTAATCGAAGATCTTAACAACGAAATGGAACGCGGTTTGACATTGCTTGGTGGAACTGCTATCGAAGATAGACTTCAGCAAGGTGTTCCAGACTCGATTTCTATTTTGAGTGACGCCGGTATTAAATTGTGGGTTTTGACAGGTGATAGAATCGAAACTGCCATCAATATCGGATTCTCGTGCAATTTATTGGGCAATGACATGAAATTACTTGTCGTGCGGCCCGATGAAAATGACCCAAGTAATAGTCAATTCGTGGATGATCTTTTGGATGAGTACTTGAATGAGAACTTTAACATCAGAACGAATACCGAAGAGGACATTCAGCAAGCGCTTACTGCAGCTAGGGCTGACCACTCAGTTCCAATGTCTAACACTGCGTTGATTATCGATGGAGCAGCTTTGAATATCGTTTTCGGTGACAACCCATCTTTGCGTCAAAAGTTTTTGCTCTTGGGCAAGCAGTGTAATTCTGTTATTTGTTGTCGTGTCTCCCCAGCACAAAAGGCGCAGGTTGTGCGTGTGGTGAAAGAGAACCTTGGAGTCATGACTTTGGCTATCGGAGATGGGGCAAATGACGTCGCCATGATTCAAGCAGCTAATGTTGGTGTGGGTATTGCTGGTGAAGAAGGTAGACAAGCCGTCATGTCTTCTGATTACGCTGTTGGTCAATTCCGTTACTTAACTCGTTTACTTTTGGTCCATGGAAGATGGTCTTACAAGAGATTGGCGGAAATGGTTCCATGTTTCTTTTACAAAAACGTGTTATTCACAATGACCTGTTTCTGGTATGGAATTTACAATGACTTTGATGGATCTTATCTCTTTGAGTACACTTTCTTGATGTTTTACAACTTGGCATTCACTTCGCTTCCTGTCATCATCCTTGCTGTTTTTGACCAAGACGTTTCAGATACCATTTCTTTGATTGTTCCTCAATTGTACAGATCTGGTATTTTGGGCCTTGAGTGGTCGCAATTTAAGTTCGTGTGGTACATGTTCGATGGTGTTTATGAGTCGGTTATTGCTTTCTTCTTCCCTTACTTAATCTACTACCGCTCTTTCCAAAACCACGAAGGCTTGCCAGTTGACCATCGGTTCTGGATGGGTGTCTTGGTTTGTGCTATCAGTGTTACAGCATGTAACACATATGTGTTGTTGCAACAATACAGATGGGATTGGTTGACTCTTTTGATTAACGCTTTATCGACATTGGTTGTGTTTTTCTGGACAGGTGTTTGGTCTGTGAGAGCATGGGTTGGCGAATTCTACAAAGCTGGCGCCCAACTTTTAGGAACTTTGACTTTCTGGTGTTGTTTCTTCGTCAGTGTTGTTGCATGTGTTTTGCCACGTTTCTGTCATGACTTTTTGAAAAGAAGTTTTGCTCCCAAGGACATTGATATCATCCGGGAACAAGTTAGAGAAGGCTATTATAAGGACTATCCAGATGGCTACGACCCTACTGACGTCAAAGACATTGAAAGACACAGGATCCTTCAAAGACTCAATGAAGGCGATACAGAGTTGTTGGAGAAGGTTGAACACGTCGTCGAAGCCAATGCTCATGAGAGTCCTAGCCCCGACAAGGACAGAAAGATTTCGAGAGCTTTCAAATCCATCAAAAGACACGCCACGCTTTCTAGATCGAGACGTGGAACCAAGGCTGATAAATCCAGATACAATCAACAGCTTCTCAACAATCCTATTGACTTGCATGAGTTGAGACTAGAAATGATCAGAAAAGGGAGAGTACAATACTGGTGCTAGGAACTCTCTTGACCGGATTACAACATCGAAGGGTCTTCCCGGATTAACTCAAGCCGAGAGTTTAATGGCTATTCACACACGAAACAGCATCCAATTCGAACGCTAAAAGACTTCATGTCTATGTCATCATTTTATATTCTTTCATTATTTTGTGTTATATCTGTTTTTTGAACTTCGCACGTAGTGTATCTCACAAGCGATACAGGTGTATCAACAATTTCAAAATCTCTGCGTAAGAAGTAACGGATCCATAAAATGTTCACGTTCACTTTATTGACCCTGGGAGAGTCTGACCCCTCTTTCAAGGCGTCTCTAATGAACTTTGATAATGAGATACGAATTCTTGCCGATCCAGGTTGGAATGGTGAAAACCCCGATGACTGTCTTTTTATGGAAAAGCATTTGAGCGACGTTGACCTTTTACTTTTATCGCAATCCACTCCGGAATTCATTGGTGGGTATATACTTCTTTGTATGAAGTTTCCAAGCTTGATGTCAGCTATCCCCGTTTATACGACAGTCGCCATAAGTCAACTAGGAAGAGTTTCGACTGTTGAGTTTTATAGATCCCGTGGGCACTTGGGACCATTACAATCTGCATTCATGGAGGTAAGCGACGTGGATGAGTGGTTTGACAAGATGACGCTGGTGAAGTATTTCCAGAACATGACAGCTCTCGAGAATAGAATTCTTCTTACAGCATATAATTCCGGCCATACTCTCGGTGGCTCGTTTTGGTTGATTACCAAACGGCTAGAAAAAATTATTTACGCCCCAACATGGAATCACTCTAAAGACTCTTTTCTAAACAGCGCTAGTTTCCTTTCGCCAACCACAGGAAGTCCCATTTCGTCGCTAGTTAGACCAAGTGCTATCATCACTAGTACTGAATTGGGTTCGAATATGTCACACAAGAAAAGAATGGAGAAGTTCCTACAATTAGTGGATGCCACGCTTGCAAATGGAGGCGCTGTTCTTCTTCCCACCACTATTTCTGGCCGGTTTCTAGAGCTTTTACGCATCATTGATGAGCATTTAGCAAATTTGCAAGGAGCTGCTATACCCGTTTACTTTTTGTCATACTCTGGGACGAAAGTATTAAGTTATGCAGCAAACCTCCTTGACTGGATGTCATCTCAATTGATTAAAGAATATGAGGGTATCGCTGCCGAAGATAGAGCTTACAGTAGGGTTCCATTTGAGCCATCCAAGGTTGACCTTCTTCTGAATCCACAAGAACTCATTCAACTTCCGGGTCCAAAGATTGTATTCGCGTCCGGTATAGATTTTAAAGACGGAGACATGTCTACTCAAGCATTGCAGCTTCTATGTCAAGATGAGAAAACAACAATCATTCTAACTGAAAAATCGTCTTTTGCAAGAGATAATACATGTACAACCGACCTTTTTCAAGAATGGTATACTCTTGCAAGTGCGAAGAACAACGGAGTGGCTGAGGATGGAGTTCCTGTTCCGTTAGAAAAGGCTATTCCTCTTACATCATGGACTAGAGAAGAAGAGCTCAAAGATGTAGAGCTCCAAAGGTTCAAAGAAAAGGTGGCGCAGGCTAGAAGACAGAAACTTCTTAATAAAGTCAGGGACAAGAAGAACAAAAACATTTTAAATGCGGACTTGAATTCTGATGATTCATCTTCTGATGAAGACGAAATATCAACTGATGAGGAAGAGAAAGGAATCGAAGCTAATGTTATCTCTTCCACGACAGCTAATGGTCAAGCCGATGCCACTTCCGTTCTTAATTCGCATGAGGTTTTCGTGACTGACTATGTCACTGAGAACCTTGAAGCTAATAAGCCCGTGGACACACGCGTATCTTATAAGCTAAAACCACGTCAAGCAATGTTTCCTTTCTTTCCATCCAGTAAGAAAAGAAAGCACGACGACTATGGTGAGGTAATCGACCCCAAAGACTTCCAAAGGTCTGACGAGAATAGTGCAAATAATAAGCTCATCATTGAAAGTAAGAAAAACTTCGAGCTCAATGATAAGGGAAAGTGGGGTGAAGCTGATTCTTATGAGAGAGGAAGAAGGAACTTCAAGCGTGGCCGTGATGGCCAGAATAACAATGCCAATAAGTTGACTCCCCAAGAAATCTTGAATAACCAACTTCTCCAAAAAACACTTGACACTCTTTTCCGTCCTGTAAAGAGGGTGCCTATTGGACCTGCGTCCGTAATGGCCGCTCGCTCTGTCGAGTTGAAGGTGCGGTGCGGATTATCATTTGTTGACCTTGCTGGCTTAGTCGACTTACGCTCATTGAGCATGATTTTATCAGCCTTACGCCCTCAAAATTTAATAATGCTTCCGGATGCTACCTACAATCCACAATTCAAGGAGGAATTGGATGGATTGGTTCTTGTTAACAATGCGTTCCACAAACAATTAGAGAACCATAAAAGCAAAGCCTTTTCAGATTCCATAAACACAAGCTCAAACTTTGATTTACTCGCCTTGGCCAGAAGAGGGATAAGCAAAGGCGTGTCTAGTGAGATGGCATTATTTGTGGCAAAAGGAAACGAAACTCTACAGATAGGTACAAAGGGCCACGGTACTTTGAGTGAATTTGAGGTGAAGCTAGATGAGCAGTTAGATGCTTCTCTTGTATGGCAGAAGATTGATGGTGGCTACAAAGTATCTCAAATCCAAGGTGAGTTGGAAATTTATCAACCAGAAGGGGTTCAAAATGACTCTGTCGATAAGATCATCAATTCCGCTACTCAATTTGTGTTGAAGCCCGTTCTGAATCCAGTTTTTGAGCTGCTCAAGAACGCAAACACTGAAGATTCTTTGCAGGGATCTCGTGGAGATTTTGGGCCTGCATTGGCAATTGGTGATATCAGGCTTACAGAATTAAAAAAGAAATTGTTGAGTCGTGATTTGAACGCCGAGTTCAAAAGTGAAGGTACTTTGGTTGTCAACAACGCAATTGCCATTAAGAAGATCTCTGTGGATAACTATCAAGGTGATGATACAGGGGACATTGCCATTGAAGGACAAATTGGTCCTTTATACTATGAGGTTAAAAACTGCATTAGAGAAATGCTCGCGTATGTATAAATGTCAAAACCGCATAAGAACCAAAATGTACTAGTAGTGTATTTACCGATTTACTCGAACCAATGGAAAACCTCAGTTTTGGTCTTACGGAAGCGTCAGAAACCAGATCGTACCAATAGTTCAAGATGCAACCATATTCCAGATCCGGTGGTACCAGAAAATGCTTCTATGAATTCCAGACGCTTGTTGCATGCTACACTTCGGCAGACACTGTCAGCAAAAAGGAGTGCACTCCAGCTTTCGATGACTACTTCGAATGTTTGCATGGCTTCAAGGAACGTGAAAAGGCTAGATTGATGTTGCAGCAATTGAAGGCAAACGAAGCTTCCGGCGAAGGCGTCAAAGCGACTGATTTGTATAAGTCTGCTGGTGGTGTTTACGAAAACTTGAACCTCGTTTCAAAATGATGATTCTGGCCCTTTGGATCTAGCTGAATGAATCCTTCAGCAATGATACGGATGAGGTCGGAGTTGGCTATTCCATTAATGCATTTATATATTTGAATGTACAGTTTATTGCATGGTAAAAATGACGAAAAACTTTTATCTGGATTTTGAGTCCTTGCTATTTTTCATCAAGCTTCTAGAGCCGTCTTTAATCATCGGACAAAAGTGCTTGTCAAGCAAGACGTTCTCCCATAACACGGCGGAAGAGATATTACTTCTTTCCATATCTACCTCGAAATCTTCCTTCTCAATTCCCAAGATGTAGTTTCCCTCACCGGTAATTCTATCCTCTGTGCTCCACAATCCTTTCAAGCCCTCGCCATATCTTGCAAGAAGCTTACCAATGAACTTCAAGGTAGCAATTGTAGTTTTCTCTGGTGTCTGCAATGATGAAATGTATAGTCTCTTGATAAATGGTAAAGCTCTGGCTAAACTACCTGTGCGAGAACGGAAGAAAATAAAGTCAAGACTTTTCAATAACAACTCGGCTTTGGTTGACACATTAACCGCTGGTTTGTACGTGGCATTTGTTCCGTCAAGTGGATCAGCTAGCCTCAAGGACTTGTGTGAAAATTCCAAATCTGCATCAAGACAAACGTCCGCAATAATCTGATACAATGTCGATACGAAATTCGAGAAATCGACAGAAATCGGTAATCTACCTACCTCCCTGTGGTTTGTAACCAATGCAAAGGCGGCGACAATACAGAGAAGAACTTTTCTGATTTCTTCCGAGGTGTAAATACCTCCAGACTCAAATTCATTATCGGCAATCCCAAATTTGTTGCTCTCTAATGAGTGCTCTTCAACAATGTTGGCCATAGTTTCTTTCAAAACCACAAGGAAGTCTCCTAATAAGTCAAAGTTTGCCATTTGCCCGAATCGAGACAAACCTTCTAAAACTGCAGCCATCAAGTTGTTTGCATCATTTTTTTCATCGGCTGAGTATGAACCAGCCTTCAAAATCTCAAGATAGAAAGTCAATAACAATTTCAAAGTTTGCGCTTGGAATTTTTCTCTTTCTTCTGCGGTAATGGCTTGTTCAGCTTTCGCCATTTCTTGTTCGATTTCTTTCAACTCCTTTCTTTGTTTCCTTTGTTTCTTTGACAAATGAACTCTGTTCTTCTTCTTCATCTTTTGCACTGGTTCCAAGTCCTTCGTTCCATTTGGATCGTAATCATCTAACAAAGATAAACTCAAAAGAACATTGACCACGGCTTCATCAACTCTAAAGTTTTTGTCTTTTATAACTTTGCACATGATCCTGGTGATATCAAAGGATATGCTTCCATGATCTTTGTCTTCCTTAAGAAGACTCTCTAAAGTTCGAATGCATGAGAAAAACAATTGCAAATCAGTTTCGTCTTGAGGCTTTTTATTGAGGCGGCGAATTGGGATAGTGAACAACTCTGCTCTAAAATTGAAATGCCTCAAGGACGATAAACAAAGTTCACATGCTGCCTTAGTAGCCACCTGTCCTTGTTTCACTTGAGAAGCTGTGATTTTCTTGCTGCTTTTGGATGCCAGTGCCAGAACCCTAGCTAGTTTGGTGAGTAATTCAATGTAATGTTGATAATTCAAAACTAGGCCTTGTTCAAACCCTCTTAAACGGGCAATGTCTTTTCCGACTCTTTCCTTTTTTTCTGTTTCTGTCAAAGGTCTGATTTTATAAGCCGGTGCTAAAGATTTGAAGACAGGGACGAGTGCCAAGATTGCCAATTGGCTACTGGCGAAATCATCAGATTCTGCTAACCTTCTCAACTTAGTAAGGCAAGAAATATTTTCTTCGGGGTCTTCGATAAGTCTTGATGCATAGTCAGCAATTTGTTCCTTGATCTTCACAAGCTTCTCTTGAGGAGACAAATTCGCATCTTCATCCTGCTCTGTTTTAGCTTCCGTGTCGTCCTCCTTCGTTCCTTCACTTTTTGGGGCGGATTCTTTATTTTCACTTTCCAGGTCCTCCTTACTTTCTTTCTCTATCACATCTCTCAATACTCTTTTAACAACACCATCTTTTTTGATAGGTAACCCCTCGACCTTATTTTCCGACTTCAAATTACGTGGGACTAGTTCGTAATCTTGTTCCTCATTTTCCCACAGATCCTCACCGACAGTCTTCTTCGAAAACAAACCTGATGCGAGTTGGGCGTCCAGTTCTTCCCTTAATCTTTTTTGGCGCTTCTCCACGGCATTTGACTTTCTTTTGGCCATGTTTCAGTATTTGAGTCTCAGTCAAATTGGTGTTGACCACAAGGCCATCTCATCGAGCATCTCACGTATTTTTAGTCACGTGCAATAGGGTCCAAGAGAAGGAAACCACGATGTTAATACTTCTCATCAGTAAAACAATTTCAGCTCATTATCGGCTTAAAATCGTGATGTGGGCGAACATATTACTACAGAGAAGTGAATCTGCCCCTATTTCTCGTTGTTGCTACCATTTTTGTTAATATGACCGAAATTGAACCATACAAAAAACTTCTATACGAGAAAGTAATCAAAATGCGCGTACATAACTTGATGCTTTTGTAGGCCCGAACATGACACTTAATGACCTGGTGTAATTTATACTTTCCTGTAGTGTGGGTCATGCAACCGATATATGTGACAAATGATTTGCAAGCTCGTTTAGAACGGTTTGCGACCCTGGTTTCGTCGCCCTGGTATAATCGTAAGTTGTCGGCAGACACGGCAGAAAAAAAAAAACCGAGCCGCGCTCGTATAAATATTTCGCAATCTCCTCCCGATAACCTAAGCATACACATTCTTTTTAGCCTCGCAGTTACTTGACAATATGAGTCTTAACCTGAGCTCTCCTATAGTGGACGCAGTCTCGAGTAAGGCCTTGGAGACATCGTCCATTGTGGCACGAATTGCCGAAACTTGGCATTCTCTTTCCTGGCTTCAAATTTTCATAACTTTTGTTATTGGTGTCTTATCCTATGATCAAATTCTGTACCAGATTAAAAAAGGGTCCATTGCAGGTCCAAGGTTCAAAGTCTGGCCAATCATTGGTCCATTCTTGGAAAGTTTGGATCCAAAGTTTGAGGAATACAAAGCAAAATGGGATTCTGGTCCATTGTCTTGTGTTTCTATTTTCCACAAGTTCGTCGTCATCGCTTCAACCAGGGAACTTGCGAGAAAAATTTTATCTTCTCCAAAGTATGTCAAGCCATGTGTTGTTGACGTCGCGGTGAAAATCTTAAGACCCACCAACTGGGTGTTTTTGGATGGAAAAGCACACGTTGATTACAGAAAGTCGTTGAATGGCTTGTTTTCTTTGAAGGCCTTGGAAATTTACATTCCTGTGCTTGAAACATACATGGACAAATACCTTGACAAGTTTGTAACTTATGATGCTCCTAGAAAGTTCTTCCCCGAATTCAGAGAGTTGTTGTGTGCATTGTCTCTCAGAACCTTCTGTGGAGATTACATTACGGAGGACCAAATCAAGGAAATTGCGGACAATTATTTCAGAATTACTGCTGCATTGGAGTTGGTGAATTTCCCAATCATCATTCCTTACACAAAGACCTGGTATGGCAAGAAGATAGCCGATGAAACAATGAAGGTATTCGAAGACTGTGCAGCTGAAGCTAAGATTCACATCAACGAGAAGAACGGCAAGCCCACATGTGTTATGGATGAGTGGATCTTTTTGATGAAAAAGGCTAGAGAAAGCCATGCAGAAGATCTGGAGTCGAAGTTATTGATTAGAGAATTCTCTAATAAGGAAATTTCAGAGGCCATTTTCACCTTTTTGTTTGCATCTCAAGACGCTTCGTCGTCTTTAGCGTGTTGGTTGTTCCAACTTGTTGCTGACCGTCCAGATGTAGCTGCCAAGGTTAGAGAGGAACAAATGAGAATTAGAAACAATGATCCTCTGGTTCCATTGAGCCTCGATTTGATCAATGAAATGACCTATACTAACCATGTTGTGAAGGAAGCTTTACGTTACAGACCACCTGTCTTGATGGTTCCGTATGTTGTGAAGCAGCCTTTCCCTGTTACCCCAGAGTACACTGCTCCTAAAGGTTCTATGGTTATTCCAACTTTGTATCCAGCCTTACACGATCCTGAAGTTTACCCAGATCCAGACTCTTTCATTCCAGAACGTTGGGAAAATGCCACGGGTGACATGAATAAGCGGAGTTGGTTGGTATTTGGCTCCGGCCCTCACGTTTGTTTGGGCCAACAGTACGTTATGATGTTGTTCACCGGAATGTTGGGCAAGTATTTGATGAATTCTGAAATCAAACATCACGTCACCCCATTATCGGAAGAAATAAAGGTTTTTGCCACTATTTTCCCTAAGGACGATTTAATATTGGAGTGGGAGAAAAGGGACCCGCTTAGTGCAACGTCATAGTTTGTTTATTATACATAGAAATTGAATGTTTTCTGATTTATCGATTTGGATTACACATAAGTATTTAAGCATCATAAGTGGAAGCAGAGATGTTACCACCTCTACCAGTCCAGTTAACGTGGATCCATTGGTCTTTCTTCAAAAAGTCATTCTCTTGGCCTGGCAAGACTTGGAAGGTATGAGCACCAAAGTAGTCTCTTTGAGCTTGCAACAAGTTAGCTGGCAATTGAGCCGATCTGTAACCATCGTAGAAGGACAAAGCAGTAGAGAAAGCAGGAACTGGAACACCGTACTCAACAGCCTTACCGATAGTAGATCTCCAGCCTTGTTGAGCCTTGATAACAGCCTTGTTGAAGAATGGGTGGAACAACAAGTTCTCCAAGTCTGGGTTCTCTCTGTAAGCAGCAGTAATCTCGCCCAAGAAGACAGATCTGATGATACATCCACCTCTCCACATCAAAGCAATGGCTGGGTTGTTCAACTTCCAACCGTACTCCTTAGCAGCCTCTCTGATCAACATGAAACCTTGAGCGTAGGAGATAATCTTAGAAGCGTACAAAGCTTGTTCCAAGTCGTCAACAAACTTCTGCTTGTCCTTGATAGGGGACTCACCTTCAACAGATGGGCCGGTCAACACGGTAGAGGCCTTCACTCTCTCATCCTTGATAGCAGACAAACATCTGGAGAAAACGGCCTCACCAATCAAAGTAACTGGCATACCCAAGTCCAAAGCGTTGATAGCAGTCCACTTACCAGTTCCCTTTTGACCAGCAGTGTCCAAGATCTTTTCAACCAATGGCTTTCCATCAGTAGGGTCATTGAAGTACATGATGTCTCTGGTAATTTCAATCAAGAAAGAGTCCAAAACACCGTTGTTCCACTTCGCGAAAACGTCACCGATTTCCTTGTCAGAGAACTTGCCCACTCTCTTCATCAAATCATAGGCCTCACAAATCAATTGCATGTCACCATACTCGATACCATTGTGGACCATCTTAACGTAATGACCAGCGCCAGCATCACCAACCCAGTCACAACATGGCTCACCATCAGACTTGGCGGCAATGGATTGGAAGATGTCCTTGATGTGTGGCCAAGCATCTGGGTGACCACCTGGCATCAAAGAAGGTCCGTGACGGGCACCCTCTTCACCACCAGAAACACCAGAGCCAACAAAAAGGATTCCCTTCTCCTTCAATTCCTCGTAACGACGGTTAGAGTCTGGGAAGTGGGAGTTACCACCATCAATGATAATATCACCCTTCTCCAAGTGTGGCAATAATTGTTGAATGAAAGCGTCAACTGGCTTACCAGCCTTGACCAAAAGAATGATTCTTCTTGGTCTTTTCAAGTTGGCGACAAGCTCTTCAATAGAATGAGCACCAATGATGGATTTGCCTTTAGCTTCGTTGTTCATGAATTCGTCAACCTTGGAAACAGTTCTGTTGTAAGCAACAACAGTGAAACCCTTGTCAGCAGCGTTCAAGATCAAGTTTTGACCCATAACGGCCAAACCGATTAAACCAATATCACCACTGGCATAGTTAGTAAGATGTTTTTGTAAAATTTGCAATCTACCTTGTGCGCCTCCCATGTCAACGTTTCTTGAAAGTTAGGTCTTGCGAAAGCGAATTGATTTCCCCGCTAACTAATCTGGATTGCCTGAATAAATAAACGTTCCTGACTGCGAGCCATAATCACATGGGCTTCTTTCATACTAAGTTGGGAGGAGCTAGTAAAGTCAAAGACTAGCAATGAATCTGGTCACTTGCTGCTAGCGCGGATTGAATATGATCGTAACATACGTAGGAGCAGACATATTTTAATTAAGCCACAATATTAATTGTACTAGAACAAAAAAGAATTAAAAAAATTACGTGAACGAATTCTGTTGGGGATCGCCGCTTTTTATATACTCCACGCAGGACCAACGTAGAAAGTCTCGAGCGCAACCTGCTTACAACATACACAGACGCATATACAAATACACTTTTAGACGTACCTAGCATACCAGCAACTCAAAACAAGCCTTCCCGTAAGTCATCTTTTGCCATCGTAGTCGGATACGTCGTCACTGGAGAATATGTGTGTCACGTGAGATTGCTATACGCGTAATTTCCAGCCAAAAAACGGTTTGTCAGCACCATTAACATAAAAACGTGTGCTTGCTTAAAATCACTATTACGGCTAAAACCAGGTCTTCCCATGTAGACATTCGTTACTGGAACGATATGTTGCGCTTTTTTTCGTTGACTACCACCTTCATGTTCCATTCCCCTCCCCCACTTTCGGCGGGGTCAACGTAACTCTTTAGTAAATTCCTGTACATGAATGTTCATTATGAAGTCCGACTCGGCGTATTGTGCCTTCTTCTTTCCAGTCTTTACGACTTCAGCTATAAGGCAGCTTCAGCTGGTAATAATAGGACCACAGTGACAAGGTAACTCGAAATTTATAGGATGAATATTTGCTAGTGTATAAGTTGACGCTACTCCATCCACATGTAGTATTTCAATACTAGTGTCCGCTTCTGCAGTTACAACATTGTGCAGGTAGGTCCGAAATGGCCTCAGTCCGGCCCGTCTAGGAGCGGACACATCGGAAACTCCTCTAATCGTTGAGCTTACCAAGTGCGGGCCCTCACGGTGCTATAATTTGGCTTACCTTATACTTCATTATGGGATTAATCCTTGAAATGAATGAGGAATCAAATATTCCGTCGTGGGTGCAATATGCTATGTGAGACGTCATTTTTCTTCTTTGTGTGAATCACCAGTAGAGCACGTTTTGCCGAGTAGTTCGAAATGGTTCACTTGTTTTAACCACTGTTTTTTGAGAAGGTATCTTTTGCCTCTATTTTCATGTGCTAGTCTTGTGGCTACCCCAGCATTTAGTTTTTGTTCTTTTAGCTCTACGTAAAATTACAGACAACCACAGGCTTTACATCTAGCTGTATATAAAGCTTCCGTCCACGGAATTCATCAATCTCATTATAATCTTCATAGCAAGCCCTTTAGGTCATACATACGAGTTGAAACCGTTCATAAGCAAAACTATACACACGAACTTGGCCACAAACTTCTAGTGTATATTATCCTGGAAGTAAAAACAAACGTAAAGCTATGTACATTTTGTTTGTACTCCCGTTCTGGTTGCTTACCTTGAATAAGAGTAAATATGCAGGTCGACTATTCAAGATAAAACTTATCTGAAAGATGCGAAGTCACGTGTAATTGTATGATTAGCACTGTTGGAAATTTGCAATCTAGTTAAATATCAAATTTCTTCTACTCTTAAAACAACTCAATTTTGAAAAAAATGCCAATTCCTGTCCCACATGGTGGTAAATTGAATGACCTTGTTGCGAGAGATTCTGCTATTAAGCAAGATCTCTTAGAGAGTATTCAAAATGAAAAGTTACCATCATTGACCTTGACTGAGAGACAGTTATGTGATTTAGAGTTGATCTTGAACGGTGGTTTTTCTCCATTAGAAGGCTTCCTAAATGAAGAAGATTACAACTCTGTCGTTGAGAACATGAGATTGTCGTCCGTCAAAGGTGATGATGGTAAAGGATTATTGTGGCCCATTCCAATTACCCTCGATGTCCCTGAGGAAACTGCTAGAACTTTCCAGCCTGGTGCTAAGATTGTGTTGGAAGACTTGAGAGATCAGAAGCCTTTAGCTATTTTGACGGTTCAATCTATTTACAAGCCTAATAAGGCCAACGAGGCTGAGAAGGTTTTTAGAGGCGACCCAGAACATCCTGCCGTTAAATACTTGTTTGACACTGCAGGTGATATCTACATTGGAGGCAGCATTCAAGGCTTGAATTACCCTACTCACTATGACTATGTGTCTCTCAGAAAGACTCCTGCGGAATTGAGAGCCGAATTTGAAAGGTTAGGCTGGGATCAACAAAAAATAGTTGCTTTTCAGACCAGAAATCCAATGCATAGAGCACATAGGGAATTGACTGTTAGAGCTGCTCAAGATATCGGCGAAGATGGCCATATTCTAGTCCATCCTGTTGTGGGTTTGACTAAACCTGGTGATATTGACCACCACACAAGAGTTAAGGTTTATCAGCAAATTTTGAAAAAGTACCCTGAAGGATTGGCGACTATCTCTTTATTGCCTCTTGCTATGAGAATGGGAGGAGATCGTGAGGCTTTATGGCATGCTTTGATTAGAATGAATTACGGTGTCGACCACTTTATCGTTGGAAGAGATCACGCTGGACCAGGAAAGAATTCTAAGGGCGTTGATTTCTACGGCCCTTATGATGCACAGGAATTGTTAGCACTGGTTGAGTCCGAATTATCTCCGAAGATTAAAATTGTTCCCTTCAGAATGGTCACATACTTGCCTGATGAAGACAGATACGCTCCAATTGACACTATTGATACCAAGAAGGTTAAGACAGCGAATATCTCTGGAACTGAATTGAGACAGCGCTTGAGAGATGGCACTGAGATTCCTGAATGGTTCTCTTATCCTGAGGTGGTGAAAATCTTGAGGGAATCGAACCCACCTAGATCCCTGCAAGGTTTCGTAATTATTATTGATTCCACTGGAAGTGGTCAAAATGATGACTACCTCGCTTATGCGTTGCAGTCCACATTGAACCAGTTTGCTGGTGGCCGTCGTATCACAAGATTGAACTCTTCGCACAATGATGCATTCTTGATCAATGAATTGGTCAAGGCTGGCTCAGGTGTTATTTATACTGCTAAGGACGATTACGGGGAGATTTTGCTGACCGTTGGAGAGGCAAATTCTGTTGTGATTAAAACAGGAGAGAAAGCAGTTTCTGGAAATACTTTCTCTTTAGAAAAAGCTGGTGATGAGGAGTCTGTTAGGGCTATTTTGGATGCTATTAGCCAATACTTGAAAGAGCAAGGGTTCTATCTTTAGTTGTAAATAGTGTATGAGAAAATGATTGCCTCTACAATTATGAGCTACATATACTTTGGCAAGCCAGTTATGTTATACTTCGGCAATAAGCTTTGTATCTACTTCCTTTTCCACAAATTTAGCCATTTTTTGCACTGTACTTCTTATAAACGATTTATATCAATACTCAGTAGAATATGCTACCAATTCCTAAACCACGCCGAGAAGTCAGCTGTCTATTTGGTAAGAAGCGGGAGGCACACTTCCTGAAAGAAGAACAGTTAATTAAAACTTTGAGATATCTTTCTTTTCGCTTGCTGTACGCCTTGTCTTCCTTTTTCGTTAATGAGAAATGTGCTTGGGTATCCTTCAATAAGTACGTTCGTTTGTAATGGCATTCTTCTTTTTCAATTATTTTCATACTGTGCGATATATCACCAAAACTGTGAACACTCTTTTTTAATTTATCTCCTGAGCCTACCACACTTATTTCAAGATTTTTAAATCTTGGTAGAATGATGATTGTGCAATCATTGCAGTATATTGCTTACTTCTACACATGCTTGTGGAGGATATAATAAGGGCCAAGGTTTTAGACAGGGCCTATATGCAAATCCTGATTCTCAGGGTGCGATGATAAGACAGAAACTACCACAATATTCCTTATGTGGAGACTAATGCTTTTCTTGTTTATCATTGTAATAATAAGTGTTTTGGCAACTACAATCATTGCGTGTGTTGCGTACAGACTCTTTTCAGATGACGGTGACCGGAATGGATACTCTCGTATCGAGGGCGATACATTTCACCCAGCAGATGTTGATCGCGAGTTTTTGAATGATGAGGAGTCATTACTTCATCTAGCGGAAGAATACGACTTCACCACTTTATCACCGGAAGAGCAACAAGCATTTTTGAAGGGTCAAGAATTTACTAAGAACCACCCTCCACGAATCGACCGAACGAGAGGGAAATCATTTTCTAGGGAAGATGAACTAATCATAAAAGATTGCGGGATTAACGCATTTGAGTTTGAACAAGAAAGAGACATCCTTAATGCTCGGTATGTTGTGGAGGACAGAACTGAAATTAACTTTACAAATAATGACCTGGCATATTCGACAGCTACGTCGGTATTGAACTATCCTCTCCCTACTAAAAACCGAACTCAAGATACAGTTTATTTTGAAGTCAAGATCTTCGAGTTTGTTGAAGAAAATCAAAATGCCCACTTTAGCATCGGATTAGTTACAAAGCCTTATCCTGCCGAGTTCAGGCTTCCCGGTTACAATACGTTTTCCATAGCTTACGAATCGACTGGAAACCTTAAGATTAATAAGCCATTCCCAACACCTCTACAGCAGCATTTGGGTGCTAATAGTCTTTTCAACGCTCAAGTATTGCCCCCCCTCCATCAGTCTGATATCGTGGGGTTTGGATACGTGATATCAACTGGCACTTTATTCATCACACGAAACGGAAAGAAAGTAATGGATATCATGAAAGGGTGCTTTCTAGATTTGTACCCAGCTGTTGGGTGTTTTTCAACGAATGCAAAGTTTCATGTAAATTTTGGGCAAATGGGATTTGTCTGGATAGAAGCAAACGTGCGACGTTACGGTTTCTTTTCAACAAGTGATCGCAAGATTGGAGGAGAGAGAGGATTGGCTTCTCTCCCGCAATACGGTAACTACGGAATGAAACTGGATAAGCTTTTAGATAAAGGAGATGAACTACCCCCACAATATCCGGAAGAGGAGCTTGACTTTTTTGGGAAACTACGCGTTGGAACGTCTGCGCAACTATTATCGAACAAGTCTAAGGAGGACTTGCAAGAGGAACCAAAAGATTAAATAATAGAGTAATATAATGAAGGTTAAAAAAATGCGCAAGCCCGGAATCGAACCGGGGGCCCAACGATGGCAACGTTGGATTTTACCACTAAACCACTTGCGCGAATTACAATGAGTCACCTCCCAAGAATTATTACATTTTTAAGCCAAGGTACGGCATACCTTTTGAAAGCTTGGATAGCTTCAATTAGTAAAAGACACTACTAACAAATTTTATTAACATCTAAGACAACATACGCAGCTGGTCGTGATACGATAGTAGAGTGATGCGCACTATGCCAAATCAATACGAGTACTCAGTAGACGAAAATAAACTAGCATGGCTGATGATATTGCACATATTATAAGTGCAAATGTATTATGTAACAAGTAAACAAACCACAAAAAAAAATTTTACTCAGAAAACCCAAGAACAGAAATTTCAAGCCTGAATATACAAAATTAATAGAAAACAGAAAAAGCCATACTAGCAACATTATTGACCTATAACCAGGACCGCACAACTTCCCAGAAAGTCTTGCGAGACAAAAATCCAAATATTGTAAAAGTAAGTATCCCGCGATTAGAAGAGTACCTAAAAACAGCTTATTGCGAACAATAATTACAGTAGTTTAACGAATTAATTCAAGAAACACCACTTAATAATGGAAAGGTCACCGATACTCAATCTCTAAAGAACTGAAAATAGAAAGAAAAGATCAATTGGTACTTCAAAACATTATTTCTACTTCTATGAACATCATAAACTATACTAGTGTTCAAAGAAGAAACTAACGTTCATTCCTTTTAAAACTAGTCCTTTCACAAAGTTGCTTTCTGTATAAAAAATCCATAAAGCGACAGCATTATAATAGCATCCAATGATTATCATTTTACTCTAAAGATGATTACCCTAGCACAGTCAGATGATAAAAATGGCCTTCGACATAAAGTTACAACCTCCTCTGAAAAAGAATGGCATCAACTACATTAGTTTGAAGAGATCTTTACATGTCAAAAATTCTTATCTTAGAGAATTACTCACTTTCTATCCAAAGTTATAAGATTTACTTCATGCATTGAAATTCAATGCAGTAAATTACAAAAAAAAAACGATCACAACATAAACTAAAATTAATTAAAATGTGCAAAAGAGATAAATTAACCAGTACGCAAAGTCAGCACAAATAATTTCCTTAATCTTATTTAAATCCTATACCCAAGAATATTAATATTATCACATAACCAGATCATAATACTCTTCGCAATAAGCATAAACGTACACAGCATCAGAGAAATATATTCTAAATCAGTAAACCAACATCATAAAAAGCTACAATAGTAGACACAATAATTGTGAGATGTAAACTAACACAAGAGAGAAAATCTGTTGATATTTCCAATATTAATACAAAATCAACTTATGAATACCCTTTTAAAAAGAACTAGACATTACCAATGTTTAAAACCTATCACGAACAAAATTTCCACCATAAATGATGCGAACATGCATTATCTCAGACCAGAGGGTAATAATTAAAAACATAGAAAGCGTGAGAGTAAATTACATTGTATTTGATAGGGTCCTTTCATCCCCTTTAGGATGCAAAATATCTTAGGATCATCAAATGGTCAGTTACAAATTTGATGAAATAAACCGCGAAATTTGTCAATTTTTAAATTACAATACTCACCTATGGTGAACTAGAAACAGAATTAATGCATATAGTAACTAAAGATCTGGAAGGAAATTTTCCAAGGACTAGTTGAAATCTTGATATATTAGAGACTGGCAAACATTAAACAAAGATTGTTGAAAACTTAAATAATATTTGATCAGTTATGATATTTAACATCAGTATTATCATGGTGGGCTCTGTATTTAAATGTTCGTCATATCTTTTTTTTCATATTATGTATTCTGTAAGAGAGACAAAGATTATTTACGGTAACTGTGTCATAAATATAATTCAAGATTTCGAATAATTATAATATGTGCCACGACAAATGTGTAATTTCGTTTCATTTGATTTATAGACAGTAAAATAGTGTAAGATGGGTCTTCTCATTTGTGACATTACCCGAATAGCAGTGTCTTATTTTCTTTCTCTTTCAATAATGCAGAAATATTCTCAAATTTCGTTTTGTATCGTGTTTAAATTATCAATTATACCCAAAACTCCAGGACTCCACAACTGTAATTTGTAAAGTTTAATGTGGTAGCGGGGAATTGATGAAACCGAGGTAAGAGTCTTCTATTTCTGGATCATGGGAACATGTCTTTGCGCGGATAGAAAATGAAAATATCCAGAAGTAAAAGAAATCGTTACAGAGGAGATTAATTAATATTGTTTCTAGTAATAGATATCCTTAGAGTAAACATAAATTGTTTCGAGTGATCAAATTGAAGGAATAACGACATTAATTTCGTTCTAGGTGAATATAATATTTGTATGATCTAAATAAGTTGTCCTGTAATAGTACTAACCTAATGTATACTTTTTTTTTTCTGTCTCTTGGACTGTAGAAATGTGATAATTTTCTTCGTGTTCTGAAAAGGTAGGTGCTATTACTGTTCGAAGCATCCCTGCAATTGTCGAACAATTTTTGTGTGTGGGCTAATTATGGTGTATTTCAATTTACCTGTTTTCTTCATTTAACTTGTTTTTAATAAATAGAGCTGTGATCTAAAGTAGTTAATTAATGTATCTTTCGGGAAGTTCGCTTTGGAAAATCAAAAGAGGTAGAGATGAAAGTCTATTTTCAATCTAGTTATTCATTTTACGCGTTACTTTGGATCTTTTATCTTATGCTATGAGTACTGACTTTATCATCAATTGGTAAAACTAGAATAAAAAGTTAATTCATTCTCATTTTCTAAGTCTAACCTGAGTGACATGAAGTAGCAATTTGTAACTTTGAGAATGGGAGAAACCTTAATAAATCAATAATAATAACTGTAGTAGAATGGAACTTCTTTATGCAATATTTGCCCAATAATTAATGTTTCCGAAAAACGGAACTGATGTACTAAATGGTAGTTTTCATCAAGGTAATGGGAAAGCTATGTTAATCATCTACTGTTAGTCGAGGATGGTTGACGTCTAAGGATGACACCCGGAATAGCTTACAGTATTTGCGATTTACCAAGATGTTGGTCGTGACTGAGTTATTTTACTGGTTGAATATAGTGTTGTACGGGATTGCCTTATAGAAAACATCTCTGATGATGAAAATATCTTTTGATTTGGTCCCTCTTCTGACTAACGGTCTGTGGTGTGCTTGTATTACTTCAAACAAATGTATGCTTCGCTAATCAATCAATGACTGAACTGAATCCTGATAATGCCTTCCGAACCTACGGGGCAGCTCTCTTTTGGTGAATACCCTTGCTATCTGTTCAATTTACGTGTCTTGTGATATTCATTCTGTATTCCCGAAGCTAGTTTTGTGGAGGCAAATTCCCGATAATTTAATTCGTAATATCTTCAGGTCCTTCAAATCTGAGTTTAGTTTCTACAATGAATTTTTTGATAATGTTAATCGACGACTTTAGTTTAAGAACGGATGGGGTCTGGCTTACATAACTGAACAGGTGCTGAATTGTTGAGGTACTTAGATTAAATGACTATGTGCGCATGGCGTAAATATCGTTTTGATTGGAAAAGACACTGTCTTCTGAAAAAGCTTATGTTTTGCAATAGTGTCGCCCTATGTCACGGATCCGAAAAGCGTTTACATAGTACACGATCCGAAGTTACGACTGGGACTATAATGATACCATGCCTCGGATGTGTGCTTAGAGTTTGAAAGTGCGTTTGTGACATCTTTAAGAGGGCACGAAACACCTCGGAAATTCAAAGTTCATTTGTGTACTTGAGCATTTTATTTAGATTTGGCTACGACGCATTTACACTCTTGAACCTTGAACCTCAAAGGACAAACATGAAGCAAATTCGAAATGTAGTAGAAAGAAGTGAAGTTGGGAGCTGTGATACCGAAGCTCCAACTTTTTACCGTGTTTTTATTGTTTCAAGATCATTAGGTCCTACTATGAAAGCCTTCTCGTCTGAGTCTAATTTCAAGATGTACAAAGATTTCAAACATATTTCAAAATATCATCCATGCTTCAATAGAGCAAAAGAATTGCAAGATAAATTTAAAGGATATCCAATTTTATATCTGAAACGTAATTTGAATGTTAAGCTCGGTTTCAGTGAAGAGAGGATCATGACGATATATCATTGCTTGCCTTCCGGTGAGAATGGTGACCGGCTTTACAACAAATCCGACAATAAACAATTAGTCGAAGTCTACAGGAAAGACTACATAAGTTATGCTAGGTATAGGTTGAAATTTGAATCAACCGAGGTAATCTTGGTCATACACCGCAGGCTTCCTATTGCAGATTTCAATGTTGGTGAAGCACGCTACCGATTTCTACGTCAGCAATCCTTCTTTGAACGCACCGGGTATTTTGGTAGCGACTTGTATATGATCGGTAGAAACCAGATAAGTCTTGTTGATGATTTAGTGGATGGGTATAAAATTAACCCAAAAAACAAGCTTGTGGGTAATGCAATAATTAACTGTATTGTGCCTCCGATCTTAACCTCTGCCAGGAACCTCTCTACACCCTACAAGCTTGGCAGATTGACGAACAACCACTGGTTGACATTCGGTATTGATCATAAATTTTTCTCACTATCTCTTCTTTCTGATAGCAATCTCGACAGCGATGCCAACAACACAGTCACATTTGAAGCTCTTGCAATACTTTGTGTCTCAATGGTGCTTCCTATGTATGATCATGAAGATAGCATACATCGCAGAAGAAGAGATCGGAATAAGAGGCACAATTTCCCTTAGTCTATTCAAGCATGTATGGCAATATTTATCAAGAGAATGTAGTGTTCCCAGATTTTCGCAGTCTAGCCGATAAATGACGAAAGTAAAAATAGAGGCATAAAAGAAAAGCTTTCTAATGTTTGAGACTCCACGTAGCATGATAGGATAGAAATTGATTTTCGTGACCATCTATGGTCGACTTTGTCCTAGATGAAATATTCCTGTGTCTCTCACTTCGTTCATGATCAACTGTTGCTCACTCATAGGAAGTACAACATGTCCCAATATGATTATCCTCAAGTGATAGTGTTTGATCTAGATTACACCCTATGGCCATGGTGGTGTGATTGTCACATTTCACCTCCGATCCAGAAGGTAAATAACGCTCGACTCACAGATGAATCGGGCACCAGTTTATCATTGTTCAGGGATGTTGAGTCCATTTTACTCGAACTAGCAACAAAAGGGATTACCATAGTTGGGGCAAGTAGGACAGCTACTCCTGAAATTGCATTGGAGATTCTTTCATTGCTTCACGTAGGTGAAAGACCAATGATCGATTACTTTAGTTCTCTCCAATGGGGCCAAGGATCAAAGAAGCGACACATCAAACAAGCTCTAAAGGAACTAAAGATGGAAAAGTGCCTTGAGAATGGGAGCGTTATTTTGTTCGATGATGAATCTAGGAATAAAGATGTGTGTTCAATTAATTGCCATTTTGCTTTGATTACGGACTATGAGTCTGGTCTCACCAGAGATTTCTTCGAACAATCTTTGAGGGCTTGGACAAAAAAGAAAGGCCACTAAGGCTTGTAAGTGAAAGAAAACGAAAAACTAGAAAAAAACTACCGTACATAAAGATAAATAGCTTTTATTGCCAATTTAATTAAACACACCCTTAAGAAGAAGTAGGAATCTCACTAGGAAAATCCGTATGGTCAAAATCACATTAAAGTTAATGTTTAACGCCTTCCTGAATTGATTTAACAATGGAAATAAGGATATCGTGATTAGCGTTGGGAGGAGGACTGATTTCTTTCTATTGCCGTTAGTATTCTCACTAATAATCTTCGATTGATGGATACTTACTTCCAACAAAAAGCTTCTCAAATTTTCATCCGACCATTCAGCTACATCAACCAAAGAGACATCAGCACTTTGTGATTCCAAGGTCGAGTTGTTTTCATCATCCTTGGTCTCTGCCTGAAGCTCCACAGGAGTGTTGTCATCTTCCTCTTCTTTGCCTTTCGTCGTAAAACAAGACATCAAGTGAGGATATGTTTTAACTAGTAAAAAGCCAGCACCCAAAACAAGAGCACCAGTTGCTGCCAAATGAAACTTATAGTTCCTTTTCTTCAATTGTAGAGCCATGATAATGAAAACAAAAAAGTGAAATGGTAGTAGTTCCGCAACAAGATGTACTCAGAACCCGTGATAAGACTCACATAACATTCCAGAATAGGTAAAAAAAAGCACCGCGACAAGCTTCCTTATTAGTCTATGCTCCAATAGAAAGATAGAAAAATTTCATGAGAAGAGAACCAAGACAATCGCCAATTACAGTCTTCGAAATTTCAATCCTAATTAAACTACCTAAGTGATTCAGTGGAATAATCAAACTAAAAACGTCCTAAACTATTAGCATCATCAAAATGGCACTGAAGTCACCGCCACAAGAAGAATAATAGCAGATTTTGTAGGCTCCAGGTATTAAACAATGAAAGATTACAGTTATTGAATAAAATAGTGGATTTCTCCAATTTTACGTCAGTGGGTGGATGATAGCTCCTGGTAAGAAATACGTCGTTAATGCGATTTATTTTGGTCGATTGGGATCATTTATTCTGTAAAGACAGTATCCGTTGCGGATCGTTACTGAAACAAGTCAGTAGAGAATAGGAAAACTCATATCCTCAAGCTTCCCTCGAATTGTTCTTGTACGATTATATTTAGATAATCAACGATTGGTAACTGATTGAAAGCTCTACATTAGGAGTCTCAACATGTATCACCTGAAAACAGCACTGTTATGGGCTTGATGAAATTTCTCATAACCAACGAAGGTTCTCCATGATCATAGCATAGTACAGCCTGAGAACATTAAACTAATGAATCCTATAGATCCAAGTACCTTGTTGTCATGGCGACGTCATAAAGTTAAATAGATTGAAAATTCAGGGTAATGGTCAAAAAACCTACAACTTCCTGAACATTGAAGTTCAATCAATAATGAATCTTAGAATGTCCGAGTAAGATCAATGGGATTCAGCTACTTAAACCAAAGAGGATAAAAAAAAATCTCTTTTCCACTAAACAATTGTGGGCCTAATCACATAGAGTTTCCATTAAACTTATCCACATTAGTCGACCTATGATACAGATGAGAGTACTTGTTAACAATCAGTCAAAGGAGAGAGAAAAAGAAAGCAAACTATGTAGAATCAGCTATATTGTACAAGTAAATAATGAGAAGGATGTGGTGCCAAGCCTTTCGTTCTACTGGGAACAAGTTTGGCTATCACATTGACTTGGATGTTGTATTGGATTAATTTAGTTCGTTTTATTTATGTCAGTAATTTGAATAAAGGGGTAGAGTACCCAGCGTGTAGTTCATTTACAAGAATGAATGAATAAAGCAATGCATAATCCCTAATCGTGGTATTGGATTATTAAAATGAACCACAGTCAACTATATGTTCGAGGGTAGTTCACCATTTTGCTTGTAATGGATACTTTACGACTATTCAAAGTAAAAGGGACACAGTCTCTACCATTTTAATTCAAATCAATCAAATAATGTATTTCAAATTCGTCCGCGAGAATGATTCAACTTAAAACATCCAATTGTAATTCAAACAATTCGAAGAACGAATGGACATCTTTAAAAAAGGTAAAATTGACTTCTTGTGGATCTGAGAGAATCCTTCTGTGTTTAGAGAGCGCTAAGGGATCATACTTATCAAATGAATTTGCCTACTATTCGTGCTTATTTTCCCTGCTTGAGATTTTGCACTTGATTCTTCTTTGATGCATTGATTTAAAGTATGTCTGTTGATTTGTTTGAGCTGAAAGCGTAGAAACTGCTACCCTCATAAGAAAACTGTGTGATCTTAAACGGACATCAACTTCTTTCAAAATCGAGTGCATAACAAGGATTCATACTATCGACCTCAAAAATTCGCCCTTTTGAGAGAAACTCTACATCGCAGTTATGATAAAGCAAGGACCCCCTCTCTTTAATTAAAAATGCTGAAGTACTAATGCTGCTCAAATTTCTTCCACATTAATTCAATGAGAATCATATGTAGAGACTGTATGTCGATCCGCCGCAATCTGACCCCACAAAAAGATAGGGAATATATGCAAGCCCGCAAGGGGTTTTGCGAACGGCAAAAATCATCCTTCTAGTCTACTAATACGATCCATTTCAGTTGCTCAATATGGGTGACAACATATCTTTGAAAGTTTCCCTAGTCAAAAATGACCAAACCAGGGATAAGTTCGTTTCGATAAGCTCAACGTTACTAAACTCCTTAGCATCCAAAGCTAAACTTATGACCTTCATTTTGAAGGACGTATTCGAGGAGAATGTTACCGTGGATGAGAAATACGTGGAAGATTGTAGGCTTGAAAGGAAGTCGAAAAGACATAAGAGGTTTGTACCCCTCCATACGGCAGAGGATTTCAAGGAGTTGATGAGAAGCTTGAGAGTGAAAAACCATGTGAAGCTTGCAGTATACTTACCTGAGGTTTGTTCAACACCACCGCTTTCCGAAAGCCCATTGTCTGAAGCATTGGAGCAAATTAAGAAGATCTCATCAGGCTTGCAAAAGTCTGAATTATGGGACTTATTCAAATCAATGACTTTGAAATCCGATCCCGACTTTCACGTTGAGAACAAATCTGTCGAATCGTTCACACGTACCGAAGAGGCAGTCGTACACCCGCGAATTCTCTGTGACTTTTGCCATCCAAGTGATGATTCAGAAGAACTAAAAGGAACTAGATATAAATGCACAGTTTGCCAAAATTTTGACTTGTGCGAGAAATGCTACATGTCCAGAGTCTCAATTTTTGGTCATCTTCCAACGCATGAAATGATTTCAATTCCAAAACCATCAGATTCCTTTAGTGCACGTCTTCTGTATTTGCACTTTACTGATATCCAGAGACCTGCTGATTACTCTAGGGGCACAAAAATCGTAGAGAGTTCATCTACGGCTTCCTCTTCTGTTGCAGAAGCTCAAGAAGCTACCGATCTCTCGACAGAGTATAAAGAGCTTTTGTCCTTAATTCCCGATGTGGAGTGTAACAAGTTTGATGTTATCAAAAGCTTAATTCAAGAAAAGTATCACTACCCAAGGAATAATGGAGATAGTGAACGAGAAGTTGGCGCAGGCTCAGTTGAAGGAAAGTATTATGAAAATGAGGTAGAAGGTATTGAATATGATTCCGAGGAGGATGTATGTGGTCAAAATATTGTTTGGAGATTCGCAAAGAAAGGTGATGCTATTCACCTTTTCATGGAGAACAGATCCTCAGTTCCTTTATTGAAGGGTCCAATTACTGTTAAGCATTCCATTGAAGATGAAACTATTATCCAGCTAGAGATGGAGTCCGATCTTTTGCCCGATGAAGTTGCTTGTTTTGATTTGAGTAACTTGGATTCAGCGCTTTTGAGTCGTCATAATTTCACACGCTTTTGGATCGAGGGCCCTGTTTTTGAAGCAAAATGCATGAAACCAATCTATCTTTCTCACAGCGGCATTCCATTAATCGGAAATGAACCAGCAGAACCGATTATTTCAACTGAAGCGTTGACACTCGAAGTCACCGTAGTTCCAAAAGGAAAGTTATTATCTCAAATTATGTTGGCCAATAAGAGCAATATCCCATTTGATGCTCACGGACTCACCATATCCGTTGTCAACTGCTTGGACAGAGTCGTCGCTCTGGTTACAGTGAAAAGGAAACACGCCATTTTACCTGGAAGAATTGCAAAGTTTAATGTTCCTGTAAACAATACTCATTTCAAATATCCATTCAAGGTTCTCATTGAGAGTGAGATGCTTTCGAGTTCGTGCGATCTTAGTTTAAAGCAATTGAGTGGGGTCTTAAGATCCAAAGTGGTTACGGAAAGCGGTCACGAAGTCAGCCATTATGCAGACAAACATACGGTTGAAGAACACGAGGAAGAGCCTCATAGTTTGACTGAAGATACTGATATCATAGAGAAATTGACAGAATCTAATCTCGCTACAGTTGCAACCAAGGAGCAAGAGGATCAGCCTAATGTTTCTCATGAATCCCAGCTGTTCAAGGGATCTCAGCATTCATTAATCATCCCCTCTATGCCATTGCAAGTAAAAGAGTCTATCCCGATGACCGAAGCTACCAATAGCTCGGACCATGAGGATTATGATGTCATAAGCATTGCCGACGGGGAAGAAACCCAAAGTGACTATGAGGTTTTGTCACGGACAATGTCATTTGAAACTTAACCGTGCCATATTGTAGTGACATGCTTTTGTACATTTTTTTTTTTGTGTTTCGAATTGGTTTTTAGGATAATATATATTGTTTTGTCAGATATGAAGGGAGTGCAGATTAGTTAAGATGCACACCTTTAGAACAGAAACAGACAGCATTGACTTCAAAACCGATAAAGATGGTGCACATTAAGGAATCTGGTCCAGAGAGTGAAGGTATGTGAATGCTCCATTATTTAACATGTGGGTTTACTAACGCTAGAAGAACAAAAATTCAAACAAAAATGCAACGAGTTGAAGAAACGCATTTCTGAAATTGAAGAAAGCAACGAAATAGCGACCATAGCGTTATCGAGGACTCGAGTGGCCATTAGAAGACTAAGACTTGAAAATTCTGTGCTATTGGAAAAGTTAGAACAGCGGCTTATGTCGCTTCCACAGACTCCTGAAAGTTTCGAGGATATGTCACGCCCCACTTCGCCAATTCTTACAGACGAATTAATGAACTTGAAAGCAGTGAAAAATGGAAATGGGAAGAACAAAAAGCTGAAAGCAACACTCACATCAAGCTCATCTGTCAAGAAGATGGCCAGAGACCCCAACTTGCCTAAGAAACCGTTGAATGCTTATTGGATTTTTTTTGAGAAAGAGAAAGAAAGAGTAAAAGCGGAACTAGAGGCTGGTAAGTCCGAAAAGCCAGCTTTGGATGTTTCAAAAACTTTGACTGAAAGGTGGAAGAGTATGAGCGATGAACAGAAAAGTCCATATCAAAAGTTGTATGAGGAAGATCGTTTACGGTATCAAACAGAAATGACTATATTCAATCAAAATAAAGATGGTGAGAACAGTACTACTATTTCACAACAGAACAACAGAGAGCCTGATGCATCAGAAGAGGACGAGAATACCTCAGTCATGAGAGAACCGCTTGAGAGCGAGCATGTTAAGAGACAAAAGCTCGATTCATCACCTGCTGTTGACGATGCTGGGAGTTTGAAAGAGGACGAGGACTAAGCCATCGCGTCTATACAGCAATAGGCTATATCACATAGATTTGTATTTTGGAAGGTCTAGACTTTCTATTTAACGCAAGGTTCTTTTTCTTTTTGGCTTGTAAAAACCATTTTCGTCTTTCTCATGCTTTCTCTTTTCTCTAAACCTCTCATGCTTTCTCATTTTTCTTCTAGCTGCAATATCTGGTGCACTGAATGTCAACTGCGCCCGTTTAGAACGTCTTTTCTCTCTTCTCTCATCAATTATTCTTTTAACAGCAGAAAACGTTTCAGTGTACTTTGTCACACCAAGTCTGTCCTCGAGAATTTTCAAACACTCTTTGGCAGCTGCCACCACTTCTTCTGGATAATCATAATCGACAAGGGGATCAATCAAATGGTACAAGCCAAGAAGAATTTGTTTAGAGATTTCTGTAAGTCTTTCGTCATTGACAATTTGACAAATCATCGCTGCCAATTGAATAGAACAAATCTTTGTAGCTTCATTATGGTTTTTGGTATCTTGTCGCATGATGGAGCACACGCGATAAACTACAAAATCAGTGGCCTTATTGAATTTGTTGCTTCCACTGATTTTGGCGCCAATGTCACCATCAGCTTCAAAGTCATCGTCTTCTACCTCTTCTGCATCATCCTCTTTGTAATAGAACGGCGTCTCTTCCGCTTCCCATTTCTTTATGATCTGGATCAAATTCTTAACAATTTGGGTTCCAAGTGCTTCAGAAACAACTGGAGCACCAAATTGCCGTAAGGTCCTGTAAGCGATAGTCTGGATTTCGTAATCAGATATGTCGAACTTGACGCTATCAAGGTGATTCAAGAGCAAACCTACCAATTTTGCACTGATAAGTCTGACCCACGTGTGAGGATAAAGCAAAGTGTCTAACACATCTTTCCAAATATCCTCGAAGGATGCACCGAAGACATTCTCTTTCAAAGTGCTGCAAACGCTCGAAAAAACGTTAAGCGAGCTGTACACATCTTCCCATTCAATATCATCATCATTAGAGGTACACTTGGACTTCTTGATTATTGCTGAAATAGCATTAAGTGCATGCAGATCAAGATCTGGGTTTTGTCCATATCCAAAAACTGTCAAGTAAATTTTGTAAACCAACAAACCGCAGCGTTGAAGGAGCAAGTTGACCTCTTGCGTGATCCAGGAGTCACAAAACTTTTCCAAATCATGACATTTGTCGCTGCCCAATTTCACAAAGATTTGCTTCACCAATGCCGTAGCCATTTCACGGCATTTTGGAGAGTCATCGGAGACAATAACATTAGCTAAACCGACAAAGAAACTGGATGCCAACTGCGAGAAAAGAGTTTCCGATGATCTTAACGTCAAGGAGTGCATCAATTCCATAACAGATTGGCGACCTTCTTGTGTAGGGTACGACAAGTTAGTAACCAAGAACTTGAACGCCTTATCCAACTTCTTCGTTCCTTGCTCGTACTCCATCAAAAACAGGAAATAGATACTTCTGGACATATCACGAATTTCCTTGGCATGATTTACGACCATAATGGACGAAACTTTGTCCATGACATCGTAAACTTCAGGAAGCATTACATGCTGAGACACAACAGCTTTCAAGAAATTAAACGCCAAACCCTGTTTATCAGGCTCTTCGAGGTCAGGCAGGATACGGGTCAAAAGATATGAGAATGCTGAGTTGTTCAAACGTACCGATTGCTTGTGTCTAACAACAGAAGCTAAGTACCGTAAGCAAATCTGACAAAGATCTGTAGTGGTTGTAGGTGAATTTTGAATAATAGTAAATGCCTCCATTGCAGTCCGTTCAAAAAAGGCATCTCTTGTTTCAGCAAAAGGCAACTTGATGATCAAATCAAGCACTCTGTAAAGAGGTAATAAAACAGTTTCACTTTCAGATGCAATGCTTTTTTCCATCAACGGGATGAATCCATCGACATTTGCAACATTCAACAAATCGCTATGACGACCTAATGCAGTCCTCAATAATTCGAAGGACATACGCTGCAAGGTAAACAGCAATTGCGAGTTATCTCTGCTAATCCTTTGCGGCTTCGCATCCAACTTGACCAAGAAGTGATCTTCTGCTTCAGTAGGTTGGGCAACTTCCTTCCGTGCTCGAGGAGGTTCCTCAGATTGGCTTGGTGAAGTTCCTAGCAAGGCAACACCTTTTCACGGGGTGGATGACTGAACATTAGGGTTAAGTCCAAGTGCATATCCTTCTGAGTAATTCGTCTAATTTTCTCGAGAGTTTTTGTTGGAAGATTCACCGATAACAACAGTTTGATAGGCTCAACAAATTAAGCGGAAGTTTGGCAACGTAATATTGGAAGAAAGAATTTCGGCGGAGTCGTAACTCTTTTTCGACTTGACTTCTCTCATTTTACTGACATAATCTTCGGCATCTTTCTCTTGTCCGGCAGCACCAAAAGTGTCTTCCATGATAATAGCAACAATCATCTGACAAGACTCATCTAAGTCGCCAGACTCGTAGCTATCAATAACAGCCACCAACAAGGAATGAAGAGTATAACTCAAAACATGAATTTGAGCACCACGAGACAAAGCACTCTTCAACTCCTTCACAATAAACCTGAAATATCTTGCTCCCAACGTCTTCGCAACCCTGCTTAGAGTTTTACGAACAGCATCTCTCAAATGCTGAGTTCTCGATCTCAATACTTGACAAGTACTAGTTAAGGTACCAGGCAACTCAACTTCCGTGATTTCCGTAGAAGCGCATAAGAGCAAATCCACAGCGACTTCGACTAGCGGTGTGCGTGCGACAACGGTTTCGTCATCTCTCACTTTTAAGATTTTCATAATTGCAGGCAAACAGTCCTTTGTCACAAAGCTATCAATTTTCGATTGTTCTGGCCAATCTTCCATAACATCCGTAGTCTCATTGTTCTTGGCATTCAGGCTAGAGCTCAAAAGAGCCTGAGAGATGCGAACAAGAATATTCACATTGTCTCTCAAGTACTGAGGCTCTGATTTTGTAACGGCTGTGAGATGCTTCTTGAACAATTGTTTGAAGTCATTCCAATTCAAACAACGCACTAAATATGACCAAGCCTCATGAGTATCGTCCAAAATGTTACGGTATCTTTCATCTTTACAGACGATGTAAGTCTCAGTAATCGGTAAGATATAATGGTAAAGGCAATCTGCACCAATTTCATTTCTCAACTCGATTAAGAGTTTCAAAGAACGTTGACGAGCACCAATCTGAATATGAGTAATACCTTTGAAAAAGTCCCTTTCATCATCTTCATCTGAAAGTAGGACCTTCATTTTCGCAAACAGTGGAACATAATCCGAATTGCGAACAATATGAGCAAGAACACCCACATATTCTTCTTTAACATTATCATCTTCTTTTCTCAATCCCAAGCGTATATACGGCATAACCACTGACTGGAAAACACCGATTAGTTCTTCTGCGTCACTTAAAGAAGGCTTTGATGCCATTGCATCGACGAATCTTTTCAACACGTATGCACCATTGGATCTCAAGGAAATTTCTTCAGTGTCATTGATGAAAAACAACGACGAATATAAGATAGGCAACCATTGCAACCTAGTCATTTTCTGGCTGAGATCCCCATTAATGATCTTGAATGCACTAATCCGTCTATCAAAGTCTGGTTCTGCCATACGTCTAGGAGAATAAGAATTCAATTCTTCAAGGAGGTAGGCAGTTTGCTCAAGCTCGACAAATGTGCGGCTCATCGCCTTGAATACTTTCACTAAAGACTCTCTCACATTCCGGTCCTTATAAGAGCGAAAAGCTTTTGAACATACCTCATACAATGGCTCAATATCAGCAAAGGAACAATCAAAACCGTCTAACAAAGAAGCAAGAGAAAGAAGGATGCTGACCTTGTCATTGTTGCTTATTTGGAAGGGAGATTTATTCAATGCCAGAGTTGATGCAGTAATAAGGCGGCTCTTTGTGTCATTGTCGTTGATAAAATCTCCCTCAATAGCCAATAACAAAATGGTTGAGGCTTTAGTGTTGATGTCTCGATCCAGAGACTTTTCCAAGATTTGTGGTAACACGCGGAGCAATCCATCCACAATAAGTGCCAAGACTTTGAAATATTCATCACCTTCCACATCTTTTTTCATCAATGCCGCCATACAAAAGTCCAAGATCGCTGTAATAACAGTATCTTTGGTGTGAGGATTTGAAAGCAAGGACATGATTGCTTTCACAGGAGCAAAATCTTCAAAGTAGAGGAAAGGTACTAAGTTCGTAGATTCAATCCATCCAAGCATAATTTGCATCAAAGACGAAGGCTGTTGAGCGTTTTCATTGGCAAAATGTTCCAATCTAGGTCTCACCACCAAGTTGTACAAAACAGGAGCTTCCTGACTCCAGCTGTGAGTTCCAATCAAAATTTTAAAGAGAGTATTAAGACATTTGAAGCCTAATTGACGAATGTTCCTGGCAATCTTATTGAGAATTTCGTCTTCGTGCTCACCATCAATAAAGTTTTGTGCAACCACCAAACAGTAAATAAGTGGAGGTATGGTAGATCTTAAGACTTCTCCATATTTGAGCCCTAATGCATTGTAAACATCGGACAACATATTGAGATAACCCACCATATTCTTTAGGTCCTGCTTGCTCACAATAGGAACTTCTTCATTATCAAAGAATTTTGAGTGGTCGATACGCTCACTCACTATATCAAGGAATTGCTTGATGTAACTATCTGGTAGGTTAGGCAAAACAGTGGCAATAGCGAACTTTCTGGACGACTTGTTACTGCCACTGGATGCACCTTTAGCTCGACCATAGAGTATTCTCAAAACAATAGGAATAACGTCATTGGTGTCCTCTTGCTCAATTTTAGAGTCTGAACCAGATGCCGTGAGAGATTGAAGTTCATCACGGAAAAGCTTGTCATCAAGTAAGTTCTTCAAGTTGTCCTTATATTTGTTGACTGACGGCTTATTGAAAGCAAAAATCACGTCAAGTGCCTGTTTCTGTACGTTGCTTTGTCTTGATGTCAAGCAATGCAACATAAGAGCATGCAACTTGGCTTGGCCCTCAACTTTCCGTAAACTCCGAAACTTTGTGAACACAGCAATCAATTCAAGTTTATCTTTCATTGACCATCCTTTAAGCTCTTCAAGTTCATCCGCTTCGTTGTCATCTCCCATTAAACTGACAGAAATGTCAATAAGTTTTGAAGCCAAGGATTCGGCCACAGAAGGGACAGATTGAAGCGCCTTGATGACCCTAGCTCTTAAAAGTGGTTTGTACAAGTGGAGCTCGCGATTGATCTTCGAGTAATCAAACAAAGCAGCTAGAACATCAGCGCTAGACAAGAAGACTGTTTCCAGGACCTTGACAAAACTAGTGGAAAAACGCTCATCTGAAGGTTGAGATTTTGCTATTGAAGATTCTTCATGTCCAAGTTGTTGTGGTTCATATGGACTGTACAAGTCAGATTGATCCTGGTAATCAAACTCCAAGAATCTCAATAATAATTTGCTAATTTTTGAGGACGATGATGAGTTGGCAATTTTTGGAAGCCCCTCGTAAACAGCAAGCCAACATGGTTGGAAGTGATTTGAAAGCAAACCCATCGAAAAATTGATTATGAGGGAAAGCTCCAATCCTCGAAATGACTACTTGCTCCAAATGTCGTATACATATTTCTGATCCTCATCTTCACATCATTCGAGTTTGCAACAGCCAATGGGATCTGATCAATAATTCTCATCTCCGAAAGCACTGAAGATGCGGGCGACCCGATCACAGAATAGAAGGTAAAAAGCAATTCAGCACTGGCAAGTCTTATGTTTCTTTCAGGCAATATGAAATTTTCAGAGATCGATGCGCAAAATGATGTGGAGCATGATTCAAGTTGCTTTGCACCTTTGCGCCAAATGCTTTCAAGAAATCATTCAAAGCATCAACAAATACCTGAGTGTCTTTTAGGTCAGACAAATTTTCCATAGCGAATTCCAATTTGTCATTAATAAGAACGGAATCCCCATTCGTTGCCTGAATGATAGCCCTTAATAACATTCCAATGATATCATGCA